CACGTCGATCACGGCGCCGAACGCCCCTAGGGCGTCAACACCCAGGATCGCATCGACGTGGAGACGGTCAGCGACCAACAAGCTCATCGAGACTTCGACCGTTCCAAGACGGAGAGAGAGAGTAATCCAACCACGAATCCGCAACTTGTGCCCCGAGGATCTCCTCACCAGGCCATCGTACGGTTCCAGCGGTTCGGACGGCCGTCCTAAACGCTTGAGCAGGCGTCGATCCACGAGACTTAGAGTAGCGCCAGTATCCGCTAGCATTTGAGACGGTAAGCAGTCAATATAACCGCTCGAGAGAGCTTCAAAGCTGCCAACTGCACACACCACCCGGCGTCCGTCCTCAACGGCGCGATACACGTCACACTCATCTCCATCTTCATCACAGAGTCCAAATCCGTTAGGCGAGTTGACCGTGACAACTTCCACGAGACTGGTCCTTGGTAACGGTGTCCGAGCAGGACGCTCGCACCGTACCACCTCAACGTAATGAGAAATGTCCTCTTCGCGCTCAGGGTAGAACTCTACGTCTCCCAGTACTTCGGCATACGGTTTGTACAACGACGAAAAGTCAAAGCAACCCTTCTTCTCAGGCTGACGGCGACGGCGGCGCCTAGCCCTAGGCGTCCTCGACCGTCCCGTACGGTCCCACAGGTTCGTCCACACTTGACCCGCGTTCACCTCGAAATACGACTTGATTCCCGGTTTCAACCGTCCACAGCAATCTCCCTTCAGACCATACTGCTCCACAACACGGTTGACGTGCTCGCGTAGCCGTTACTGTAATGGGCCTACTTTGGCTCACTACTTTAGCTTACCCGTGTGCGAGTGTATGTGAGGAAGCGTAGCTTAGATTAAATTAGAGTTAATTATACACGGACCTCTGAGTATAGACTAATCTAAATAAACGATCCAAATAATGTTTTTGGGTTAAAATGAGAACTGCTATTTTTGTTGTATGCTTTCTGACTTCCTCTAAATGTAATATTCTAAACTGGGGATCTGCCAACGGCTGGTTGGGAGAATTCCAATGCTATGCATGTCGCTCATAGGCTATAAGATGCTGCTTTCAGACAATAGGAATCCTAAGTCTCTATGGACCACCCGTCGTGGTGATCGTAAATGTATGTAGCCTTTGGTGTGTCTACACCAAGGTCGAGAAAGCATTCGAACCTCTAACAGACGTCGTGTCTGTTAGAGTTACAAGTGACTGTAGCCACTTGTGCGTGTAACCCTGTTACAGTTCGCATATGAAAAGAAAATACATTGTATACTCGTTCAAAGTACGGCACCCGTTCCTTTTCATGTTAATAGTCGTGTTTATTATCGTCAAGAACTCTTACACTTTAACTGCAGTGCCCCTCAAAAGTACTCAAAGGCATTATTCTGCGAATAGAAAGCAACGAAGCCCTGATGGAAGATTTTTAAATGGGTCTTATGCAGAACAGGTCTTGGATTTGATCAGAGCGTGCTTTTTCTTTGAACTTGTGATTGGATCACATATATTCGGAAATCCTTGGAGGCGACCCCTGACACTTCTCGTCAAATTATCGCAGGCAGCGGCGAAAGAACTCGCTCACCCTTGCGAACCCCTACCATGTCCGTATTATTTATTCAACGCGTGCGCGGCCTTGATGACTCCATACACACCGCCGCCGACCACGCCAAGACCCAGTATAACCACAAGTGCCGTCACCCACTTGGGCAGCGGCTCGTGGTGCTCCACGGCGTGCACGATACTCTGCGAGTTGATCCTCGAAGGCCGATTCATCTGCGTCGCAGCGAACCAGTAGGCATCGACAGGCGCAACACTCACCCTCTCTTCGGCCACCGACTTGTGACTCCCACGGAGACGCTTGATGATCTTGTTTAGAGCAATACGTTTGGACTTGTCGCTGGCGGAGTCTTCGGCGCTAACGAGTCCCGTGCCTCTAGTGGTCAAGAGAGCCACAGCAAGCACCAAGAACACGACAAGGCGCATTGTTCGCTGCGACGGAGATTCTTTAATGACCGTCTCTCAGGAGTCCTGGCTGTCAGGACGGGCATTAAGAAAGATGATAATTTTGAAAAGGCGGCATGTGCCACCACTGGGACGGGGTCATGCCGCACGCAAGGTGTGCGTGGCGTTTCTACCTGGTACTATGGGGAGTTGTAAACTGCAGCAAAGCTCATGCACAGAACCAAACAGAGTGACTCTGTGCATGGTACAGACAACGACGGATTGATACGGCACCACTGAATGGCATCCTCCATAATAAATGTACCAGAATTCTCTGTCGGGAACGATAGAGATTGTACAAGGCAATGACATAAAATACACACAAAGGTCATAAAGGACACAATGACTTAGAGAAAGTACCGAAAATCATACGGAATACAAATGTCAAGTGTGATTCTCGAACGTGATTGGCTCTCTAAATTACTTACTGTAAAAAGTACAACATCTGTGTGCCGGATTTTGCGTTGCCGTATCAATCCGTCGTTGTCTGTAGCAGACTAGACAAATACCCACCACAAGAAAACAGATGCAAAATGCTGATACACAACATCGCCAATGTCTTGGTGGCGAGCGCCAAAAACATGGGCATCTTTACTAGGGGGCGGACACTCGCGCGTTGGCTCTCGCGAGCGGACTTAGGGATGGCAATTTGGGGGGGGGGGCATCCCCTCGTGTCTTACGCTAAGTCCTCGGCTCGGCCAGGCGCGGTGTCTAGAAAAAAATATATCGGGTTGCAGCGCTTGCGTTCGCTCGCTCGCACAGACACGCCCCGCCGATTAGGCGGGTGTTGGTGGTCAGTGAATGCACTGAATGAGCCTCGCGCTCGCGTTCGCTCGCCCTCGTTTGTATTCAGCCTCATGTAGTTTATTGATGCTAATAAATAGTTTGTCTAAACGGTTCTGTAAGGGCAAGTTTACACGCAACGCTTGCGCTTACGCCCTCTTGCCTCCATAATTGCTCAAATAGTACAAACAACACTCGTTGATCCATCTACAAGCTAGCTATGCTATACCTGTTAAGTTACCGCAGGCGGCGTGTAGCTTGGCGCACCAGGGAAGCGAGGTGTTGGGCGCGGCGAACGGCGGAGGCCCTGCCGCGGAGCATTGAGTGGTAGGCGGCGTTTTCGGAAATGAGCAACTCGAGCCACTCGGCCTCGAAAATGATAGACAGGTGGGATTTGCTAGCCATCCTCGGATGTGTTTTTTGGCGAACATAGCCATCTTCTCAGTTTTGTGCTAGCAGCCACTATCATGGAAGCTCGCACTCGTGCTCCGAGCGCGCGGTGCGCGGCGAGCAGTACCGCGCAGCTCCGAAATATTTCTGTATGCGCGGAATCTCCCCATAGTAAAACTCATAGTATCACAAACACGTAGCAGAAACACGCACTACACCATTTCCCGGTCAAGTTACAAGAATTACCAACCAAGGCGCACAAGACTGGTCCATGTACTTTTTTAATTCTTACCTCCTTCTGCCGACAATTGCATGAAAAAGCCACGTTTTTCATGATTTGCAAAACGGTCCGGAATCCTTTTCGGGCAAGTTGCAAAACCGTGCAAGAGCATACCCGACCTCCGCTACGTAATAATAAGCACATGCTTCTACCGAGACCACAAGGGAAGATAAAGCAGAGGGAAGTACACTTTTGGGGTCCTAAAGGTGCATGTTAACACATATCAAGTGTTGCCCAACTTTGGGCGACCTAGCGAGACTTTATGTCTTCGCACGTCGGCCAACCCTATCGACCCGCAATATTACGTAGCGGAGGTCGGGTATGCTCTTGCACGGTTTTGCAACTTGCCCGAAAAGGATTCCGGACCGTTTTGCAAATCATGAAAAACGTGGCTTTTTCATGCAATTGTCGGCAGAAGGAGGTAAGAATTAAAAAAGTACATGGACCAGTCATTTGCGCCTTGGTTGGTAATTCTTGTAACTTAACCGGGAAATGGTGTACACACACATGACTCGACAGACCGAACTTTGCCGTAAGTGCGAACTAGAGCTCAGCGCACCGCTTCGCCGGCGCTTCGCCGGGGTATGAGGGGTTTCGGCAATGATAGGGCGCCCCCGTTCCGCTCGCGGAGCTCGCTGCACTACTCGCAGCGTGGAGCCGAGTATTTGATACAGTCGGTCCCTGTGGTCCCTCCGATATTCTACTAAGTAGAACGGTAGGGAGCGGGCCCCTTCGGGGCCAAGATAATCACGCTCGGTAAAGTGCGATTTTTAGCGTAATTGTGGCTATTTTTGTATTTTAGTAAATAGTTTAAAAGCCAGTGCGAGTCGATTTGATGAGTGAATAATGCATGCGATAGGGCCGCGGTAACATAGTCGAAATGACAGGTCTATGCTGTAGGTGTGGAAAGCGTGACGGAGTGACACGCAGACAGGATTTTCGGTTAGAGGACGGAGAACTAGCGCTCTGGGCACCCGCTACGCGGGCGCTTTGACCACGGGTTGCTGGAATAGCATAGCTTAAAAGTATATGCATCATTTTGATTTCCATAACAATAACGTGCGAATACAGTTGACACATATTCGTTGCTATAACTTCGTGCTTTAGTAGCAAATGAGTAGGAATACATTTTTCTATTAAGCTAATTACCAAATGTCGCTCACGATGCAAAGTTGAGTACCTAAACATCGAGTGAGCTGAATATCGTTGCCGTTGTATTATTAATCACCCGTTTCTGCGAGGCGAGCTACATTGTCACGGACATGCCTTACTACAGTGTAGTGTGGTGTAGCAGACGTGCCAAAACTCGTTAGCTTCCCACTCCCATTTCAACAACACCTACACTAACGGGAGCGCAGGCTTGTTGGGTGATCCGAAGATCGCCCAGTAGGTTTACAGCGGTGCAGTGGTTACCCGGGCACCTGCCAAGTCGTCCCAGGAGCCGTGCCACGAGCACAGAGCACGCTCCCCTTCCTTCGCCGACCTCTCCTTGTCGCTGCGTCTCCTTCTCCTTCTCTCCTTGACCCGTGCCCTCCACCAAAGGATGGACGGCGGCTCTCGCCTTTTACGGGGCGCCGATGCAAAACCGCACCGGCTGAGTCGGGGGCGGGCCGGAAACCCGCGCTCGTACGCTCGACGAGCTCTTCGCCAGGGGCGGAATCCAGATAACCACTACACGCACTCGCTCTTGGACTCGCCGGGCCGCAGAGAACACTTCCGTCACTTCGGATAGCCGATCTCAGCGGTGGTCATGATCTAGCCCCACGGGGGCGGTCGTACCTTGAAGAGACGCCGCGTGCCGCTTGTTTAGGACCTCGAAAATTCCACTCTGTATTTATCTTTGCTTTGTCGGGCTCAAAGGCCCTTCCCTGGGGTTCTTATACAAATATCTAATGAAAATGGGCTGTTACGGCCTCTCCAATACTAAAACCAAGTCTGCTCGCTCGACGACTCTTCGCTCGACGACCTTGAGATCTCTTGGGATTCCGCGTCGGCGAAACTCCTCCAGTCGGTGTCTGGTGTACACACTCGGTCCAGACTGACTGCAACCACCGACCTGCGGATTCAAAAATCGCTATACCACAGTAGTGACCTGCATGTTTACTTACTTTGAAGTATTGTGAATTTCACGCATTTTGGCGTGGACTAGCGATTTCGTGACGGTTTATGCCAACGCTCAACACGAATAATCAGAGAGCGAATAACAGTTTGAAAAGGTTTAGCGAATAGAAAAACGAGTAGAGAGATAGCTGACGATTTGTCGAGCTCTTTTAACGGATGGCGGCTGCAGCTCCCGCCATTCGTTACAGTATTTCCAGTCACTATATCATCTCTGTGCTGGCGAACGATGCCGAAATCAAGCGACCTTCGTTGGCGTGCTGTCACCCTCGTTCATGTCTACGACGTAGAAATGTCCAACGTGGTCAGTGTTCTGGGCGTGTCAGTGCGCTCCGTGCAGAGATGGTATGGTTGGTTTCAAAGTAGAGGAAACGTTGAGGGAGTTGGGAGGAAGCAGCGTACATCACGATGGCCACCAGAGGTGTGTCGTTATGGACGAGACAGCTAAGGCTGGACGCGATTGTATGCGTCGATACGCATGGTCGCCGAGGGGTACGCCTGCTGTAGTTGACCTGCCTTTTGAAAGAGACGAGCGGGTATCTGCCTTAGCTGCGATGGACACTTCTAATTTTTGCATGGGAAATGACTAGAGGAACGTTTTCACGCAAAGAGTTTCACAAAGCTTTTAGAGCAAAAGTCGCGCCGCTATTAAATCCGTGGCCGCTTCCGAGAAGCATTGTGATTCTCTACAATGCAAAGATACACATGTATTGAGAACTAGAAGAGCTTGTGCACTCAACAGGTGCTCTGCTTTTTTTCCTTCCTCCATATTGCCCACAACTGAACCCAATTGAAGTTTCTTTTGCATTGCTAAAGCGTTGGATAATTCACCATGCCAATATGGCATTCCGAGTTAATCCAGAAGCGGTTATGGAGGTTGCATTAAGAGAATGCACTCGCACTAATGATTCCATAGGGGGAAAAACCTTTATCGAAAGTGTGGATATTCTTCTAGCTTAGTAGAGTAGATAGAGCGAAAGATTTAATCTAAACTACAGCTTCGTCGTGCTCTCGATTATCATCGTCTTGTTTCTCTTCGGCATCAACTTCTCGTCGGCTTCGCTTTCGCTGTTTTCTTCTTCGTCTTCGTCGTGGTTCTCTACGTCTTCGCCGTCCTTTTCTTCCTCATGGTCGACGTTAGCAAGGCCGTGTGGCTCTGCCGATGGGGGAATAATTCGGGTACGAAATGGAGGGCGCAAATCGTATCCGGGTAGCCCGAGAACATCACGCAGCTCTTGAATATTAATGTCGATGGGTACGGCAACTCCATTTAGATGGATATGGATGCGTCGCGTAGGTTTGTTGCTTTCCGCTGTAGCTGCCAAAAGCTCTTCGCGGTGTTGTTCAGCTTGCCTATCAACGTAGTTTAGTTGTCGAAACGTCTCATTGTCGGGCTGTACAACTGGGGCTCAGTCAGGCTGGCGCGCTTGTACAGTCGCCCAATATTCGACCGAAGCTGGTCCTGGGGGTCTCTATTTTCCGACTGCAGTAGCTCGCTGATACGCTTTGTAGCTTGCGCAACACGACTTGCAGTAGCTCTGTGGATAGGATTAGTCTTTTTTACCCTATTGGCATACAGGAAGAGAGGAATGCGTTTGCCTTGGCGCCTAAATCTCGTCCACACCGCCTTCAAAAAGCCGATAAACCCTTGCTCGTCCTCCGGTAAGCGCTTGTACTCGTGTTGGCGCGCACTTACCGTCGACTTGACGTAGATAGCAGCGTCGGCAGGCCATATTACAGCGGTGTCGTCGACAAACAAACGCTTTAGCCTCTCCTTTAGGACAGTATAGCCCTCACGCACCGATAAGGAGATCTCGATGGAGGCGTGCACGGCGTTGTTCAACGCAAACTCAACGAGTGGCAGCATGGCGCTCCAGCGCTTCGGCGTCTCAGCGCAAATGCTGCGGAGCACGTCCTCGACGACGCGATTCACGCGCTCTGTCTGTTCATCGGTCTGCGGATGGCCCGCCGTGGACATGTCCAGCTTGGTGCCAAGCACCGCAAAGACCGCGCTCCAGAAGTGGCCCGTGAAGCGGGAGTCTCGGTCCGAGACAATCGACTCAGGGAGTCCGTGTTGTCGAAACACTCGGTCCAAGAACAGCGTTGCTGTACCGTTACCATCGATGGTATCCGGCACAGCCGCAATGTGAGCCATCTTGCTCAGTCGGTCCACGAAGACCACGACTCCTGTGTTGCCCGCCGCGTCCGCCGGCAGGCCAAACACAAAGTCCATACTCATGGATTGCCAGCAGCCCGAAGGGACAGCAAACTCGCCAACGGCGCTGCAGCATGAGGTGACGACTTCACTCGCTGACACGTCTCGCACGTGCGCACATAAGTGCTCGTCCACTTATACGTCTTCGACCACCAGTAGTGGGTGCTCACCGAGCTGTAGGTCTTCTCACGGCCAGCGGCGTGTCGTGTGCCTCATAGAGGATGCGATACGTCAGATCCTTATCATGAGGAATGACCACGCGGGGCGTATCCTCGGGGCCGGTGTTGTAGAACAACAGGCCTCCATCGAGGGAATAACGGTGTAGCCGCGCGCGCAGCCGCGCTGACAATTCCATGTCCGAGTCTTGAAACTCCTTGCTCCCCAGAGCCTTTAGCAACGCGACACAAGTGTCGTCCTTGGCATAGGCCGTTCGGATCAGATCCGGTAATGACGAAGTCACGGTCGTTACATGAGCCAGCTCATAATCCGGCCTGCGCAACAGCTTGTCCGCAAGGACATTCTGCCTGCCGGGCTTGTACTTCACCTCGAAGTTGTACTCCGCGAAGAAGGACCGCCAATGGCCCATCCTTTGCGAGAGATGAGGCGACTAAGTCGCAGTGCGTAACGACGCATGATCCGTGTAAATCACGAACGGCTGAGAGCAACCCTGACCTTGACGAGCGCATACTTCATTGCAAGTAGCTCCTTGTCGTGCACAGAATAGTTCTTCTCCGCAGCCTTCAGCTGGCGAGATTCGAACGCCACCACGCGCTCGCGCCCCTCGGCGTCTGCTTGCAGCAGGGCACAGCCGATGGCAAAGTCCGAGGCGTCACAGACGACATTAAACGGACGAGCGGGGTCTGGCAAAGCCAGAATAGACGCATGAAGGAGCCTGTCCTTAATTGCCACAAACGCATCCTGATGCTCGGTGTTCCAACACCACTCCGCATCCTTCTTCAGGAGATTGGAGAGTGGCCGAGCCATCTCAGCGTAGTCTCGCTGTATTTGTGCAAGTAATTGGCCAAACCAAGCCACTTGCGAAGATCCTTCTGGTTCTTGGGAACCGGCCAGTCAACAATGGCCTTGACCTTGACCGGGTCGGCCCTCAGGCCACGCTTCCCGATGAAGCACCCTAAGAAGGGGATCTCTTCCGCTCCGAAGATGCATTTGTCAATGTTGGCGTACAACTTGTTTTGACGCATGCACTCGAGCACAGCACGCAGGTGCTCCACATGGTTCTCCATATCAGTCTTTCCGTGCTCCGCACGACTGTGGACAAAGATGTCATCGAAGTACCTTTGCGCGTACGCCCGATGGGGCCTGAAGAGCTGCGTCACAAGACGATTAAACGTCGCTGGCGCGTTCGAAAGCCCTTGGGTCATCACCAACCACTCCCAGAGCATGCCGCTCGGAGTACTCACCGCAGTGAGAGAAATGTCGCTCGTCCTCATGAGCAATTGGTAATACCCATCGACCAAGTCGAGCGCACTGTACATCGTACATCCTGTCATGTTGTTCTGAAGAACATCCTTCCGAGGAATCGGCGTCTGCGCCGGAATGGTAGCGGCATTCAGCTTGTTGAAAGCACGCACGATACGCCACTTGCCATTCGGCTTTCTGACACAGAACGTCGGCGTAGAGTGTGGAGACTTACTCTCACGCACCATGCCCGCCTCGTGCTTCGCACGGAACAACGCGTCAATGACGTCACACTGCTCCTTTGGCAAGGGCCACTGCCTCGTCACGCAGTACTTCGTTCCCGGAACGAGATCGATTTCGTGTCGAACACCTCGATCTGAAGGTAGCCCTGAGGGCGGCTCCTTCGAGACCACGTCCTGGTAATCATTTACGACTTGATACAAGGGATCTGACGGGTCCTTCAGGATCGCCGATCCGCTCCGCGCATTCAGCGCCTTCTTGGTGTCTTCCAGGACAGCTTCATCCAGAAGCGAGGACGAGTCCAACTCTTCTTCGGGTCGTGTGACTACTACCTCAGCCAAGTCTCCAGCCTTCAAGGCTTCGCCGAACTCAGCCAATGACATCTCGTCCAGCTCCAGGAGAGCAGACAGTGAGGGCAAGTCGTCGAGGTTGATAGTTCCGTCGACGTCGCCCGTCACTCCATTCACGAGTGTATAGAGCTGCTCGCTCTCGCGTGGAGCCTCACCGCTCGACACGGCCTTCTCGACTCGTGAGATCGCAGACGCCTTGCGTCTCGCAGCCAGCGCTTTGCGGCGCTGCCTCCTTTTCATGGACACCGTCCGCCCTGAAGAGCTCCGTGATTTCGCGTGCGTCTTGACGCCAGGTGTCACCACCTCGTTCAGCTCCAGGGGAGCTCCAGTGTTTTTACCGACACACATCGAAGAGCTGCACGATCCGCAGCCTCCACTCAGTGGATTACGTGCCACTCCACGATCTTCATCCGGGCAAAGCCCCTTGTTCTTCGGCATCGTGCCGACCACGCCGTCGCTGGTACCCAGCAGGGCGTCGACCTCAGACGCACGCCTGCTCAGCGGAATTAGTGCCGCTCCACATTCTTGATCCAGGCAACACCCATCTTCACTCGACGTCCTGTCGACCGCGCCTTCACCGGCACGCAGCAGGGCGTCGCCCTCAGACGCACGCCCGCTCAGCAGAATTCGTGCCGCTCCACCTGCCGTCCGCGAGCCACGCTCGGAACGCTCGTTCTCGACACACTCAGTGTCCGCCAACTCGGAAACTCCGATGTCCAGCACATTGACCGACTCGGTCCAGTGCTCGCGCCAGAAGCGCTTCTGCTTCCTAGCAGAGGTGGGTTCATGACTCGCCAATGCTCCGCCAGGAGAGAAGTGCGTAGCACCAAGGGTCTTCGACCTCCAATCGATCCAAGTCTCGTGGCGTTCCAGACACGCCATACCAAGGATGGGATCATATCTCGAATCGAGGTCTAAGACCAGACAGCGTTCCACGTTATCAAAGTCCAAAAACTTCACGCCCAGGTCCACGGGGACCTTAGGCACCGTGACACGAGTGCCCGTCGCGAGACGAACAGTGACGATGTCACTACCGCGCGCTACCAGCGCCTCAGCGTAAAGCTGACTTCCGACCATCGTTGAACGCCGGGCGTAGTTACCCGACGCTCCCGAATCGATCAAAATCGTCCATGGCTTTGTGAAGCCCTTCACCCAAGCTTGGACAACTAGCAAGCCCGGCTTGCATACACGTTCCGTGTTAGAGAGTACGGCTCTCTTCGGGGCTAAGTCCTGTCGACCTCTACCTCGCCGAGGCTCAATAGAACTTAGTTCTTCCCCAGTAGGCCGCCCCGCGCCTACTGCGACTTCTCGTTTCCCCGAGACTAACCAGAGCCCTGGCTCGAATCCGAAGAGCGGCTTGACGAAGCCTGGCGCTGATGGCGCAGCGGACACCCAGCACGAAGGTGACGGGTGTCACCACAGAAGAAGCATCTGCGGATACCGCGACGCTGCTCAGCAGCACGAAGCTCGGCTTCTTCGTCTTCAGCATAGCTGAGGTCCATGGGTTCTGGACCACTCGACGCACTAGCGTAAGACGCATTCCACCCACGTCTCGACGACTTAATGTTGTGCTCCGCATTCAATGCGACGCTCACAGCCTCTTCAAAAGAGCTCGGGTGGGTTCGGAACACCTCCGTCCTGGCAACGCCAGTGCGGAGGCCCTCCATGAACACCGTAACGGTGACTGCCCCCGGCAGGGGGTCCGCGGACATACCAGCAATGAGAGTTCTCAACTCTTGGACATAGTCCATCAACTCCTTCTTGCTCAGTCTGGTCGCCAGGAAGCGTGAGCGCACGCGATACGCCTCGTTAGGCGGAGCAAACACTCGGGACAATTGCTGTTTCAGCTGGTCCCACGTCGGGAAGGCCACCTCGACCGACGTCCCGGGCGTTAGTGCCCACTCTCTCGATCGCCCACCGAGCTTCGAGATAGCTAGTGCCACGCGCTGCGACTCCGTCCGGAGTAGAGCTGAGCTCATAGCCATCTCAACCTCACGGGTCCAAAGCAGCAAGCTATCACCCTCCTTGCCTTCGAAGGTCTTCACGCTCAACATGAGCGGCTTGGGTCTTGTTCCCGCGTCGGATGACGAAGCGGGCGCTTGGGGTGCCGCGGCCGTCGCCATCCTCTGCTGGAGGTGCTCTAGCAGAGCATTCTCGTAGCTTGAAAACGCCTCGAGACGCGCGTTCACCGCGTCGGGGCCTTGGTGGGCAAGTTGCGTCACGCCCTCCGGCCCAGCAAGGACATAAGCTTTTAAGTGCATCCTGCTGGTTCGGGGGTAAGTGAGCGAACTGCTCCATGCTCCACAGGGGGTCAGTCTATACAGACTCAGGTGTCGGATTGACTACAAGTGCTACCAAGTGCAGCGGGGCTGCCGTAGCTTTGCGTCAGAGGAAGCTTAACAGACTCACAGAGGCTCAGCTTAAAAAAGCCCATTCTAATACCAGAACGTACGAGTCCGTACACCTTACGGACTCCAAGAGTCAACCCTTAACTCTTAACTGTGTGAATCTCAAACTGAATGTATTTCCCTTTATTGCGGCAAACCCGCCTACGGTGTAAATGTATCCGGTTCACTATCTAGCATAGTGAACCCTAGTCATATGCATAATCAGTGGCTCTGAAGCCATGTACTGATTCTCCTACTGATTTAGGTTAGAAAGTGTGTATCCACTTCGTAACCCTTCGGGTAACTCTCGTGTAACCCCGTTACACAATATCCTGTGATACACGTTCTAGCTATTCAATGCTGTTAGAAAGGGCTATATCAAATTACCTTGTTCTCATTATGCACTTTGGTATCGCATGTCTCTTGCATAATCAGTATTCCCTACAAAGTTACACACCATCATTTGTTGAAGAAACTGGTCGGGATCTGTAAAGGGACAGATAGCGGAAAAGTTCCCTCCCCTCGACTAAGTACGAAAAATGGAGGGATCGACATGCCACTCCCCCCCCCTCATCTTTTCGACACTTTACTACTCAGAATTCTGGCTCGGTTTTCCTCATTATTTTTGGCGTTTTTGAGATGTTCGACTCCACCTAATAAGAACGAAATTGGGGTGTGTACCAAGAGCAACGTTAGTAATCGCGACGCTATTACGAGCAACGTTAACACTAGTATGATTAATCTACTATATATGTCTAACCTACATCGGTACTCTGCTAGATGCGGACTTCCCTCTCGGCCCGCACGTCCTTGTCGTCCCGCGGTGCGCAGCTTGAAGCTGAATACCGACGTCAAAAAAACATAGAACCTTAAATATTAATGAATCAGTGTTATCAATCATAGAGCAACATTAGCAGGCAATAGAGCGCAGATCAACGTTACCTTTAGTATTCGCGGGAGGGGGCAGCCTCTCGCAGCATGACCATCTCCGATGCCAATGCGTTCAGCTTGCCCGTACGAGGCATCCTGCCGCTTTTGCCGCCTCCTTAACAGCCTCAATACATTACCAAATAAACAATCAAAGTTAATGCACATATAACAAGCAACATTAATGCACACCTGTAATAAGCAAGGTCAAACTTACGTAATTCATGAAGTCGCTTGGCTTGCCCCACCCTTTAACAGCGGGCGCGTAGGGCTATCGTAATGTTTCCAGAAGGTGGCTGCGCTGTCCGAGCTGGTTTTCTGAAATGGAGGGCTGAGATTCTCCCCCTTTTCCTAAAGTACATCTTCTGTTCGTTTAAGTTCGAAATTTATTGAGGTAAATTCTCACTTGAAACGAGTATTTTAATCCTGAGGGGACTGAATGAGGGATTTGGTTGTCATGTATTTTACGCGTCATTTTTTTGGGCGACGTTATTCTTGTTATCGCAACGTTATTGAGCTGAGGTTAGGGCTAGTTATCGTCGGAGGACCCACTTCGAGCATCTGTTACGATGGACCAGAAAACATTTTGGTTGCTAGTTATCGCTGTTGTTCGATGCAAATGCAGTTGCATCTTGATCACTCTCCTACTCGTTCTTGGAAATAAAACCTGAAAAAGCAAACAAAACAAGAAAACTATGCGCCTCGGATTCAGTCCCATCAGCACCAAAGCTGAATCCACGTAACTTGTTGCAATACTAAGGACCCTCCTATCCAGCTCTCGGCAGCGGGTTAGTTCCACTTGGTGTATTTTTCTTCAATACTGTGGCCCATCAAATCGTGCTCTTTTAACTGCCAATTGCGTCGCACATCGCAAGCAAGACCGTTACGATAAGAGCTAATATTTGCTAGAGAATACCTCAAATACAAAGTGCGCAAAAAAATAAAGTTGGACATGAGCTAATTACTGCTAAGTAACAAGATAGAGCAGAGTGCAAACATATAGACGATTATAGTAAGCGAATCCAGTACCCATGTTTGTTAATTGAAGTAGCCCCTGGCACAGAAGCAAGTTAAGATTCTGCAGGTCGCGCCAATCAGTCTGACGAGCCGGAAATCAATTTTGCGATCTTGGGAACAGCAACAGCTAAGCCAGCCACTAAACCAGCAGCAAGCACAGAAAAAAGCGTATTATACTTCAAAGGCGTCGTCTCGCGCTTCACATCGACGTAGGGCGCTGAGTTCTCCGAAGGCTTGTGCCAGAAATGGGCAACCCATCTCTCTTCATCCGCAGCATCGCTTGGTCTGTGCTTCCCTCTGAGTCTGTCAAACGTTACCGCCAGAGTCGCTTCACTTGGTAGCGACGGCCGTGAGTTCGGTGGGTTGCTCAGCGCTGGTGAATCCCTCGCAGATCACGATCAAAGTAGCCACAATCAGGACCAGGAAAAAGGCGAGACGCATTCCCGTCACTCGAAGAAGCTCTTGAATGACTGGTCCACAGTAGAATTCGCTATGTGAGACGGCTAGATGTAGAGACTGCCAACAAGTCAATCTTGTATGTTGATTCCATGCTAAAGTACGCAAACCATCAGTACACACAATGTACGTCGAGCTCTTCGAGGTACCTTACTACAGTACATGTAACAACGTACACTCGAGGATTGATATACCGTCATCACGTTGTACGTATTCTACAGTAAACTCTCTTGATTCCGGTACTACTTACAACTAATATCCTCCTCAGTACGATAAAATCGTTTTATGGAGGATTTGTATTTGGCGGGAAGTGTAACAGGGTTACACGCACAAGTGGCTACAGTCACTTGTAACTCTAACAGACACGACGTCTGTTAGAGGTTCGAAAGACTTTCTCGACCTTGGTGTAGACACACCAAAGGCTACATACATTTACGATCACCACGACGGGTGGTCCATAGAGACTTAGGATTCCTATTGGCTGAAAGCAGCATCTTTTAGCCAATGAGCGACATGCATAGCATTGGAATTCTGCCAACCAGCCGTTGGCAGATTCCTATCATAGAATATTACATTTAGAGGAAGTCAGAAAGCATAAAACAAAAATAGCAGTTCTCATTTTAACCCAAAAACATTATTTGGACGGTTTATTCAGATTAATCTATACTCGGAGGCCCGAGTATAATTAACTCTAGTTTAAACTAAGCTACGCTTCCTCACACACATACGCACACGTGTAAGCTAAAGTAGTGAGCCAAAGTAGGCCCATTACACCTGGTAGCAGTTGTTGGTCCATCCAACGACCGACTACCTGAGTTCGTACGTCACCACACGAACGCGGAGCTGAGAACCTTCCCATGGATACAGAGGTGCCCATGGAAAGCTCCACTACGCCTTGCACGCGCTGACTGTCCCCACCTGTCGGATCCAGAGCGGGAGGCCCTGCAACGACTGTCAACAGTCATTGGTGAGGCGGCTGTAGCCACGATGCTGCGTGCGCTAACGCCGACAGAGCAACACGGTGTTGCTCTGGGTTTCATCCTGAAGGAGCAACGCGATGTTGCTGCTACTACCACGGTGTCGTCCGGGACGACACCACGCGCGCAATCGCTGAAGCTCAATGTGAGTAACTATGTCGGAAGAGAGGGTGAACCTCTCCTCCGTTGGCTTGTCGAACTCGACACAGCCATTGCGGCTCGACGTAACGTTGACCCGTTGTCGAAGGTGGCGTTCGCCATGTCATGCTTTGGCGGACGCGCAAGAAGTTGGGCGCATAAACGCCGACTCTCGGATCCTACGCGCTTTAGCACATACGAGAGTTTCAAGGATAAGCTCAGACGAGCGTTTGAGCCCCCGCAAAACGAGTTCCGGTCGAGGGCGGAGTTCCTCGACCTGCAGCAGGGCAAGCATGATGTCCATGCTTACGCTCAGAGAGCACGGTACTTGGTCTCGAACATCGTGACCGATCCGATCGACGAGGCGGCCAAGGTCGTCACGTTCATGAAGGGACTGAGAGATGGGCCTGTGAAGACCTATCTCTTCCGTGAGTACCCGAGTACTCTCGAAGCTGCAATTACTCTTGCAATGCAGGAGGAGTTTAGCCTGCGGCAGGCTAAGCTGCATGCACATGTGCCGCCACGCCCGGTAGTGAGGACGGGAGCCCAGAACCCATGGAGCTCTAGAGTGCTGCAACTGCTGGACCCCAGCAGTCGCAGGGAAACAATGTGCGATGCTACTGTTGCTGTAGAGTCGGTCACTTTGCTCGGGAGTGCACGGCCCCCATGCACCAGCAGGGTGGCTATCGCGGCGGTGCCGGGCACCGTCAGTAGGCGCGGGGCGCCCAACTGGTAATGCAGTTCCGCGTGACGACCTTGGACACGCGACACTAAGGACTGCAGCCCCCAGTGAGATTTATTCTCACTGCAAGAACCAAGATGACAAGCCTGACCTTGTCATCCTGAACGTGAAGTCGATGAGAGCAAGCGGCTCTCTCCGTGCTTTGGTAGATTCTGGCGCGTCGAAAAACTTTGTTCGACTGCGCAGTCTATCAAGGCTTGACTTCGAGGATTTTAAGATATTTCGAAGTATGTTGGAGGTACGACTGGCAACGGGTGCCGTCGTGAAGACCGAGAAGCGCATGGTACGCGTGCGCTTCACGTATGAAGACCAAGAGTTTGTCGAGACCTTTATCGTCCTGGATCTGGACGATAAGTTTGACATTGTATTGGGCATGCCGTGGTTTGCACGGCATGATCCGGTCATCGATTGGGAGAAGCACACTCTCGTGCGCTTCGGTCGCGACAGCGGAACAGTGAGCGATGGCCCTGTTGCCGCTGTCCCGGAGCGCCCTGGGCGCGCGCGAGCACGCGCGCAAGAGCAGCAAGCGTCGGCGTCGCCGCCGACAGCTGAAGGAGAAAATGTGTTGATTTCGGAGATCGACACCCGCTTTTCAGCGAATCAGGAAGAGCCTCCGGTCTCAAGGGGCACGGATGATGCAGGCGAGTCACACGCCTCAGCCGTGGAGGCTGACGCGAATCTGATTGGATCAGGTCTGGCCAATAATAAGAGCCAAGGTGACTTAATGCCGTCGACTCCGGGAGTCGATGACTTGGACGAATTTGATTCGTCGGCTCGGGGAGCCGACGCACCCTCCGTAATGGAGAGCTCCGCCAATAACAGGCATCGAGGTAAGGATGGCGTGTCGACTCCGGGAGTCGACACTGCAAGTGGTGCGGACGGTTGCAAGCGTCCCGCATGCATGGTGTCGTGCAGCCGGGCTGCACGACGAAGCGCCGGGCGACCAAGCCGGGCTTGAAGTCGCTCGTCCGCGGGATGAACACGCCGGCGGGACTGAAGAACACCCGTCCACGGCTGGGCCTGGACGAGGTCAAGAACCAAGCGGAGCCGGGCTCCGCAAAGCAAGACGACGGCGCATGCGAAGGTCACTGCGCAAGTCTCGGCCTGGGGCCGAGACGCTACAAGAAATGTCTGCCGGGCAGACGGAGGCTGAGAAGCCGGACGTCGAGACGTTGAACGTCTTGACGCGTACCTGTGCCGGGTCCCGGTACAGGGAGATGACTCTCGCTAACCCTCCGACGCAAGCGTCGGAGTTGACTTCACTTCCAGTCATGAGCTGGAAGCGCTTCGCGCGTGACTTGCACGATGGACGCATCGAGCAAATATGCATTCTCTCGGACGCCGAGAGAACGAAGAGCGAGAATGAAGAACTGAGCCAGTTCTTCATGGAGACCACCACTGAGAGCGAGGACACTCTCAGTGCAAAGACGAAGAAGGAGCGCTTTGAAGAACAGAGCTGGGGCTCGTTGAAAACGAGTCCCTACTACACGATCTTACGGGAGTACGCGGACGTACTTCCGGAAGAGATCCCTGCTGAGCTTCCCATCCAGCACGAGATTGATCTCGTGCCGGGGACGAAGTACTGTGTCACGCGGCAGTGGCCACTGCCGCGAGAGCAGGTCAAGGCGATCGACGACTTCTTTGAGAGTCGTCGCAAAGCTGGACAAGTGCGGGAATCGAAGTCCGCACACAGTTCTCCGACATTCTGTGTCAAGAAGCCACAGGGCGGCGGGCGCATCGTCCATGCGTACAACAAGTTGAACGATGCGACGATACCGGCGCAGACACCGATACAGCGAAAAGATGTCATCATCGATTCGATGGCCAGGAGCACTATCTACAGTGCTCTTGATCTGCACGATGGGTTCTATCAGATCCTCATGCGTGAGAGCGATATCCCTCTCACGGCAGTGAGCACGCCGAGTGGCATGCTCTGGGAGTGGTGATGCCGCAGGGTCTGAAGAACGCCCCTGCGACCTTCAACAGGTGCGTGATGCACTTGTTGCGCTCGGTGCGCGACTTCGCACCGAGCTACTTCGACGATGTGTTCATCCACAGCCGGGCCGCGGACGAGATGAGCGATGTTGAGATGCACAAGGTGCATCTCCGGAAGCTGCTTGCGCTCATGCGGAAGCACAAGCTCTATGCGAACCTAAAGAAGTGCATTTTCGGGGCGAGCGAGATACCCGTGCTCGGGTGTCTCGTTGGGAAGAACGGTGTCCGCCCTGACCCTGAGAAGGTCAGAGTGATCAATGAGTGGCCGACGCCGTCGAACGTCAAGGAACTGCGGCAGTTCCTTGGCTTGGCCACGTACTTGTGCAAGTACGTGAAGGACTACGCGGGCATGATACGCCCGCTGTCACAGCTCCTGAAGAAGGACGCCGAGTGGGTTTGGACTGCTGAGTGTCAGCAGGCCTTCGATGCAGTCAAGCGGGGCTTGCCTGAGGCGCCGAGCTTGGCGGTGGCCGACCAAGATCACCCATTCCACGTTGTGTGTGACGCATCCGACTTCGCAATCGGATGTGCGTTGATGCAGCCCAATCACGAGGGTCGTGATCGTGTCGTCTACTACCAATCGCGTCAGCTGAAGCCAGCTGAGCGCAACTACCCGGTACATGACAAGTAGCTCCTTGCCATGAAGTACGCACTCGCGAAGTTCCGAGTGTATCTACTCGGAAGCAAACCGTTCGTGGTCTATACGGACCACGCGTCGTTGCGGACGGCTGTGAAGTCGCCGCACATCTCGCAACGGATGGCGAGATGGCTCTCATTCTTCGCAGAGTATAACTTCCGGGTTGAGTACAAACCCGGAAGACTCAATGTGGTGGACGACGCGCTCTCGCGTCGACCTGACTACGCCACGACTGATGCTGACGTCAATGCCATTGACGCCATGCGATCGAGCACCCCGACGTCGTCACTGTTGGACGACGTGAAGGTCGCGTTCGCGCACGACGCGGACGCGAAGCTCTTGCTGGCCTACGGCTCAGCGCCTTCTGACCAAGCTCGTCAGAAGCTGCCGAAGCATCTTCGTGCTCGTGCACACCGTTACCGGGTGCACGACGGGTTATTACTCTACAGTGCAGTCGACGACAACGCGGTCCGCGTTGTCGTGCCCAATGACCATGACCTGCGACTCAGGATCATGTATGAGTATCACGATGCACCGACTACGGGGCATCCGGGCCGTGAGAAGACATACCTTCTTCTCCCGCGAGACTTCTACTGGACCCACCAGTATAAATGGGTGCGCAAGTACGTCCGTGCTTGCGAGGTTTGTCAACGTGTGAAGCCTGCGCCTTTCGCGCAGGCTCCCTTGCAGTCACTGCCGACTCCGTCGGAGTGTTGGCAGTCCATGTCTTTGGACTTCGTGTTCGGTCTTCCCCCGGACAGCCTGGGGAACACGGGCGTTGTGGTCTTTGTTGACCGCTTCAGTAAGATGGTACATCTTTTTGCGGTACCCGCTGAAGTGACTGCGAAACAGACGGCGCGTCTGTTCGTTGACATGGTGTTCAAACACCATGGCATGCCGATCGACATTGTGTCGGATCGAGACCCGCGCTTCACTGCACACCTTTGGCAAGAAGTGTTTATACTTCCTGGGAGTCAACTTTCGATGTCGACTGCGGACCATCCGCAGACGGACGAGCAGACCGAGCACGTGAACTGCGTGCTCGTAGACGTGCTTAAGAGCTACGCTCACTCGTTCCAACAGTGGAGCGAGTGCCTGCCGATGGCGGAGTTCGCCATCAACAACTCGGTGCATGCCTCGACCGGGCATACACCGTTCTACGTGAATGCCATCACGCACCCACGCCTCCCGAGTCTACTCGGGATGGTGGCTCCTTCCTTAAGTGGGGGAGGATCTACGACTGCAACGCAGCAGCCGCAGAATGCCGCTGACACTTGCACAGTGTCAGCCGCGACTACGCGCAAGAAGAAGAAGTAACACGCGTCTGTGCAGGGCACAGACGCCGACTACGCGCAAGAAGAAGAAGAAAAAGAAGAACGGGTATGTACAGAGCACAGACACCGCGAAGACGAACGCAGAGGCCGGGCCTAGTGCTGGAAACGAGCTGAACGAGTTCAGCTCGGACGCAATCAACTTCGTGCAGCGCAGACAAGCCGTCGTTCGATTTGTCCAAGACGCTATTGCAGCTTCTGTTGATCGATAGAAGCTGAACGCAGACAACGTTGGCAGGGGCAACACAAATGAAAAACGAACCGGCAGCCGGTTCGTTATCGTATTCGTTGGAGAGGGTTTCCGCCCCACCAAGATACATGGGAGCCGCGGGGCGTCCTGCTGCAGGACGTTCCGGAAATGGTGAGGGTGAACGAAGCTCACCACGCGCTGCCAGTGCGAAGGTAGAGCGAGCGCTGTAGTCACCTGCAGCGCCCGAAGTCCCACGATCGTCGCATTCCTCACGTGCCAGGAACTTACTAGGAGATCTTTGAGACTCACAGGTACACGAATCGTCGTGTACCCGTTTGGGTCGCGGTCGCTCAAGCGCGCCGCAATCGGAAGCCACAACGTGCACTGTTGGCCTTCGGGCACAGCGCATGGAATACTAGCGTCCACAGAGGATCTGTGGAGCTGCTCCAGCCGCCCGCGCGTCGAGAATGTCTCGAAGCGCTCACGGGCATGCTTAACCCGCTCGCGGTAAGCAGCCGGTTTCTTGTTGAAGTTCTCAACAAAAGCATTCCAACTTTGACGAAGTGCCTGCCACTCAGGCACTTTGCTGCGAGAAGAGGTCTTCTTGCTGGAGACGTACCGGAGCTCGTGGAAGAGCCCGATATAATAATCGCGCCTTTGATTCGTTACCGGGTCAAAGTGCTGCTCCTCCGCCACAGCATCGTCGTGGATGCCGCTGCATACGTATAGCGGGATATCATTAGGAGGCACAGTGTTGCCCACACGGTCTGCGATCTCTGACGCAGACGGTATCCACGGATCGCGCGCTGCTCAGGCAGCGCGCGGAGAGCTTGAAGACGCCACTTCACACGGGGAGCTTAAAGCCCCAGCAGCAGAGAGCGGAGTGTCGCTCTCGCCGCGCGAACGCTTCAAACTCGAAGCGTCCGAGTCGTCTCCTTCACGAGGGCGTCTCGACCCGGCATGCGGGTCGAGACTATCGCTGTCGATAGACTCCTTGCGCATGCTTGAAGAGGCCTCGCCCTCTTCCATCTCCACGTCGCAGTCCCCGTAGTCAACAGCGTCGTTGACTACAGAGGAACCTTCGAGGACAATCTCCGGTTGAGTTGTCCCCGCCGCAGCCTTGGCAGCAAGAGCGTCACGCTTTGCTTTGTGACGCTCGCGGTACTCGGGGATAGAGAGAGTATCTATCTCGGCGGAGGTCTTCCCCTCTGCTGCAGCGTCGGTCTTCTTCGGCGAGCTCATTGCAGAATGAGCTCGAGTTTTCTTTGTCCCAACCTGAAGAATTGACGAATGGTCAATTTGCTGATTGACGTGCCGTGACTCGGCGCGTCTAACCTTGAGGGGGGATGGTGTAACAGGGTTACACGCACAAGTGGCTACAGTCACTTGTAACTCTAACAGACACGACGTCTGTTAGAGGTTCGAAAGACTTTCTCGACCTTGGTGTAGACACACCAAAGGCTACATACATTTACGATCACCACGACGGGTGGTCCATAGAGACTTAGGATTCCTATTGGCTGAAAGCAGCATCTTTTAGCCAATGAGCGACATGCATAGCATTGGAATTCTGCCAACCAGCCGTTGGCAGATTCCTATCATAGAATATTACATTTAGAGGAAGTCAGAAAGCATAAAACGAAAATAGCAGTTCTCATTTCAACCCAAAAACATTATTTGGACGGTTTATTTAGATTAATCTATACTCGGAGGCCCGAGTATAATTAACTCTAGTTTAAACTAAGCTACGCTTCCTCACACACATGCGCGCACGTGTAAGCTAAAGTAGCCAGAAGCGGGACCTCATCCAGAAGGCGTATGAGTGTCCGACGATGACGCAGCACGAACTGGGTGCGTGGACCAAGGCGGCGTTCAAGCTCAAGCGGGCGCCCGCCCAAACGACTATTTCGGACATCCTGCGGAAGGCGCCCGCTATCATGAGCGAGACGTACGGCGATGGCAAGCGTCGCAAGCCGCTCGAGGTGACTTCGTTGGCGCTCGAGGAGAAGTTGTGGGCGTGGATCCAGGCTGCTGAAGCCCAGAACGTGTGCCTCTCGCGAGAGCTGATCAAGATGAAGGCGCAGGACCTGCAGAAGGAGCTGTGCGACGCGTGGGAGTTGAACCTCTCTAACGGATGGCTCACTGGGTTCCAGCGTCGTCATGACCTACGCCATCGCAAGCGTCATGGTGAAGCCGCCTCCGCCGATACTGCGGCTGTTTATCTAGGTAGACAGCAGCTGCAGGACCTAACCGACCAATACGCCCCCCCTAACCCCCCACGATGTATTCAACATGGATGAAACGGGCCTTTGCTATGCCATGGCACCGGCCCGTTCCATTTGCACAAGAAGCGCCCGCTGTGTGAAGAAAACGAAGACACGGATCACGATTGCGCTCACGGCTAATGCCGACGGCTCCGACGCTCTACCTCCGATCTTTTTGGGACAGGCCAAGCAGCCGTACCGCTTCAAGAAGCGCACAGCGGCTCAGCTCGGCTCCGAGTACAAGGCAAATCAAAAAGCGTGGATGACGGGCCAAGTATTCCGCGAATGGCTGCCCAATCTCGACCGTGACATGCGAGCGGCGGGAAGGCATATCTTGCTGCTAGTCGACAATGCCTCTTCGCATAGTATAGGTGAGATTGCATGCACTAACGTTCGCCTAGAGTTTTTGCCACCAAACACGACTGATTTTCTGCAGCCAATGGATGCAGGAATAATTACCGAGTTCAAGCGTGCGTATCGTAGAAAGCAGCTACGGTGGGTGTATGAGAAGATTAAGCGTGCCGCAGATTAAGAAGGGTGACGTCTATAAAGTCGACCAGCTACAAGCGATGAAGTGGAGCAAAGAAATCTGGCAGGAGCTGCAGGGCAAGGCTACAATTGAAAATTGTTTTCGCCACACCGGTATTGTTTTCAACGGAGTAGACAAGCTTAGCAAGAAAGAAACTAGCTACTCGGGGGATGTAGAGGTAGAAGATATTATTTTCCGCGCTGCAGACCTGCATCTCTAAGCTCTATAAAGCAATTGCAAATCCCACGATGTGGTCGGACCATGGTACAGGAAGTGGTAGAATTTGCTGTATCTGTATTTTTGTCGTGTACATGTAGGCATTGCATTTGGTGGATGTACTACACCATTTCCAGTCCAAACTGGGACAGTCTCCAGAGCAAACTGGGACGGGCGAGAGCCGGGCCGCGTAATTTACTCAAGCGTAATAAATCGTGTAAATTATCCCACCAGCTCCAGACCATGTGAGATTTTGCTCCGGAGCTAGTGAGACTACCCATCATGTAGCATATGCCTCAGAGCGGTCAGCACAGGTTTTAAAATACAAGCAGAACGAGAGATGGAGAAGGAGGCGAGGCACTTGCCTCACGCGTAGCTCCACTCATTCGCGCAGCATTTCTTGGTGGTATTAGCAAGCCAACATATCAAGCTATCGAATAAGCCTACAATCATGCCCCGTAAATGGATGTGAAAGCAGATATCGAGACATTCATCGAGCCATGGGGTGCTGCCACCGCATCTGTCACTCCTCAAGTTCATATGCGATTTGATAAAAAAGTCCCACTTGCTCTGGAGCCAATCTCGAGCTCCCCAATTTAAGCCGAAATTCAACCTACCCAAAATTATATTTGAGGATAGAGCCGTGCGACGTATCTCGCTGGTCTGGAGGCTGTCCCAGTTTGGACTGGAAATGGTGTATAGCATGCAACATCGTTATTGTTGTGTGCATGATCAGATCTGTATTTTTCTCGTGCGAAATGTTGTGGTGCTTTGCTTCTGCCTCGTTGTATGCAAATCTATCTCGGGACCATCAAGGTTGCACGCCACCGGTCACGCATTAAGAAGCACACCAACTAGAACTTACTCACTACCGAGAGCTTGGGGAGGAAAGTTTTACAAGTTACATTCAGCTTTACCGCTGCCGGGCTGAATCCGAGACGCAAATCTTTCTTGTTTTGTTGGTGTTTTTGCTCCTGCGGTTTTGTCCTCCAGAACGATAAGGAGAGTGATCAAATTAAGGTAAGATGCCGGTACGTTTTGCAGGAACCACCATGATACAAGAAATCAAATGAAGTCTGAGTTATCGTAACACATGGGCCACGCGTGAAGCTCATTTGCCCCCCCCCCCCCCCCCCCCCCCCGCCATGCCACAAGATCCAAGCCAACGCCCAGTATCTGGATTACTTCCTTGACTGAAAGGCGCAATTTTCTTCGATATATCATTCAAAAGATACCTTGGCTTCAGCTGAGTAAGAGAGCGCAGTGTGCAACGACATGAATGTAAGGCAGGAAGTGAAATCGGCTTTTGCATTTCTCTATTGGTAATTGTAGAATAATTCTGCTACCGGTCCGAATCACTTTTCCGAGTCCCTGTTCATTAGCTGCGCGTATTTGATCCCACCAACTGTTGCACAAGTCACCACACCAAGGCCCAGCAGAGCCCAGAGCGCCTTCTCTAGCTTGGACGTTTTTCCGTGTTCCACCGCATGCATCAGGTTTCCGACTGCAGCGTTCGAAGGCTTCTGGTTCAACAAGAAGGCTCCAGCGCTAACCGATCTCTCCTCCTCCTCCTCAGCATCGCTCTGTTTGCGCTTCCCTCTCAGTCGGTGAACCTTGCCACCAGAGTGGCTAGGCTTGGTAGCGCCATCCTGAAGTTCAGCGGGCCGTTCGGCGCTGGCGAAGTCCACACAGCTCAAGACGAAAGTACGACCAGGGCCAGGTAGAAGACGAAACGCATCGTTTGGCCGGTCCACAGCAAATTCCGCTATGCGTGAACTGGCAAGCCAGCTTTTGTTTTGATTTCAAGCTGACGTACGCAAGCGATTACAGTACGGGTTAATTAATGTACCTTTGTCATCACATAATGCTTGTTATGACATACAGGCTAATATTAGCCAATCAATGGCATTTTCACCTGTGAGCTCTATTGCCTTTAGCTGGCAAGCTCCGCAGCAAGTTTAGCGAGGACCTGTCCTTGCCAAGGGGTGTCAATACGGTATCTACACCCACCGTCTGGGCTTTTCGCTTGTCTGCTCTGCTTGGCTCTGCGTACAGCAGCTCGATGCTGGCGCGACCGCGCTTCCAGCTCTGTGCGAGCGTTTGCCGACTTTGGTTGGGTAACGTAGGGTAGAAATCGTTGATGGGATATTGCCATGCTTGGTCAAGTACTTTGAGCTTCTCGGCAACCGGGGACGACGTCACCGAGTGCCTTAATGCCTTCCTCTCCTTTGCGTCAGGCAAGCGAGGCCACCCGCGTCAGTCCGCAACTGAGCGTAATTGGTAGGCGAGGAGTGCCTGTATGCCATAACAAGTGCTAGGGTGTCAAAATGTACAACGCTGGTCAAACAGGCGTCTTAGCTTATTGTCTATTTGGCGTTGATAAGGCGGTAGGCCAAGATCTGCGACTGACGACTTCGACGAAGCGTTTTGTTGCTAGACTAGAGGATTGGGCTGGTAGTGCGCCTGAATATGCAATTTCGTCGAAGCAAACCAAAATTGTTCGGTTAAATGAACAGAAACTTGCCAACATTTGATACGCATCTGCTGCTCCTCCGTGATCTCCTCGCCGAACTCGAGCGCCACGTGCAGGTGCGCCATACGGCCCTCCGTCTTCTCCACGAGACTGGAAGCCGACACCTGGCGGTTGGCCGCGTCCATGAGCGTTGAGCTGCGCAAGTACGATCAATAGTAAAAATGCATGACGGTTTACAGATTCATGCTATTTCTACGCGTATTCTCAATATATTTTCGCATTGAATGATGTAGACTAGATATTGATCGACCATCGGCACCCAACTTTGCCACATAATTAATTTCTCCGAGTAATTCTAAGAAAAATTGTATGTAAATTTCCGCATTGAATGATGTATACTAGATATTGATCGACCAACAGCACAACCATTCAGTCACAAAATTAATTTCTCCGAGTAATCCTAAGAAAAGTTGTATGAAAACGCGGTGAAAATGATGAGTGATCTGGACTACAGAGCGCTCCTACGACCACCACCTACAAGCGGTGTCCCGGTCCTCAGTTCAGCTTTTTCGGTCGCTGCAGCAGCCAACCCCCCCCCCCGTGCTCACGGTAAAAAACTCCGCTGCTGTGGTGCCGAACTAGCTGGACTCACCTCGCCGCAGAACCACCGAACGGACCGACACTCAGACAACCCCCCCCTCCCCTCCTGCGACCACCGGTATGTCGCCGCGCTACCTACCGTGCCTCGCTTCATCATCATCTCGCCTTTGCGCATGCTATCTTAGCCGCATATTGTTGAATGTGTATTAGACTTTAGCATTATTCTATCTTGGTCGCAGCGCGCCAAACATCCTCCGCGCTTTTGTAGATAGATCAAATATTGCTGCACAAACTACCTGCATAGCAACTAGAAAACCGGGTTGCCCGCTATCGGCAAATACCCTCTCCTCCTTCATTCAAACATTTCAGAGCTGGCACCTTCGTACTTAACGTTTACTCTTAAGCTCTGGAAACGAATATCCTACTGAACTAATTTGCCACTCCACCGAAAAAGCCTCTTCTTTTACGTGAGTTTCAAGAAACCATGCGATTTCTGAGATTATTAAATGACTTTACTTGATTTCAGTATACTTTTACTTCATGTGCGCCACATATCAGGGGCATCGAATTAATCCTGGTTGGGCTGTCCATACTTCGTAACCGAAGCACTACCAGGATAAATAGATGCACATGCTTGCCTTGCTTCAGCTTGTATGTGCGGTTAGGGTAAATAGGTGTAGGTGGGATGTATGTGATGACCAGGGGTTGCCAGTAATTTGCTTTGAACTACTATTCCACTGATACCACTATTAAAATGATGCTATAAATACTACAGTAGCTATTGTTTTGGGACGAGGAGCCAACTAATACTACTGCAGTAATTAGTAACTCAGATCGGCCATATTTACTAATGCTGACTACTGCCTACTAGAAGAAATTTAGAGGCGTTCTTTCCGCTTCCAGGGATGTTTGACCGCATGACCACTCTCGTCGATTTAGTGCAGAGAGAAATATTTTGACGTCCGGGGCCACTGTTGTACACAAAATTGTAACACGAGCAAAACATTTGGCGGCCAGACCGGCTTTGCTCGTGTCGGTCCCGCCTACAGCTAGCCTCGATCCGCTGAATGGCTCAAGAACGCTATCTACCTGGTTAAGGGCATGTTGGCGGCGCGTACTCAATCGCCTCAAATGAATGATCCCCGTCTTACACGGTTTGTACGGGGAGCGGTAAGTGCAAAATATGAATCGATTAAACGGATCTAAAGTGGCTTCAGGTGTTGGTTGTTACTTAGAACTGGAGCATCCCGTTATACAGCTGTACGAGGACACGATCCGATCGTCGGCTCTAATAACGGGGACCAACAATCTTGAGCAGTGGTTTGCAACTGGCAATTTGGCAGCGGTTCGACCGACCCCACGATCCCCGCGTCAGCTCTGACAACAAGATTGAACTGATGCTCGTAAAAGGAAAAATTTTGCACGAAGAATCCGACTGTGTGAAGCGTTCAGCGACAGAGGTATAGGCTTTTTGAAGGTCGACCATCGAAATTACTATGAAGTAATAGATAATAATGTATTAATAGTAATGTAGTAGTCGAGATCTCGGGCTCGATGATACTAGTACTTTAGTATCCTGTTATCTTCCACTAGTATATTACTATGGTAATTCAGAAGATAATCGTGTTACTGTCAATCCCTGGTGATGGCAAAGGGATGCCGGCACCGTCACTGTGGTATCACGTGCACCGTACACACGTTGCAGTAAGAAAGTAACACTATGTGTACTTCCCTAAAAGCACCCGATTGAAACGATAAAGGTACACCTTCTCAGAAGCAAAGCTGATTTTAAGTTTTTTATGATTGCCATGTACGCTTAGAGGTTCGCGACTGTACCAGGATGGGTGTGTGAATTTAGGAAATAGCACCCGTTGGAACCTGCCCCCCCCCCCCCCCTCCGCCCATGTTCTATCCTAGCACGCACACTGTAGCAGGAAGAATTGATACCCCGCGATACACATAACCTTTCGCACTAGAGAAATGCATCTCTCTTCAACGCGTAAATTTGAGCGGCTTCATATTTACGATAACCAAGCTCAGATGGAATACGTACGATATAATGACGGCACATACATATACTGCGTGCCTCCCCCACCATTCGTCCACCGTACGTGACTATACGTGTACATGTATGTAAGTGTAAGACTTGCCTCAACCAGTTTGTTGAGCACCCTTTTCTTACTTAAAAAGCGTGTTAGCGGGCGAGGATTATTGACAGACATAGTAGTCACCTAGCCAACCGCAAACACGGTGCCTGGCCGACTGTATCCGCGACGCATGGCTGTTATTCTAGTTGTTGTTGTGATCTAGGTTCCCAAGAATGAGAAATAGAGTAACCAAGTACAGGGTAAGATGCAACTACGCTATGTTGGAACCTGGAGGGGGACAAGTCTCAAACGGCGTCTGAGCTGCCGAAATAATATCAGTCTTCAATTTTACCCTTCAGCTGCTGGAGTTGCTGAAGCTTTGTAGAGGAAGCTCACCCCTCCCCCGTTCGACTCCGGCGATGGATCCATTATACCCTCCGAGAACTCTTGACCGTTGAGCGATAGCGCGACATGAACTCGTTCGTCCGCGCTAACAGGTAGCTCTGGCAGTACAAACTCGGCTGTTCGAGCGGCTTCGTCGATTTCGACAGGCAAAACCTTGGACAGCACAATTTCACAGTTAGAAGATGAAGACAGATACAAGCGATACAGCAACCATAGGCAACATACCAGTGACACTTTCGAGTCTGCGGTTTCCAGCCTCACGCACGCTGCGGGTGTCGAGACCACCTTGTCAACTGCCAGCACCATTGTGGCGCCAGCTTCCGCCTCCTGCGGAGAAATTCCACTCAGTTCCGGGACAGCGCAGTACACGAAACTCAATCCGGCGTCGGTGAAGTGCTCGCCGTCCAGCGACACGAATACCGTGACCTCTTCGCGTGTTCCCAGCACCATTCCCACCGCCATGGCCGCAGCTGTGGCCGAATCATCGGGGAACGGCAGCGGCGGCGTTCTGAAGACGACACGGCGATTCGTGGAGCTCGCTTCGCCCGAAGCTTCTTCAGGTCGCAAGCAGACTGCGGGCACTACCAAGCAGCTCTCTCTCCACTGTAACTTGACTGCGGCGTCTTGTGTGTCGAAGTGGAAGAAATCGCCAGCAACCGACACCTGAGTGCCGCCCGGGACCATTCCGACGCTAGGAAAAAGGCTCAATAAGCGTCCAGGCGCCAGCATCCCAAATATCTGCGCTGCCGTGGAGAAGCTTCTTCCCCCGAGTAGCAGCTGAGCAGGGACGAAGGTCCTCCCGGCGTTCATGGACACGCGAAGTTTGGACACAAAGCCCGTCTTGGAGAGCGCCCTCCACCATTCGGCTGATAGCCCCTGGAGCTTCGGGTTAGTCGGTGCAGTGCATTTCCACTCGGACAGCGGAGGGATGGAGCACACGATGAGGTTTCCTTCGACACTGTCGATGGGGAGAACAGCCGAGGCGCTTGGCATCTTCTGGGGGTCGAAGTCGCTGTTGGAGGGGGAGTAGACGATGCTCACGTGGATCTGCATGACCTCGGGAGGGAGGAGATGCTGCAGCACGATCTTGATCGTCTGTGGCAGGTCGTTAGTGAGGAACGAGTTGGGGACAACGCGGACAAGTTGCGCGTCGTGGGCCCAGATAACGTGGGGCAACGCAGGTCGAGGCTCGTCTAATTTACGGGAATAGCTGAAGGGGTGAGATAGTTCCTCCTGTTCGACTTTGTCTGCATTTTCATCCTTCTGCTTCACAAGCGTCGGGTCAACGCACACTGGCGCAAATATGAGCCCTCCATCGTACGAGATCTCGAGTACGTAGGGTGCGATGCCCTCTCCGTTGTCCGGTATAATAGGCGCCTTCAACCGCAGCAATCGACCGGTGATATCGGACGGATCGTACTCGGTCTCCTCCGCTTCATTCACGCTCTCTGGACGCTCGTCAAAGGCTCCGACCACTGCGGGGGCAAGCTCAGAGCTGCTCTTGGGGACAAAGTGACCGCTGTTTGCATTGATTCGACAGCGCACGAAGCGCACAATGGGGCGCCGAGAGATCTCCGGGAGGCTGCCGCACAAGGACATCGTGATCTCTTCCTCTCCTGAGAATCGGGTATCAAAGACGGACACTGCGGCCACCTGAGGACGCTTAAACACCGTGAAGACCCGCTCATTCGACGTAAAGTGCTTGCCGTTCATGGAAACCTCGACGGCGTATCCTCCAGGCAATCGGAACTTCGGCACCTGGCACAGAACCTCCCCCGTGGCCTCATTGAACGTGCCGAGCATGCCACGCATGAGTCGGCCGTCGTTCAGCGGCACAAACCGCACTGTCATGTTGTCGCTGGGCCAGAACCCGCTGCCGCGTATCCGCAGCTCGTAGCCGCCGACGTGTTCCCCGCAGACAGGGGCGATCTCCGAGATGCACGTCGGAGCGAACGCAAAGAGGTTGCGATCTCCACAGACCACCGACCCAATGACGGTGTGCTGCAGATACTCCACACGTCGTGGGACAAACTCGCAGTCGTATTTGCGTGACTTGCCCCCATGCCCCAGCTTCCCGTAGCTGCCGTTCCCCCACGTGAACAGTTGATTGGCTACAGTTAGAGCTGCGGAGTAGTTGCCGCCTGCGAAAACCTTCGCCCACTTGACGGTTCTATCGCATTTTACAGCGCTTGGGAGAGCGTTCCCCCCTTTGACTTCAGCTTCCCCCCTTCCAGTCTTCCCACCGTGTCCAAGCTGGCCGAAAGTGTTCAACCCCCACGAGAACATTTCACCCGCGGTTGTCACTGCGAGAACGTGGTCGTATCCACAGGCGATTCCGACGAACGGTTCACCATTTGAGCCCTTGTCCAGGATCAAATTGAGGGTGCTGACCCCAGGGGCATTCGGACTCCTGTTGGCATTACTGGCAGGTCGAAGCGAGCTGCCTCCAAGGAGATACACGCTCCCGTCGGCGAGCAACACTGCAGTGAAGGTGTTACCACAACAGGCAGATACAACGCGAGGCTTGCCCAGGAAGAAGCCGACGTACTTGGGCCACGCGCAGATGCCGTTGAAGACCGCGTTCACCTCCTTGGGCAGCGTCTTGAACACCTGGCCGAGTTGCCCCTCGAAGTTCCTTCCCCACGTGTAAATGTCCCCGCCGTCCGTGACTGCGGCCGAGTGGTGTTTGCCGCAAGAAACCTGCGAGAAGAAGAGCTCGGGCGCCGTCACCACTCGATGCGGAGTGCCAGTAGCTGTAGCCGTCACCGTCGTCAGCGGCCGAGCCAGAGCTTGAGCTGACTTGGCCGAAGCTAACTCGCGCTTGTCTGGGCCATCGACCTCCGGCCCGGGAGTCTTCACTCGGTAGTAGTTCTGCGCCATCGTCGTCCCATGCTTGTGGCCGAGCTCGCTACTGGGCAGCGCAGCTCCAGGGCGGCCCCAGGAGAACAGTTGGCCGTCCAGCGAGAGCGCGACGCGGTGGTTCTTGCCCACTGCAACGCTGTGGACTTTGACGTCCTGCAGCCCTTCCGCCACCAGTTGACTCTCCAGCGCCGCAGCTTCGTCGCCCCCTCCTCCTCCGTCAACTGCTGGCCAGTCGAGCTCCCACGCGTCCACAAGAGCCACGAAGCGGTCGTAGGCGCCGCAGACGCCGCGCACTTTGCGTCCGAGAAGACCCTCAGCGATCTTGATCTCGCCGTCAGTCTGCTCCCCGCACACGTACAAGATCCCGAGGCTGCCTTCCATCGCCCGAGGTGTAGCGACCACAAGTCGTTAGTTACATCCCTTCGCCACGAGAATAAACCGTAGATAACGGCTGCAATTCACCATGTTCAGCTCGCAATACTGCAATAGATGGATCGTAAAGGAACTCTGCCACACCACTAGCTAGACGAGCAGCGCCGATCCAGGAGAGCACGCACTGCAGCATGGTCTACAAGTGCAACTTGATGTAGCCATGTGTCCAAGATGGCTACACCCATCACCTTTCAGCCAATCAGAATCACTATACGGACCACACTAGTAGCCAGTCCACCCTTCAGTAATCACTCCATCACGGTCTCCAATGCTGCTGACCGTGTTGCTGCATTCCTTGCTGCTGGCATGGGCGACTCGTCCGTCATGGGCGCGGCCCGCAGCGTGTGAGATCGACGGCGTGCGCATCGACCACGGGGGCGCGAGGTACCTGCTCGGCCGCGCGCACCGGCCCGGCAGCATCTACGCGCGCTGTCTGTACGGGGCCGCGACGTGCTTCGAGGACCGCGGGCTGGTGGACGCCCCGCAGTGGATCAACAGCCGCGAGGTGGACTGCTTCGAGGCCTCGGAGCGCCGCCGCCTGGGTGTCGCCATCATCCTGGAGGAGGACATCTGGCCCGACCACATCGTGTGGTACCGCATCAACGGCTCCTTCTCGGCCTACGAACTCGAGGTCATCAACACGGCCGTGGAGCTCTACAGCAAGGCGGACGTGAACGTGACGCTGCAGGAGTGCGAGCCCGTGTCCAAGTGCAACGGCAAGTACGTGAGCATCGAGCAGAACGAGGACGCGTGCTACGGCATGGTGGGCTACGTGAACGACGGCAAGCCGCAGATCATGAACTTGGGCGAGAGCTGCTTCGCCGGCGGCCCGGGCAACGTCGTCCACGAGATCGGCCACGCCATGGGGCTCTACCACGAGCACACGCACCCGGACAGAGAGGTGATCGTGCTCACGGACCAGAACCTGCCCGTGTCGGCCGAGAACTACGCCAAGACCAGCACTCGCGAGGCCACTCTCAAGCCGTACGACCCCAAGTCCATCATGCACTACGGCCGCACTGCGGGCCTCTGCTTCCCCAAGGCGCAGTACCCGCTCAAGTCCTTCTGCGACGTGGAGACGGTCAAGAACTGCGTCCAGCCAGTGGAGCAGCACTGCAACTCCAGTCGGGACTCGGAGATCGGCACCCGCGCAGTGCTCAGCGCCGGCGATATCTACACGCTCCGCATGCTCTATGGCTCGAAGGACAACGCTACGGTGCGCGATGTGAAGATCCCGACTGTGGTCTCGTCCACTGCTGGGAGTGTGGGCGCTCCGGACTCGATCTCGGACATGGTCAAGCACACGCGGAAGCCGAAAGCTAGCGCTGCGGCCACGGAGTCGAGATCTGCGGCCAAGCAAGAGACCAACTCGAAGTCGAGCTTGCAGTCGGTTGATCCGAACTATAAGCCGGGTGGGGTCCACGCCGAAAGCAGCGGGTCAGTGGCGGAGATGCTCGAGTGGTGGGAAAATCTGGAGAATACGATCGAGATCCAAAAGAAGAGAGCGTCCACGTCCTCAAAGCGAGCGCTAGCCGAAGAGTACACGCAGACATAGAGCTGGCTGCCGTGTGCCAATTGTTCATAGTCCCTTGTTCCGCAGATAATAATGTAGATGTTGGTGATCCATACCTTGGCGCACGGGATTGCTGCGACGCAAATGAAGCCCATTCCGTGTCGGGACAAAATCAAAGGCTCTGTTACGTGTGAGCCCGTGCAGGACTCGTCGCAAGTCGAGGAACCAAGCGTCTACGTACGTCGCACCAAAATTGTCTTGTGTTGGCTCGTGCCAATTGTTCGAGTCTTGGCCCCGCTCTTGAGTTGTCTCAGCACTTGGTTGGCGTGTTGTCAACGAATTGGTGGTGGAAACGGCTCCGCATTGGCGAGTCCGACGCGATAACTGAATGAACGAATGCGTGCTTTGTCCATGAGCCAGCGCTGACTTGCGAACTCACGTGGGCGACAACAATCTTTCTTTCCGACGCAATCGCCGCATCTCGGTAGAACAAAGCAAACCGGTTTGAAGTGTGAGTCAACGCGTGCCACTGGCCAAGCTCTTCAGATTCCTTGTGGAGGCTCGAATCGGAAGTCTCACCTACCGGTACTGTAGGCTACCGCTTCAACCAGGATCTCTTTCAACAGAGGTCTTCTATTCAAGGCAACCGGATGCTAATCAAAAGCCCATATGACAAAGACTGAGTATGCACGCACTATTCAGAGCAAAGTGCTGAACTTCAGGTAGTCGGTTCACTGCCGATTTGAAACGACAGCATGCAACGCTCAGCGCTCATCCTCGCACTGCAGACGACACCCCGCAGTTCTGTTCAGTATTTACAGCATTTTACCAGCCCCTCTTAAGCACCAACGGCACTCTCCAGTGCTTTTTTGCTTCGCCATTTTCACGCGGCTACGGAATATTTCGAGCGTCCCAGCCCTGTGCAACCGAGCGCGTGTTTGGCCCAAACGTGCGGAGCGGAGCCCGAAGATGCGCCGTGTTCGGGGGAACCGGCCGCGCAGAGACCCGCGTTTTCGTGTGTTAAAAGAGGAGTGCGTCGATCCTCTGTCCTCGAGAGCCGCCGAACCGTCAGCGCGACCGAGATTCGAGCGCCCGCAATGCATGACTCGAGCGGCGTGGCTGCGGTCCACATCCGTGTTGGCCGATCCCACATGGGGACACACTTCCAGATCAATCGCTCTCTCTATCTCGCTGCTTGCCGCTCGATGGCTGAGAGGGAGCCTCCACATCAGCTCATTCCCCAACTTGCGCCGACTCGGATACACAGCACTGTCCTCAGCCCGTTCCCCACAATGGTCCGCGTCTTCGCCGCTGCCGCTGCGCTTTCGGCTGCTCTGTTGGCCTCCGTCACAAAGGCCGACAACTTCTTCATCGCGGCCGAGGCGCCCGACTACAACAACGGGGTGGTGGGCAACCTGCTGGCCAACGTGAGTTCCGTGCGCGCCGAGGGCGAGGCCTACGCCGTCTTCGACTGGGACAACACGTGCATGTTCGGCGACATCTCGTACACATCCGTCTTCTACCAGGTGGACAACCTCCACTTCCGCTTCGCCCCCGAGAACTTCGAGTCCATCTTCTCGCTGGGCTACAACGCCAGCAGCAGCGACGTCTGCCTCACCAACGGCACCAACTCGGTGATCGGCCAGGACGTGAACGGCGCCGATGTGACGCTGGCCACGGCGCTGAAGGAGACGGCCAAGGACTACAAGGTGCTCTACGACGCGTACATCGCCCCCACGTTCAACCTGACCACCAACGGCACGGCCACACAGCAGCAGCAGCAGTCGAACGTCACTCTGGACGCCATCAAGGAGACCACCGAGTACCTCAACTTCCGTGCCAAGATCAGCTTCCTGCTCTTCGGCCTCGAGGCCATGGACGGCGGCGACACGCACACGGAGTGCTCGCAGAAGATCGCCATGACGGTCTTCCCCCACCTGCTCGTGGGCATGACGGAGACCGAGATCAAGGCGCTCATCCGCTCGAGCATCCGCTGGAACCTGGGCCAAGCTCTCGAGGCCCCCACGTACACGTCGACGGGCGACCTGCAGGTCGAGGGCTCGTACACCAAGGGCCTGCGCTTCTTCAACGGCCAGGAGTCGACTATGCGCGCTCTGCGTGCGGCGGGCGTAGACGTCTACATCATCAGCGCGTCTCCGGAGCTATACGCGGCCGAGGCCGGAGGCCTCTTCGGACTGGGCAACATGGTGCCCAAGGACAACGTGTACGGCGTCCGCTTCAAGACGGACGAGGCCGGACTCTTCACCGCTGAGCTGCAGGAGGACTACCCCATCACGTGGGGCCCGGGTAAGGCCAAGGTCGTCACCAGCATCCTCGAGCCCATCCACAAGGGGGCGCCCCCCATTTACTCGTCCGGAGACTCGGAGGGCGACTGCGAGATGATGAGCACCGTGCGCGACGGCGTCGTCGACACCAACAACCGCCTCAAGGGCAACTCGAGCTGCATCAACGACTTCTACGTCAAGGCATGCGAGTTCTTCGGCTCCACGGAGCCCAGCACGAACAATGCCTACCTCCTGCAGGGCCAGGACCAGGTCATTGGCACGTGGATCACGTCGGGCTTCAGCACGGAGGACGGCGTCACGTACGAGTCGGCCGTCTCGTCCTACAACGGCTGCTCGCAGTACCAGTTCCTCGACCTGTAGGCGGGTCTCGAACTAAACTAAACGTTTCTCATAGAATTCCAGCGCTTGTTTGTACCGTGCATTATGTCGGTGGACTCTGTTTCATTACATGTGTGAATCCTCGCCAAAACCGAGTTGGTGCCAACAACGTGTTAGGCCACTCGATTTACGCCACTGCTTCCCGTTCTAAGCTTCTGGTACAGCTTCTTCAACTTGGCTCGACTTCAGCATCTCGCCGAAGGCTTTCGCGCTGGTGTCTGACAGTAGTACTATGTACTAGTATCCGTTCTGCCAGAGTTGTGGGGCATCATAGTTGGGGGACAGTACTTTTATATAGGATTTTGTATGGGGGATCAAATACGGCATCATCGATATCTTCGTAAATCTCGCAGAACTAGCCAAGGCAGTACGGGTACAACCTAAACTAAAGTAGAAATATCGCTTGGGCAAGTCGCACGAAGCGATGGAGCTCTTAACCGCTAGTTGTGGCATCCTTTGTGTAGCAGGCGATCCTCCATACATTTTGCCGGTCCTCCAGCGGTTATAATCAAGCATACGGGCTGCTGGTAGCCCACTGGGTAAAGGTCCCAGGAAGTACGCTCTTGGCCGGAGTTCAAATCCCACCAAGGACATAAAAGGAAGAAGAATAAATTGATACACTCTCCAATCCAATACTTATCGTAAGTATCTCATCACAATCATTCAACAATCATTACCTCTGACACCCAATTCACCAAGAAAGATCAACAATTCAGTTTCCCAAGAGCGTATAACCAGCAATAGCCAGTTAATCAAATCATCAGTTTTATAATCAAGCATATGGTTATATAATACTAAATCCAAGTTTATTTGGGGGCTTCCACATGCAGCAACCTAATGCAATTTTTGGTTCTAGGCCACACAAATAAACCAAATGACCAGCTTCAGTGAATAGATCGCTGCAAGATTATACGAATCCGTGCTTATTACGTCTCCTAACGAGCTCTGTCGCGAAGGAGAGGTGCAAATGTGTTCATATCCCAACACTTTTTGTCCTTGGATCTAGGACCAAAACTCACTTAAGTACGCCGTATTTAGCAGGGTTTTGTCCTAGAACCAGCAAAAAGGACCAAAAGTGACTTGGGGGTTGTATGGAAGGAAATAAGATCCAGGTAAGTACGAGGGTGTCATGTATAACAAATGCAACAACTGTTCGAGTGGTGTAACGGCTGAGGCCCTATACTGAACTCAAGTCATTTTAAGGAACTTGTCCTAGAATCCAGGACAAAAATGAAATGTAATATGTTATTAATGACACCTTTCAACTATAGCTTTTTCCGTTATGGACAATGGTGGACACTACTCATAACAAAGGATTAAAAGAGGGAATCAAAGGTTTTCTCTCCGTACCAATAAGATGGCTTATCTCTCAAAAACAACGCCAGCGTAAGCTTCTAACTTTTGGTCCTTGTTTTTGTCCTTGATTTGGCGGGTGTTGGGGATATAGAGCTTGGCTCAAGATTAGCGAACATATGCATTTTACATACAAACATGCAGTGTAAGTGTAGTGCACCACTAGAGGCAGCAGTGTCCCACAATCGTGTTCGTGAAATTAGCGCTTTTTCAGATGCTGCATTCTACTGTTTTCATGTGAAGAACAAGCAAAAGAACAGTACCGACAAACTACATTTTCCTTCTACTTTCTAAAGATGTCGTTTGTGCACCGCAAATCGTTCAGCAAAGTTACTATTGGTGTCCCTCTCCAACTGTCCCGTAACTCTGGCAGAACGGATAGTATTTATTGTGGTTTTCAACTATTTTGCCGCCCGATTTGACGTGTTATCTCGGAGTCCGAAATATATCAAACTAGCCGAGCGCCGCCGCTACGCGGCGGTGAATTTTGTGTTAGTTGGCGCTTCGCTCGTAATGCTCGCTGCGCTATAAGAGCAGGCTCCCTACGCTTCGCTAGGGCAGTAGTGGACCCGTTCCTCTCGCCTCATCGGCTCGCTGCACTACTCTCAATGTCAGGTTAGTATTACAGTGACACCTCCCTAAATGAGCCCCTCTAACTGACCATGTGTTCCCTATCTGGTAAGGATTCCTCGACTGCAAACGGGATTATATGGATTTCACTATAGGTGTTCTATAACTGATCAAAACCTCTTTATTCTCTAAATGGTCGCCATTATTGGCGCCTCAACCCTTCAAATGGACGCCGTAGTAATAGGTCCAAACTCATATATTTTTCTCAATCATTTGCCTGCCTCCTCCCACGTATGCCATTGCTACCACTACTCCCGCCACAAGAAATCGAGCGAAGAGAGAAATTGTATTTGGGATGCTAAGTTGGAACAAAGAGTTTGCAGTAACTGCAAGCTTGTGATAAATAAGCTAGCCACAGTATTTTACAATCAGCGCAGCGTACATATATATATTACGAAAAACTAAAATATAATGATGTCGAGACAACTAGGGGCAATGCAGTAGGTACCGAGCAAAAGTTAAAACTGCAGGCATGGTGGCAGGATATCGGGACAACAAATATTCATATAACCTCACTGTATTGAAACTCACGTACAACCTGAGGGGATGCGATTCTGCTAATACCAATGAGAAGAAGGAGTAGGAACAGACAATACCGCGCCTACCGGTATTGGTTGAGTTCTGTTTGTGTGAAGACGAAACAAAACAAGAGTACGAAAATGCTGGAGGGGTACCAGGTAAAGAAAGCCCTTGTGCACCTAACATATGAAAATGTAGCCATTAGAAGTGTAGCCATTTCTTTATCTGATCAATTCTTTAACTGAAACAGCGTATTAGACCGAGCGAACTGGGAGCCATTTATAGAGGTGTGACTGTACAGAGGCCGGGGCGGGTTCTGCGGCCCCGCAATATCGTATGGTGGGGTGCCTTCGCTGCGCTCGGCAGCAAATCGGAATTAGTAGGATTCGTACTTAGTGAATAAGCGTGACGATTTTGATACCGACCGACGGACAACGTGACAGAGGCTACGTACACAGTCTGATGTGGCTAATATTATTACAAAGCTTAGAATATGTGGTGCAGGACGGATGACACCCAGCGGGGGAGGGGGGGTACTTAGGTTTATGGGAGATTCGGGGGCCGACAGGGGGGCGCATGGGAGATGGTGGGATTTGTCTCGCGACCACTTTGACCACATTTGACCACTTTGACCACATTTGACCACAATGTTGTCTCGATGGTATGTCTCGATGCTGGTGGAAAAACAGATGTGCTATGAAAGGTAGATTTTATTGCTATACGCTAAAGAACTCTGTTATCGTACGAGTAGTATTCTTCTTCGCTAGCAAACACGCAGGATTTTGAGACCCTTCACCGCACTTTAAGTGCTTCTGACGGCAGCTCGAACACGAAGTCGCCTTGCTAGCTGGAGCGAGAGGTGGAGCAATGCTGTCAGATATCTCGTTGCCGCTTCTCGCTGGCTCGGGACCATTTTTTTCTGCTGTTCGACGTCGTTTAAGGCGGCAGCGCAGTTGATTATCCGTGAGGTTCGCGTCAGGGTAATATTTCTTCAGCTCCTGCTGCAGCAATATATATTTTCCACGAGTATACACCAGCGAATCAGACAGTTTACGCAACTCAGCCAAGTGCTCTGGTGCGATAGTAGATGGCCGAGGCCGTTTTGCTGGAACACTTGATTGTCCTGCATCTTCACCAATCCCAACAGTGTCACGACGAATAACCAGCGGTTGTAGTCTTGCTGGAGGTGTGTCGTCTGCATTTCCACTAGTTGTAGTGGTCGCAGCATCGATGTCATCGTTCGATTTGTAAGCAGAGTACTTAATGGCTCGGCTCGTTTTTCTTCTTCATCAGGGGCTGGACAAGATAATGGAGCGTCTGTGGGGTTCGTGACCATCGCTAGTTTCCTCTTCTTACGGTTTTGGGCCGCCTTCAGCGCTTCCCAGCGCTTCTCCCGCACCGATTCATCAAGTTGACCAATTCCAGCGCAGACACAACTTGCAAAGTCGTAGATACGGTGGAATAATCGTTTACGAGCTGTGCCGGCCTTGAACTTTCGCAGAATCTTGAAGACATCGCGCATCAAATCAGCCTCGCAGTCTATCGGTGAACGCAAAGCCAGGGAAACAGATTCTTGAGGAGCAAAATGGAATATTTTTGCTTGTTTTCGAGCGGAGCTTGTACTTTCAGGATCAGCACCAAGTGATTTAATTTTTGAGACCATCGTAGCATAGCTCCGCTGTTGTAGCCGTATTTTAGGGTTCGTGTTGTTGCAAACAACAATATTGAACATCATCGTTGTTATCATTTCACACGTGCACCATTCACGCTTACTAGCAGCCTGCTCGCTGGGCAGCTGCCTGAGCAGCTCGTGTTCCTCCGTAGAGAAGCCCTGGTCGCCTTCACACTCGGTACTTGCCAGTCGAATAGAGTTTAAAAAAAACTCGTCACGCTTCAGCTTGGCCGATTGGAGGGTACCGGCACTTTTTAACAGCAGTTCCGCTACTGTTGAGCGGTGTTGCCGGGAGCGATTGAGATTCCCTTCGAGACATGTTGTGTTCACTCTTGCACTTTGAAATACCTGTGCCCAGGAGTCAAAGTCAAAGTCCCGCTCGGTCCCCGTTCTATACTGCGGGGGTACAAGCGGCGAAGAGAAAAGCTGCATCACATACTCCATCTGAGGCGAAGTAGGGACCATCGTTCCACAGAGTAATGCAGTATGGCCCGCCGAAATCAAATCAACGCCATTCATGGGCGGATTGCGCCCGAACTTAGCACCGATAGACAAATTATGCTTGACGATAAACCAATCTAAGATCCGCAAGCCAACATCAATCGATACATTTCCGGTAAGCAGTTTTTTTTAAGGAAGAGTGAAAGCCCTCAAGTTGGCTAGTAGATACCACGCAAACTCGATGACCGCCTTCCTCGTAAGTGTTTGAGCCCACGTACAGCTCGCCACGCTAAATCTGCTCCAAATTACTCTGACACGACCCTTTCCAATCTTTCAGGCTGAACGATACACTTGAGCGCAAAACACCGCTGACTACACTTTGAAATTGAAGCGCCATTTCAGCAGTAGGCGCAATTCACGATCCACATTGTAGATCGCACGGGAGAGTTCCTTTGAAATTCGTTTGCTGGTGACGGGTGCCTTTATTTTTTCAGTGATGCGAGTTATCACGTGAAAGTGGTCCTGTTTTGTGACCACCTCGCTACCAAACACTTCTGGTTTATGGGAGATTCGGGGGACTTGGTGCTGATCCTGAAAGTACAAGCTCCGCTCGAAAACAAGCAAAAATATTCCATTTTGCTCCTCAAGAATCTGTTTCCCTGGCTTTGCGTTCACCGATAGACTGCGAGGCTGATTTGATGCGCGATGTCTTCAAGATTCTGCGAAAGTTCAAGGCCGGCACAGCTCGTAAACGATTATTCCACCGTATCTACGACTTTGCAAGTTGTGTCTGCGCTGGAATTGGTCAACTTGATGAATCGGTGCGGGAGAAGCGCTGGGAAGCGCTGAAGGCGGCCCAAAACCGTAAGAAGAGGAAACTAGCGATGGTCACGAACCCCACAGACGCTCCATTATCTTGTCCAGCCCCTGATGAAGAAGAAAAACGAGCCGAGCCATTAAGTACTCTGCTTACAAATCGAACGATGACATCGATGCTGCGACCACTACAACTAGTGGAAATGCAGACGACACACCTCCAGCAAGACTACAACCGCTGGTTATTCGTCGTGACACTGTTGGGATTGGTGAAGATGCAGGACAATCAAGTGTTCCAGCAAAACGGCCTCGGCCATCTACTATCGCACCAGAGCACTTGGCTGAGTTGCGTAAACTGTCTGATTCGCTGGTGTATACTCGTGGAAAATATATATTGCTGCAGCAGGAGCTGAAGAAATATTACCCTGACGCGAACCTCACGGATAATCAACTGCGCTGCCGCCTTAAACGACGTCGAACAGCAGAAAAAAATGGTCCCGAGCCAGCGAGAAGCGGCAACGAGATATCTGACAGCATTGCTCCACCTCTCGCTCCAGCTAGCAAGGCGACTTCGTGTTCGAGCTGCCGCCAGAAGCACTTAAAGTGCGGTGAAGGGTCTCAAAATCCTGCGTGTTTGCTAGCGAAGAAGAATACTACTCGTACGATAACAGAGTTCTTTAGCGTATAGCAATAAAATCTACCTTTCATAGCACATCTGTTTTTCCACCAGCATCGAGACATACCATCGAGACAACATTGTGGTCGAATGTGGTCGCGAGACAAATCCGGGGGGCTTGACCGCTATTCTCGGGATTGTCCCGCGACCAATCGTCACCAAATGCCAGCATCGGCTGTCCTTCATAATGTCCCGTGGGTCCGGACTTGTCCTAAAGTGACACACCCTCTATTAATAGTTTAACTAAACGAACCCACACGGGGAGGTTCATGACATCTATCCGCATATCTGAAGTGGCGGACTCGTCAGCATGCCCCACAATACGAGAGGCGGCGCGCTACTAAGCCACAGAACGCGTGCGTACGCATGCAAGCTAAGGAGAAGACGCTTGTCGCGACGAGGAAGAAGGCGGGCCGAGGGTAGCAAGTCTTTGAAGGTGAGAAGCTCACTGTTGCATCGCTTTATTCTGCGGCATCATGACGTGTGTTACTGTACTATTATATGATGTAGGCGCATGGCCAAGATAACGATGGATAGCAAAACCTGGTTGGAAGTATCGCTACAGGGCGCCTCCAGCCTAACGACGGCGACTGTGAGTGCCGTCGCTAGCTGCGGCTAATGCTGAATCGCAAGCACTGTCCCGTGTTGTACCTCGACTCAGACGAGGACTTCAACGCGTACACCAAGCAGCTTCAGACGTGCGCGCTCGGCTCCTGACGCCCTGACGTCGAGGTTTGCTCGCTGCACTTAAGGTACTGTGATATTTACTACCGTAGTCTAATAGTTCTGAGCGGACTAATTGATCAGTTGTATTCATTTGTTCTGTGTTGTTGGTCATGTAGAGCCTTCCTCAGCTGACGTAAAATATGCACTGATTGATTTCCCACTCTGAGCTTTGTACTTACAGTACTTGTTGTTGCCTGATGGACCGCATCTTCGTCTCAACTCGTTGCAGCTCTTACACGCTGACTGTTTTGAGTGCTTCGCAGGGACGTCGCCCCTGTGCTGATCACTGCTGCGGGAGTCTTTTGGTGCGTTTGGCTGTGTCTGGATTGCCATCTTCTTGCGCGGAGAGGGTTCTTCGGAGTAATTGGGAGCAGCTGCATCGGACTGAGCTGCTGGTGACACCTTCTGCTTTTTGGACCGATTTTCAAGGCGACAGCGGAGAGCATTGATGGACAGTGCCGACCCAGGTTTGATACGCTGAAATTCCTCGAAGATCATCCTCCATTTTCGAGGTGTATTTTTTTCAAACGAATCCGCATAACTTCGCAGGTGCTCCAGCACGATACGACGGATTACACAAACTGGAACCTTGGCGCGTAATTAGCTCGTACATGAACTCCAGCTGAGGAGAGACAGGAAATTGCTCGCGACCCAAAACAGCAGCAAGGCACATCGTCAAGAAGTCAAACTCAAAAAATTCAGGATTTCTTCCGAACTTGGCCCCTACTTTCAAATTGTGCTAGACACCACAGCATTAGATACGCATATAGTAGAATATGATCTGCATGCAGTTACCTGCAAGAGGAAGATGTCGAGTATACGAAGGCCAGTTTCGTACGATACAATACGATCTAAGAGCTTGCAGAGTTTGGAATGAACTGCTTCGAGCTGACTAGTCGAAAGTACTCGTACCCTGCCGCCATTCTCGACGTATTCAGCCTCGCCAACAAATAAATCTCCTACTCGGATCTGGTTCAGGTTGCTAGCTATGCATCCTTGCCACTCAGGCTCTTTGACATTGAGGCTTGAAGCTGGAATCTTGCCCAGAGCGGTTGAAAACAGTGTAGCCATTTCTTCGGGCTCTCGTATTTTGTGGTCGGCCGTGTAAATAGCAGAGGACAGCTCAGTCGCTAGCCATCCCCGCATGACGTGATCCTTTACCTTCTCTGTGAACCTTTGGATGACGTGGAAAGGGTCTTGTTTGACTACCAATGCACCGTTGAAGACCTTGTCAATGAGGCTTCGTGTGCCGTTGGCGTGGTCGGTTATACAGAAGCGAGATTCAAGTGGTTTTGACGCTAATTGCGCGGCCACAGGTTTTAGAATTGCCGCAGTTTCAGCGTGATTTTTTGAGTACGTCAGGCCACGAGCAACAATTTGACCTATTTCATTTTGGGCAAGTAGTAGCATACGTACCTCGCTTGATTGATCTTTCTTACCTTGAGCACCAAATACTTTGAGTTTGCTGCAAAACTTTTGCGAATGATCTAGACGAATCACTCGCTTGATTTTGCACTGTGTCATGTGGGCTTCAAGCAAACGAGAGCATATTTCAGTCTGGGTCAGCCATATCTTTTGAAGAGCCTCATCATCAAGACATGCATTCGCTTCCATGTATTGCTCCAATGACACTAGCATAGGAGGCGAATAGTTCGCATTTTTTGCCTCCGCTTCTCCACCTCGACGCCGGCAACAGATAAGAGAGTATAATAGCGTCTCGGACGACAACGGGTGACGCTGCTGCTTGCCCCAGATATGCCTCTTGTCGTTAGCACGCTATCATAAACAAGGTGAAACAGCTCGCGTGATACACCCGTTTGATAGGTTAGAAGGTAAGGGAATGCTAGCGAGAGTTCTGGTGATGATGCTAGATACTCATCGTCGATAGTTGAAAATGTGCGTGTTGCATGAGGCCCTGTACAGCGATACCTTGCATAATACAAAACAGTCTTGTGATCGACGTCGTGTACGTACCGCTGCAAATACTCCTCCACTTTGGCTCACACAGACACCCCTCAACAACGCATTTTGGAACGTGGCTAGTGCAAAGGCACTCCGAGCGTAGGGTGGCCGTGCCATGAGGAGAAAAGTGAGTCCTTTTTCTTCTCGGGAAGCTGCAATTCAGGAGGGAACTTCCTCAGGGCGATGGCGTCCCGCACAGCAACGAGTGCTGCGGACGCCTTCTTGCCCATGTGAAAACAAATAACGACTGTTCCCAATAAAAAAGCGGCGGCCCGGGAATAGGGGTTAAACCACAAATCCCACCATCTCCCATGCGCCCCCCCCCCCCGCTTTGCTCCGGTGGGCTTTTTTAAAGTTCAAATGTTACAAATGGTATTCATTTCGATTGTGTACACGTAAAATTATTTATAGGTTTGAAGTACTATCAGTAGAGTGACGTGGCTGGTAATAGCTATTCCAACGTCAGTGTACTATGAGTAGATGCATGTTGCAGGGTAAAACATTCTCTAGTGTACGGTCCTGTGCTCCCGTCGCAACTATTTAACCCGAATTACAAAGTATCCGCGCAGTACATATCTCACAATCTGCGTTTACTGTGAGTTTAGTAGAAATAAACATGAGCAATATGCCATGTAGGGTAGATCGATCTGGTGTTGGTATCTTATGTGTGTTCACATAAGTGTATGTCTTACGTGTTGTTTATTCAGTTTATCATCCCACCGTAGCTCTCTGGTTTTAGTTCGTAGGCTATAACACCTAGCAACAATCAAAGTATGGGCTTCGCTCTTCCTGTACTTAGCATTACATTAAGTGCTTGCGATCTTATATAAATACCGAGTATACATCATCGTTTTAGTATTTCGTATGTTCCGCCAAAACGTAGCTGCGGGCTGCGCTAACTACTGCGTGGTCTACTTCAAAACTCATTGTTTTAGACGTGGTATTATTCTACTACGCGGCGAACATTACCATTTTAGTGTACCACCTGCATTACAGTAGGTAAGATATAGAGAGTTCGCACTCGTAACTATATAGTTATAAAGTCACGTTTGCCCTTTGTTAATTCGGTTTCCTGCGTGTATATCCGCCCCATAACACGGTTAGAAAAGGAATCCCAGCGTAAACTATATAAAAAAGGCTTCCACTCAGTGAATATTATCTACTACCTCACTAACGCATTCTCCTTACGCTACATATTGTACCTTAAAGATATACGAAATGCGTTTAAGCAAGTGTAGCTAAATATCCCCCCAGAGCGCCGCTGTAGCTATAATATATCCATCCCTAAAGTATTACAGTAAACGTGTGCTGCTCATGTTAGTAATAATCATAATTAAGCTCAAATAGAAGGCCACTTAAACAACAACAAATGTTAGTAATAATCTCGTGGACGCCTTCCGCTACGTTTACTCGCACTGCTATCACTTACAACGTTGATGCTATCGCTTACTACGTGCTCCTATAGCTTTCTACGTGCTGCTATCACGTTCATATCGCTTACTACGTGCTGCTATAACTAACTATGCGCGGCTATCGCTTACTATGACTTCACATTTAACCAAGTTCGCTGCATTGCTATTATACTAAGTAGTAGGGCAAGCCCAGCTATCGCTGCCACTATGCACTACTCCCAGTGCTATTAAATGTTTAAGCGCACTGCGCTATCGCTGCTACTACGCGGTGGGCCCATTTTAATTAATAGCAGGTATTCCGAAAAGTATAAAATTAGGCCAAGCGTCACAGCGGGGGTGACGTAAGCCCCGTTCCGCTCGCCTCGTCGGCTCGCCGCACTACTCGCACGGTTACATTAATAAATACAGAGGGCGGTGCGGGTCCTGCGGCCCCGCAATATCGTATTGGGGGGGGTCGCCTTCGGCGGCGGGGCCGCCTTCGCTGCGCTCAGCAGCCTAAGTACGATTATGTGGACCACCTTATTATGTTGTCACGGGCTTCACACGGACTTACGCACACACGTACAGATCTCTGCCTTAGATGTTTGGAGATGGAGCTCCCACACGATCGGTTAGTCCAATTTAACTATATCTGACCTGAGTTAAAAGCATAAGGCTCAAAGGGGAGGCATTCCATGTTGGACATACCTCCCCACCTCTCATGACCCATTGGAACTGCAAGACATTGGGGACAATAGTACACTGTATATAGCCACTCCATAGCTATGACCATCTAAATCACCTGTGTGAACATCTACGGCCGCTACAACTTCGTGCCACGCCGATCTGAGAGGGCCCCAGACATGTTTTCGCGGCGGTCCCTTTTGCCGGCGAAAAGCGGCATTTTTGGCCCCTGCTTCGCAACTCGCAGCCCCCAGACGCAAATCGGGCCAGATATAGTTTGCTTCCCTCAGCCCTTCCTGCTAAATCGGAGCCCTCCAGCAAATCGGGCCCGATATATCGGATCTTGAACCACCCGATTTGCCAAAACGGATGAAAGCCACAATGCGTAGTATACGACTACGTTTTTCATGTATTATAGGAAACATTAGGCAGCCAAACTTCGAATTCACCTTCGTGAATCGAAGTCAAGATAAATATATTTGAGCCTTCAAGATAGGAAGGTTGCTGAAGATGAAGGAATCGTACTCGAGCGTGGAATCCAAATAAACTTCACTTCCCTCTCTTGTGCAAAATTCTATGTGGGGCTAGAGCTGCTTCATTTTCAGTTAATGCGGGTAGCCTCGGTGCGGTTTGAATCGCAAGGCAAGCCGAGGCACCCCCCCGGGATTGGTGGGTGGGTAAAAATTCTGCGTCGCCTATCGAAAGACCGAAGGAAGCAGCTCACCTACTCGACCTCCTCGACACTGTGACGATAAGCGCAGAAGACAACGACGCACTGCTCGCTCACTCAGCGTATTGGGGATTGCGAGAGAACCGCACCCGAGTGCAGTCTCCGTTATCGGAGTGTTTAATTGGCCTTCTATCTGATCTTAATTAACTGACCTATAGAAGCCTGATATGTAGTGAGACGTGCCTGTATGTCGACCGTCTTTGAGTGTTGTTGTTGCTTTTACAGCTGGGGTGTGGAGTCTGCAATCGTTTTCGTTGTCCTAGAGTTGGGGATCAAAGTTCCTCATGTGCTGTGGGTATCGTAGATGGTTGTAGTGCTTGTTTTTGCCATCAACTTAGCCGCTCGGAGCGCAGTACCAGCAGACGAACCCCACTGCACTGAGGAAATCGCGTTCAAGTCCTTGGAGAGCGCGGCTACTGGGCCCGTTGCTTGAATGTCAGCCTTGACTTGTTGGAGCTGCACTTGTAGTTTCTTGTTACGACTATCAATGCGGAGATACGTCGAGCCCGGGGTAGTCATCACATTGAGCTCTGTCAACCCTTGGTTCAGCGTTCGTGCTGCGGCGTCCGTCGGTGGGTTTGTTAGCCCAAAGTAGAGACTTCCTGCTTTTCTGGGAATCCACTGTTGAGAGGCCGTCTGGAGGTAGAGAACCCACCCTCCCGTGGTCAATTTGTCCTTAGTGGTGTGCGTGCTGAAGTGGATGTTCCAGACATCTAGGTTTGGAACGTCTTCATCTTCGTTCAGCGCCATCACGATGCTGTTGCAAATTCAAGACAGAAGCCTTGAATTCGCTTTGCCGGTTGCTGTTTCTACGCGTTACCAATCGCTCGTATTTGGTAGGCTCCTGCAGTCTTGACGGCCGCCCTGGTCTCTCTTTCGTTGGTCATTTTCTCCTTGAAGAATGCGTCATTGCGAAGCCTCCATAGTAGCGCTGGTGTCACAGGTGACCAGATTCGCCACAAAATCTTCTTTGCTTCTGTGTGATGTGGGGTCCGAGGGCCGATACACAGCTGAGCTTTAGCCAAAAAAAGCACTCTAGATTGGCGGTGCTGTCCTGGTCGCTGCTGCCGCACGAAGTTCTGCTATTTGCGGTCGTTGGGTCCTGTATCCCGCCCACTTGTTGATCCCCGTCATCCAGGTGGCCTCCGCTTTTCTGCAGTCCCACAAAATGTAGTCGATTGTTTCAGTGAGGCATTAACAGTCCAGGTCCGGGCAAGCGCGGTCGTCAGGCCACCCGCTGTGGCGAAGATTTAGAGCTCCTACTGCGATTCGGTACATCGTCCAGTTGTGAAAGTCTGTGAAGAGTCCATTACAATCCCATAGCTACTTTGGGCTCTGCTGCATGGCAGCTTTTGTCCAACTCGATGTAGTCGCCCGCTCGTTCAACTTCACAAGAATCGAATGCAGTTGAGCGGTAGGTGTCGTTTGAATGCTCTAGCTCGTTGCTTGCGGAGGGCGATAGGTACGTTTCTCGCCAAGGTTCCTTGTGGCACCGTCCATGGGTATACGATGTGCTGGGACTTGATTCGAATGTAAGACCTACGACGCGTTCCCATGCCGTAAGCTCATAAAATCGTCACTTTCTCGAAAATCTCGGTCCGCCCATGTTATTCGCCAAGTTATTCCATTCTCGTCGCGCGCGAGGTGGAGCACCGTCATGTACTCCGTTTGGAAATGTGTTGCAGCCATTGTTGGTCGGTCTCCTTCATCTTGAATCCCCCATTGCAGCTGATGCCGCAATGTTGGCAGCGCAATTGGTTTCAGCAGCTTTTTCTTGATCCCCCATAAGTTCCAGGGCACACTTCCTAAGATATTCACACACCACCTTAGGACATTTTGCTTGTGGCGAGCACTTCGTTTCGCGGTTGCACTTGGCAACCGAATCAGGACACTGTGCTCCGAAACTGCGTAGCTCTCCTTGCTACCGAAAACAATCACTTCGCTGAGTCTGCACAACTTGAGCTTGGCATAGTCTTCTCTTCGGAGCGGCTTGCCATTTTCATCTAACACGCTGGCGTTGTTGTCCCAAGCAGCTTGAAGAAGGAATTCCGAATGCGACTGGGGTTTGGACGAACACGGGTTGATTGGAGTGGTGAAGGGTTGATCCACGTGCATGTATCCATGCTATCCTTGCGCACTTGTGTATCTCAGGTGCTAGTAGCCTGTGTATTGGCTGCGGTAAATGCTTCGGAATGAGCCGCCCAGAGTTCCAATTTTCTAAGCCCCTGTGCTGAGATGCAGGGCAATCCATGCTTCTCCCTTAGCGCTCTGTTGATCATATTTTCCGACATGGGACGGAATGTGCAGCACAGATTCGTAGTTTTCTGGCCAGGGTGAGCCGCTGCATGCCACGCTGCGGAGTACACATCAGTTGGTGCCTGCAGCCACCGTTCTGCTAGATTAGCCCGCGTGGCCCTCAAAGCCCGATTAATATCTTGCAATCCTAAACCGCCATCATTTACAGGAGTGAACACCAGTGCAGGATTCAATTTGTGAGAGCACGATACCGTTGCCGTTTTCGCATTCCACACAAACTGCTTCTGCAAGTTCACTAACTGTTCGGTGACGATTTTGGGCGGGACGAATTGCTACCCGGTGAAGATTATCGCAGGTAGTGCAACCACGTTGAAAAGCCAACTCGTTGCGCAATAGAGTTGCCAATAGTAGTTGCGATCCTCAGGCGGCGTTGCGTTTTTTTTTTTTTCGATTCGGATTTTCCAGTTTTCTGCAGTCGACGGTGCGTTGCCCACCCTGTATCCCAGTTGACGGCTAGTTGCTCCTGGTGCTTGGACCTGGAAGTCATGCCATCTCGTTGGTGCCCCCACCATGTTGAGCCCGATAGTCACGCTTTTGCTCGGTTGTACTCGAACCCCGGATAAGTCTCCAAAGTGGTTCAATATAGTCGTGACTGTGTCGAGCTCGCTGACCGAGCTGAAGAAAACGGTCCTATCTTCAACGAATGCCGAGAACCAGTGTCATTTACCTTTGCTCCCGGGGACAGTAATGCCTTGTAGTTGAGGATGCCTGTTAATAGCTTGACCCAGTGTGTCGACAGCTAGAATGAAGAGCAGAGGTAGCCTTGTCGAATCCCTGAGTTCACAACCCAACCCTGCGAGGTTTTTCCATTCACCAAGAATCTTGCTGTTGTACCTGCGTGAAGTGCTTGTATGACTCTGATGAATTTTGTGGAGAAACTATATCGTCGTAGTACTTGCTGCATAAAATTTCTATCCAACATGTCGTACGCCTTACGTAGGTCAAGACAAAGCACCATTGCTGTCTCCGTCCAAGCCTCCGCTGAGTCGGCTTTGCTGCTTGCCAGGATGGCCTGCAGCATCGTGATCGTTTTATCAATACCCCACCCCGCATAAATCCCTGTTGGAATTGGCTGATCAGCTTCGGCAGATAGTAGTGAAATCGATCAGCGAGGATACGTCCAAACAATTTGTACGCCGTGTTCAACAGTGCAATCGGACGATAGTCCATGGCATCAGGAGAATCTCATTTTTTCCTTAGTGGAACCACAGTTGCATGCAGGAAGGACTCGGGCACTCCTTCCCCATTCAAGATAGCATTGAAGAGAAGTGTGAGACCTGGTGCCAGCTCCGCCGCCAAATCTTTGTAGAACTCGTGGTTGAACCCTGTCGTTCCTGCTGTTTTGTGTCTGTCGTTTGAGGCTGTTAATCGCTTCCAGAGTTTCTCCTTCTGAAATTGATGCCACCAAGCTCTGAGCTTCGTTTTGCGTTAGCTGCTGCTCCGTCGGGATTCGTACGAACTTATTAAACTCCTCGTCATAGTTGCTCGGGCTGGTCGTCGCATGGGATTGAAAGAGTACGTGGCTCCATTCCGACGCCATTCGCTCTTCGATCGGGAAGTCTTCAGAATAAAAGTGCCCTGCGGATGGTTCAATCTACGTGATAGTTTGGTCCCTTTGCCAGTTTGAATTTCTCTTGAAGAAACGTCGCGTGTTCTCCTCCGAGACTTGAAGTTTTGAACCGAAGGACCTTGCCGCTTTTCATTTTGCTGCTTCCCGCTCATGCGTCTGAACTTCAGCCCGCGAGGTAAAGTTGATCCTGGTACTTGCACGGAGATTGTCGAAATATCTCTTGCGCTGTTTGGCATTGGCTGTTTTGACATCATGGAGGAGCCGTTGTAGCCCTGTTACGATGTCTTTTACAGGATCGGGACTTGTTTCATACGTATCCATGAGTTTGCCGATACCGTCTGTTATTTCGTTGTGCACTCTCTGGGGTCGACCAGTTTGAATCGGGTACACCACTGTTTTTGGCTCAGCGCCAGATCGTGCACTTGCACTAGAGAGCTCCATCCGGCCCTCACGGTGATCGGAGTCATGGGCTGCTTCAACTCCTTCAACCCATTGGACTTGGTCGTAAGGTTCCCCCGTAACGTAGAATCCGTCCAAGCGACTCGCTCCTTCGTGCATCCAGTAGCTATAGTAATTGAGTGATCATCTACATGACTCGCTAGGTTCATTGCATCACTCATGTCAAATCGTTTTGTCAGTCGCTCCAGATTCATACTTTCCGTCGGCCCTGGGCTTTTCCTTCGGTTCTTGACCCGGTCGCGTGCTGGGTTCAGCACGCAATTGAATTCTCCTACCAGGATAGTGGATCTGTGTTTAATCAACCACGGTTCTAGGTCTTTGAAGAACTGTTCTCGTTCCGTTCTGTGGTTCGAACCTGCTGGTGCATACACATTGACGATCAACCAGTAGTCCAGATCAACCGCCATAACCCGTGATGTCCAGCTGCTCTGGCGAAATGGTTTAATTCTCGAACTAGTCTCAGGGGAGACAAGTATGCCCAGTCCTGCTGAGCCAGTTGTCGTTGTAGACCAATAGCTCAATTTTGATGCCCCACGTTCTTCGCCACATTTCTTTCATATCTTTCTTTTCTTTATCTTTTTGTAGTCTCGTATCCTGAAGGAGTAGGATATCCGGTGGCTTGCGGCCTCGGTGGCGTCTCCACCCGCTCATCCAGTTTCTCCTTGATCGTTGAGCAAATCCTCGCAGGTTTTGCGTTGCCAGTGTGAGCGTGCTTCGATACGGGCCCTTCTGCTTTTTCCTCGCTGGCGAGGCTGCAAATAGAGCTGCTACGCTATAAACTTCTGTGTAGCAGTCCTCTGCGGTAGGCGGAGGCTTCGGCGACTCGTTCAACATTACTTAGTACGATGGCGATTCAGATCCCAGACACTCGTCTTGCTGTGAGCTGGGGAATGCTGCGAGAGCTGCCTCGAGCTCCGTCCATAACCCTGCCGAATCGGTTGCTGGAGAATTGCTTGCAAGTCCGATCTCTTTACAAGTGTGGTAAAGAGAACGTGAAGATGTTCACTCGTCTTTGTCGGAGGTGGGTTTTTGAATTCAGGACTCAGCTCGAGTAGTTCATCACTATAGATAGTGCAAACCACTATGAAGCGCGATAGCTGCTGCGTCCTATTCTTCTTGCAAAGTTGCAGAAGTTCCTTCTCCCCGTACATCAGTTTCTTCAGCTTTGTCCACATCTCTCGAGGGTACAAATTCAGCTCACTGATGTCGGTCCCAGCCTGCAATCGAAACTCTTTGCAGCATTGGATTAACCGATGTTGCTGACTCGCATCATCTATCGTGCTCGCCATTTGCTCCAAGCAGTGTAGTAAGCACTTGAGGCGCGCGGGCCGGGTCCAACAGGCGATGATCGAGTCGGTCATTTCACTGAGGATGTAACCAGGTCTTTTCGAACCTACTTAGCATTTCCATCAGCATATCTGGCGCGGCATCCACGGCTGCTCTCCACTGTGTTGGGGTCACCGGCCGCACTGGGAAGTCTGTTGCTGTTTGCTGCCCCCATTCAGTCTGGTGGCTATTCAAACACTGCTTTATCTGGCGTAAAGAAGCCCGGCTTAAGCTTTCAGTTGTGGAGGCTGCTTTGAAGCGACCAATTCCTCCTTCTGTTGGAGGGGTGTGAACGTCCCCGCGTGCCCTACTTCGTGGTTCTTTATTGCCTCACCCACGCAGATTCTTCTGACCGTTGCGTACTAGACGGGGAAGGTGTGAACGTGTGCAGTCTCCGTTTTCAGTAGGCTATAGTATGCAATACTGAACTCAAGTGAACTACACTGGGCGATAATGCCTGAGAGCAAAGCTTCAACTGCGACAGGAGGCAACAGGAACACGACCGGACCCACTGCCGGGTCACAATACTATGGACCCACTGCCGGGTCACAATAGTATTGTGGTTCCGGTCGTGTATTGTGACAATACTTCACAGACAGTGACAGACTGTCAGACACTACCGCGTGAACCGTGCACACAGATTTAGACTTCGGTTGGTCACGTCGGTGGGATAAGACGGACATAACAAACCTGAGGAGGCCGGTAACAGCATCATGGACTCGTCGTCCTTGGGAAGTAGCTTGGCATCTTGTCGGACTCGTTCCCTAATGGGATCTTGTGTGTTGAAGTTGTTGTACATGGCCTTCTATTACGTCGAACCTGAAAAACGCGTTTCCGACCTCTGTTGCACTACGGTGGAAACTACTCATTAGAAGTGACTCGGAATAAACTACGGAAGAGGTAGAAAACAAAAAAGCTTTGTCTATCCGCCGGAACAAGTAAAGTAAATTGCTTTCAGATCCGTGCCTACAACGGCACAGCGATGCTGAACGGTGTGCGCCTCCACCGTCTTTAGAGACTCTCAGCGAGCGCTTGGGATCGCTCCAGCGATGATGACGGGGGTATCTGGCTGTCAACCGTTAGAGAAATGAAAATGGGTTGAGGAAAGCCCAGGAATAACGTAGCATGGGTGACACGATGCTCTGTGATGCTTGCGCTGCTTAGGGCGCTCGACTTGGGCCTAGCTGGCCGACATTTAATCAACTTTTTACAAAGCTTGTTGGCAAACTTGTGCAAAAAAATGATCTGCGTAAAAATATTGTGCAATTTGCTCAGCATTTACTCAAACCGGTGATGCTTTCAGAATAGTTTTCGAACCGAGAAGAACATCGAATGAATGTCGATCGAGTCTGCATTAGCATTGCTAGTGGCATCGAGCCTCACTATCACGACAAGAAGTACTACTGGTAGTACATTTCTGCAATCAGAATTGCCGTGTTTACTTACTGAGAAATGGATTTCTCAAGAAAGCTGTACCAGTAGAAGTGCTGCACTCTAGTATGCGTTCTACGGGTTTCTGACTAGATAATCCGCATACAGATCCTTCAACCGCTGACGGTTCGCCTTCTGAAGGTTCAGCAGCGCACCAAATTGTTCCACCGTCGTGCCCTGCTTAGCCATGTCCTTAAAAGCATTTGTGCGAGCCACCTCGCTGTTCAGCAATTTTTCCACGTAGCTACCAGGGAGATGACCCCCCCCCCCCTGCATTTTTTTCACGAAGCTCTGCAGCAGAAAGGTCTTCAGCCTCTCGAGGATTCTTTCCTCCTCGACCTCTTGGTTCAGCTCCACACCCTTGGCAGTTCTATGGCGCCGCTTGCTTGGGAGAGCATTCACCATCACGCCATCGGGCTGGATAAGATCCGCAGTGGCCGCTTGAGAGAGCTTGGTCGGCTTGGTCACCGCCTCGGCAGTTTCGGCGCTTCCAAAGAGAGCAGTAACTATGATCATGAAGGCGTAGCTTGGTCGCATTGTCGACTGGCGGGGTCTTGGAGGCAAATTGTGAAGTATGCTGTTGGATGCAGCCGATGGTTGGGCCCAATCTAGCCCACATTGTGGATTGGAGTCATCTTGAAGCTAACAAATCCTTCACCGAAGAGACTAAACGGGATTTGCTATCCGTATATATCTACAGTACACGGGACGCGTCGATTGCGACAGCTCACGCTTTCTCCAGCGGTTTATCGTTTTCGTATTCATTGCCGTTGCAGCTATTTTTATGTTTTTTCAAAACCGGCCACGGAACCCTGTTTTTGCTCTCACTGAGCCTTAACTCAGCTGCGCCATAGCAATTCGGCCACGAATGAACAATCTAAAATTAACATTGGAATTAGCTAACTTCGGGCATTGTTACACCATTTCAATCTCAAATTGAAAATCTGAACGATCAAAACGAGAAAATCTCCAATCAAAACGAGAAGCTAACAAAATAGGATTTGCTGTGCTGGCTATTGCTTTCCAGAGGCTCCGATCAGTGACGCATAGAGTGTCCAAATGCGATATAACTAATATTTTATGGGTTGCTAAAGGATATCTGTTTTGAGCTTCACGTAATCATAGAGGTTTTCTTGTTTTGATTGTACGGTTTTCTCGTTTTGATTGTAGTTTTTCTCAATTTGACCTTGAAATGGTGTGAGGTTGGAAAGGGATTAGAGTCAACCCTTATGCCATAATTGTCACGGCAGAATAAGTAAACACAATAAAATTGCATTTATCCATACAGACTGTATTGAGATTATACAGTACACTGTACCGTTCATGTACTGTATGGTCATACAGTATGATGTTACTTGTGTGCCTATTTCTCACCCCACACAGTGAACTTCAACGAGGCACACCGTCGTTCTGCGCCAGTGGTAAATCGGTGGGGAAATGCTAAAGCCACGAGACAAAAGTACTATAGACCCGTGACAGTACCACTAATCCGGTACAACCAATCTGATGCAGTCGGAAGCTGCAGTTTAGGCCCTGGCAATCACCATCTGCCGAGTACTAGAGCCCCGAGACAGACGTGTAGTACCTGACGTACTAGGGCCCCGAGACGGACATGAAGTACATCAACTACCGGAATCAGTGATTAAGTAGGATTCGCTAAAGCGATGCTAAGAATATGCGTTGGTGCATCTTCCGATTTATTCTTATCACGGAATTGGAGCGTGGGACGGCTACAGCTCCTAAAGTGCCGATTCACGGCGAACGTGCCGATCACAGTGCAACTGGTCCGCGAACGCATGGGGGCGAAAAACATCTTCATCACTACCGAAACGACGGATTCGACGCGACGGAGACCGCTGTCAGTGACTGGGGCATTTAGCGTTTAGAGCGAACAAACGCTATAGGATTTATATTAACCCTTTCGCGGTAAAAGGATACAGAAAGCGCCCTTTATTGTGGAAACCGATTAGATTGTCTAATTGGGATATAAATCGGTTGATTAAGCAGATAGTTAAGCTTAATCGGGTCTGATTTGCTAAATCCGACCTCCTAATTAGATCGACAGACTAAGGTTTGTACTCTGATTTGACAGAGCGGTCAGTTGTGCCTACAACGCCATGTGGCAAGCTGATTTAGCTGCTCCACGGCTTACAAAGCCCGGGACGGCTGATTTGCATGCTAATCAGCCCGAATGTCCGACACCCACACGGCAATCGGTGGCCGATTTAACGTAAAACCGACAAACGCTAATGCTGACGAGAAATGACAGCGCAAATACATGACTTCAGAACTTGATAAATAGAATGCAGTACACATCGAATCTCACAGAAGCGTATTTAATGCACGCGATGCTATTTCTCGTTAGTAGGTACGCGAATCACTCAGCTCGTGGCGGTAAGTGGTCGCTCGTCGTATTTCTGGCGGGTAATGAGGCAACCCCCATTTTATTAACCTTACACCGATTTATACCCTTACCGATGCCATATGAAATCATAAGGATCCCCGATTTAGTACCAGTCAAATCTCTCATGAACGCTGCTTTATCAGCTAATCCGCTCGGGCAATCTAATCGGTTTCCACAATAGATGATTTTCCAAAACACGGTAGAGTGTACCCCCACTTAAAGGGCGCATCCTGTGGGCACTGATTAAAGCAACATTGAAATGTTGGCGTTGCGTAACATTGAGCGCAACGATGGTGCCTCTGCCTCACATTGCACAATGTTACGGTATCTCTCGTAGCAGAATATTTGGTTTACCAATGTGACAATAGTGGACACGCGTCGCCACGACAGCTCGACAGCTCGACAGCACGACAGCGAAGCACGCTGTATCACTCGGGGCGTGCGCCAACAGCTTCCGCCGCTAACGTGGCAAGCGCGTCATGGTGTACGCGCCGACACATGCAGCAGGAGAATGGGCTCTACGGGATCTACGCGCAGCTCTACCTGGGCGCCACGTGTTGTCTATTCCTAGTTGGCAGGACACTCTCGCGTTGGCTTTCGCCTGCGGACTTAGCGTATGGCACGAGGGGGTGGGGCAGGCCGCACAGCGGCGCCCCCCGAGCGAAGCGAGAGAGGGGCGGGCCCCCCGAAGTGCCGTACGCTAAGTCCTCGGCTCGGCCAGGCGCGGTGTCTAGGAAAAAAAATATCGGGTTGCAGCGTTCGCCTTCGCTCGCTCGCGCAGACCCGCCCCCGCCTGATCGGCGGGTGTTGACGATCGGTGAACGCGCTCAGCGAGGCTCGCGCTCACGTTCGCTCGCCCTCCCCCTTTAACCTAACTACGCTGTTGGCTAGAGGCGCATTAAAAGCGCTTACGACTGCTTGGAAGATAGCGCATTCGATCGCATGCAACACGCATCGCGCCTAACGCAACGCAACGCACTGGGAAGGCGTTTGCTCCCGCATACGTAGTTCACACACGCATATAAGCACCGCACTAGGACATGCACACATTAGAATAAGGTTGAGCGGGTGGCCGCTGCAGACGGTCGCACGACGCGGAGGCGGAGCTTCCTACCCGGTAGATTCTGAAATGAGAGCTGTTGTGAGCCAGTCGCTCCAAACATGAAATTTCACGTCTGGAAAATTTACATTGCGTCAATGTTGCAACATTGGAGTCCAATGATTGGACCCCATCAATGTTATTGATCCCACACATTGAGGCTGATTTTCAATGTTGCTTTAATGACTTTCCCTTTTGCTCAAGTTCAAGCTAGTAATCAACCTTCTTTGAAAACAAATCATAATCGGTACGCAGAGTAATCATCATGTAATCATTGCCTATACAAATGCTAAGTCATACGCATACACTCTATGTATCATGCAAATCACCGTAGATGGCATGTCCCATGAGACACACCGAAAAGGCTCCGTAACTTTGTAAAAGGACGCCTAGAGCGCCCTTTTAGAAGGAAGTATCAATGAGTTGTATACTATAATTTATTGAGGATACTCGCGAAAGGGTTAACAACATTTGCCTGATCTGAATATCAATTTCTCGAACTGCATGTTCTCCGTGTCCGTCTCGCGGCTCGTGTACTACAGATGCTCTATTTCCATGTCGGGGCTGTAGTACCTTACGTACTCGGAGTACGTCTCGAGGCTCTAGTACGGCATGTACTCGGAGTACGTCTCGGGGCTCTAGTACGGCATGTACTCGGAGTACGAATGGCCGTCTCGGGGATCTAGTACTTCAGGCAATCGGTATCTACCTCGGGACTCGAGCACTTCGAGTACTCAATGGCCGTCTAGAGGCGCTAGAACTTTACGTACTCGGTGACCATCTCGAGGAACTAGTAGTTGATGTACTTCATGTCCGTCTCGGGGCCCTAGTACGTCAGGTACTACACGTCTGTCTCGGGGCTCTAGTACTCGGCAGATGGTGATTGCCAGGGCCTAAACTGCAGCTACCGACTCCATCAGATTGGTTGTACCGGATTAGTACGGGTCTCTAGTACTTTGTCTCGTGGCTTTAGCATTTCCCAAATCGGTGGTGCAGCACCACCGATTTCCGCAAAAATTCTACAAGGAGAGGTTTTACGACCTTGTCTCATTGTACTAGTTGAGATGAGATTGGTAATGGAACCCAACGGCGAGGGATACAGACGAGCCCTCGGTAGTAAACCCTACCGGTAGATAAGGAATACACTCGAATTAAAAGGAGCTTGGGGGATGAGGCTCAACAGTATCATGCCAAATTTTTTAGGTCTCGGTATTATTACCTACCTCGTGCCCAACATCAATTACGGTATTAGATCAAATATAGTTTGGTGTTACCGCAGTATAGATTGTTATCTACATGAATCCCATGCTTGCTCATCGATTTGAGCAGCCTTTTCGGGTTGTACAGACAATCCTCTTTGGAGTGATATCCCGAATAGGGATACCCTCTGGTTAGCACTAATGGAGGCTCTCCCAATGACCGACGACATACAAATTCAAGTCAAAACATCCTCTAACCTCCGGATAGTGCTTAGTGATACGAGATTGGGCTTTATCACTAGCAAGAGACCGTTAACTATGAGAATGTCCATTTCGTAAAGCATGTCCGACGTGGGTCGCTTGCGACCTTGAATGGACTTGGATTCTCCGAGTTCGCGGATATATTATTTTAATAAACTTCCAAGTTTTGCATGACGAGATTCTGGAACGTGCATTTATCGTTTTTGCCTGGGCGCTAGACTAGATTTCGCGTTGTAGCTGCCTGTACAGTCCTCCCAGTTCCATCTGAATAGTGCTCAGTGTCTCACCACTTCTCGCGCCATATAGTAGTATATATTATAATGTCCAGCGCAACAACTGCTTGTATCTAGCGCTTCGACCCCGTATCGAGTGCAATACAAGGTCACCAAGTGCCTGAATGGTGGCAATATCAGTGATATAGTGATATTATATCACTACCGTGGTTCCTTGAACGACAATGTACCGCCGATATGGTACAGATCTAGATAGTGATGCCTCTGCATAGTGATAAAAAGTGGTCTCCCGAGGCTATCACTACAAAGAGGATCATCTGTACAACCAAAAAACTGCATATGTACCATATACGTGGTACTATATTGTGTACCACCCCAATGGTACACCCTACCACAGGAATACCCTCACCAAGGAATAGCAAGTGGGGATTGTCAGTTCTGGCGCAGTGCACTGATCAAACGGATCTCCGTGACGGTTCCAGTGCATGGTCCACGCGAGCAGCTACTTCGCAGAAACGTCTCAACCATTCAATCGCCTCCACCAGTCTTCGTGGAACGGCCGTTCTGGGCCAGTGGTCTCGCCAGCATTCGAGTATGTAGCCTTCTTTGAACTTGTGCAAAGCCAGTGTTAGTTTTGAAACGAAAGCTCCATAATGACGCGATGCCCGTGTTCGCAGAGTTCAGGGGTTTTTTTTCGTCACCGAGGATACACCATTATCATCGTGTGCATACCTGTATGCACAGAGCGGGCTAGAGCCCAAATTTACGTGAGCCATCCCGCTACGTTCTATCTAGCTGATCGCCAATGGACTAGCCCCAATCTTGTTCTGTAATCTAAATGGCACTGTCAAGCCTACACGGGCATTGGAAGCGTATTACAGAGTTCAATTCACGCTGAGTTATGTGCCACGGTGGCCCTGATGGGATCATGCAGTCACCAGGTACAGTAGTAGGGAAGTTTATTGCAATCGACCGGGTTTGCATCAGAATTTTTATTGAAATCGACTGGGTTTGGAGTTTAATACGGATAGGCTGCACGGGGACCGATGTCACGAGCGAGCGCAGCGATCCAGTCTGCGGTTTGCCGGTCTGTGTGCGAAGCACGCGGCTGCAAGCCCAGGCCGCAGCAGTGGTCTGCTTGGTAAGTGGAGGTGACGCGTGCGAGCCGCAGCGGGCTTGTTAGGGTTCTGTCCCAGTGAGCGCAGCCAGCCTAGGGGGTTTTGGGGTCGCGTGTAGGCGATAGTTAAAGGTGACATCCATTCCACCTCATTTCAAACCCGGTCGATTTCAATAATTTCCTGATCGAATATGGGGCCCCCATATGCTACAGTCTCAATTTAGTAATACCCCCATTTTGTAGATGCATTACTAAATGAACACAATGTACCTTGCCTGTAAAATGAAAATGGTACTGTATCGTGTCAAACTTGCATATCGTTCATCGTCGATGTGGACGAGTTGACAAGTTTGATATTTACCGGTAGAGTCCTTGAGTTGGCAACTCCAGATCAGTGCCAACATGAGGCACGTAGGCTGGTGGTGCCAACACACATCGCGTCTTGATTTCCTGACGCCGATTTGGCGACTGAAAGCCCTTATCCTACAACTTCAAGGAGCTCGGAGTCTCCGAGAAGGAGATCTCGTCCGCAGGATGCTGATGTTGCATGCACTGCGTGAAAACCATGTGGCAACAAGTACTGTGTTCTTGCTCGCCACTCCACTCGAGGTCGTCGGCACATGCAAGGATCCTTTTTGAACGCTACCACATCTCTGTATGCCTTGTACAGGTAGCTCACGCTTGCACGTCCAGCGGTCGAAAGATAACGTGCTAACAGTGAAAAATTTGCAACAGAGAACGTTGACGCTTAAGATTAAAAGTCACGCTCAATTGATCCTCGTTCGCTCACATAATATGTCGAAGTTGCAGTCACAACACCAGCATCAGACGAAGCAAGATAGCCTCGCGACTGGCAAGATTCGCCGTGGATTTCTGCACGGGCTCACCCTATGTGAGGTTACACTTCAAATCCGTGCGGATGCACGCCCGCTACAGATTTTCAGCAGTTCGTCGGTCCCTCTCACTGCCGAGGTAACCACGATAGTAGAGGAAGGAAGGAGTTCCGTCCGACGCACCGGAGTGGGTAAGTGAGCTCGCCATTTTCCAATTCGAGTCGTTCCAGCTCAAGCCCAACCACCCGCCACCAAGACGGACAAGATTCAGTACAAATTAAGCATGAACCTCCGAGGATTCTTCACCGTCGCCACCATCGTCGCTGTTTCCACCGCCTCCGCTCAAGCTGAGATCATCGACCACGACCAAGTCGTGCCGTTCGCTCAGCCTGAAGCTGTCACGATCTCCCAGAAGGCCGCAGTCAAGTTCAAGCCGCAGATTCACATCACCAACGGGTGTCACCCGTACCCCGCAGCGAACGAGGCTGGCCAGACCAGCGGCGGACTCAAACCCACAGGAGCCCCCAGCAGCTCGTGCAAAGGCTCTGGTTGGGGTTCGCAAGTCTACGGTCGCTCGACCTGGTACAGCGGCAGGTGGGCTATCATGTACTCGTGGTACTTCCCCAAGGACTCGCCGTCCACTGGCCTGGGTCACCGCCACGACTGGGAGCACGTCGTCGTGTGGATCGACAACCCCGACGTGGAGAACCCGACGATCCTGTCCACGTCTCCGTCGGCCCACAGCGGCTACTCGTACTACGTCCCTCCCAGCGCCGACTCGATCGACGGCACGAGCGTCAAGGTGAACTACGAGAGCCACTGGCCCATCAACCACGCGCTCGATATGACCTCCGAGAGCGGCGAGTTCCAGGACCTTATCATGTGGGACCAGCTCTCGGACGCCGCTCGGCTGGCGCTCAACACGACAAGCTTCGGCAGCGCGAACGTGCCCATGAACGACGGCAACTTCTTGACGAAGCTCGGTAAGGCCTGGCCATTCTGAAGTTTTACGTAAAGTCATCACCAGAGCTCTACTAATACGGGAAAGGTCAATTTTCCCACTTTTTCAGAAAATATGACCTTTTTTGAAGAGCAAAGTATGGGAAATATGGGATTCACTATTTAACTAGGTCGTCTTCGACTTGGCTGGGAACACCAGTGGTATAAACGCTGGTGATGGTACCGGTGCTAATTGCCATGATAAGGGAGAACTGCGGCACGCGCGATATTCAAGGGCGTGGCCCCTGCGGGGCCACACTGCGGCCCGCAGGGGCCACACCCATGAATATCGCGCGTGCCGCAGTTCACTTTCTGAAGCTGGTGCATGGGTCTGTTGACGTGCATTTCCTGCCTCAGTCTGTAGTTGCCGTTGAACCTGTTCTGTCGACATCCTTCTGGCTGGTGTAGCACGAAGGTTGCGCCAGGTTACGCTTACGCGTCCAATTAATCCGTTGGGAGCTGTCCACCCCCTCATTCTTCGGGTGTTCCCAGTATAAGCTATTGCTTGTATTGTGATCGGCACCCCGAATGTCTAATTTGGATAGTAAATCGGTCAAGTTTTTGGCTAATATAGACTTCAAAGTTATTTATTTCGACTGATCTCCTCATTAGATTCCCCACCTCTATTTTAGACTAGGAATTATCATGGCGATTAGCAAGCAGGCTCATGTGGTTAATCCGATTCGCAACAGATTTGTTTGTAAATAAGGCGGAATGTCGCCGTGGAAGTCGACATTCCGAGCTATTTGAGCAAAATACTTATAGCTCTGTAGATGCCGACGTAAGCCACCAGCTTTGTAGCGTGCAATATGGAAGGTGTCAAAGCATTTAGAGGCAGTGCACTAGATAGTCAATAAATAGAAGTCAAATAACTACTGCATACCATATATCGAATAGTTAACCACCAAATTGGTTTACGAAGCATTCGCTCAGGTTTTTGAAGCTGTCTGGTGCTCCATTGTGAGAATTGGACCCAATAATTGCAGTATTAGTCAAAATTACGTAAACTATGGCTACCCCGCAGAACGTCGCCAATGAAGGTAACCCCGTAGAAGCTTCACGAAGGCTTTGTAGTGCAGCGCTTGAGTTGTATAACAATTGAGGACTGGAGTGGCAGTGACAGAGGCTGATGATAGGTATTTTGCACAGGTCATCGATACTTGTGTCAATTTGTTTGTGATTTCCTATCTACATCATTTTTTTAAACAAACTTAATCTCAAATTGTCGCTGAACCGGCAGGATCGTGGCGTGCGGAAACTAATACGGTAAAAACAGCATCAGGTACGAAAATAACAGGTACCTGCCTCATGCAGTGAATAAGACCTTTAGCCTTGCATGCTAGTAATTTTTTTACGGACTGTAAATGCGAAACACAAGTCGCTTTCATCGAAAATGCGCTTGCTTATGGACTCTTTATTGCCTTCGTAGACAAAATAGTGGATAGGTGCGTTGAGCTGATTGCTTGCAGATACGAAAGAATGAATCATGTAACTATCCACGATAAATAAGAGAAAATTGATGCAAGCAACTGGCACAACTTGCTACTTCGAAGTATAATAAAACAGCTACCTTCCAGAACACAACTGCAACATATACAGCAAAGTGATCAGGCTATTAACCCAGGTGGATAGCCCCAACAAAGCACTCTAATCGACGTTTCTACTATGAGAACCCTCAAATTTCTCCCATATTCAGTGATCGCCAGGATATGGGAAATACGGGAAAATTTCTGAAATTCCCGTATCGGTAGAGGTCTGGTCATCACTGCTAGGTGCAGCTCGATGTTGGCACGTGTAGTCGTGCGTATAAAAGAATCAAGAAGAGTATTGTTGAGGTTCGATGTACTAGAAAAAATTGTGAAAGACGGACTCCCAGCAAAAAGTTAGTTGCACGGTTTTTTCTCTTTCGTAAGCTTAGTAGTGGTTATGATTTTAACATCAAATTGCCAAACGGTCGGACTTCTGGGGACCAAGGTCCACTAATAGAAATGGCTGCATCATAGTACTCGCGTGGTCGAATGGAACTGTTTTATGTAGACAAGAATCATCAACGTTCGCTATCATTTGGTGCGAGTTTGTGTAAACAAACCTCTGCCCTGATGTTGCAGAACTCCACCAGGGCTTGCATTTGTATTCCTAGCGCAACAGATAAATTGAAGATCAGAACTCAACAACTTTCGTGCTGCTCGCGTTCAAAGACTCAAAATCGATTAAATATTAGGTTAGAAAGTTACTTCTGCAGACGTGGTATCCAAAGGTGATGACTCAGTGGCAATAGATTATGTTGACTGTTATGTTGAAATGATGATGCTCAGCGCCTCCAAGTAACATCCAACCAGTGTATTCATGTCCTGGTTTGTTGTAATTTGAGCAGTGGCATCCAGCCTACCCATTTGCTAACAGACCAGTCACGTAATACTCGCGGAATGCAGCGGCCGGCCGAGTCGGCCACTGGCCGAGCAGGAGGGGCGCGGCGGGGTGGGGGGGTAGATGAATACCTACAGAAGCTGTCTAGCATTTAAGCCTTGGGGAGCAAGGTATTCATTCAAGGGCTAGAATCTGGCTAATCAGAGAAATTGGAGTGTTTGGTTCATTTTACTGAAGTATTTAAACCGTTGCAGAGGGACACAATGCTATCAAGGCATGAACATCTATTTTCGCATCACTTTGCCGAGTCCTTGATTGCTTTTAAAGGAATGCGACAGCTGAAACAATTGGCGGGAACCCACCCGGGTACCCATCGGGACCCCGGTTCCCCCAAAACTGCCGGTACCCATGCATGAATAACGATGTTGTGCTCTTCTCTCTTGTGATGCCGAATGGAAAGTGAGATTACGTTGAAAGCTTTAACTGCCAAGCTACCTCAGCTACAGCTACAGTACTAGCATCTAGAACCCTGGTCAAGTTGGTCACACCTTCGCGAAGCTTCGACACTTCAACATGCAAGTTGCCCTTGGTGTCTGCCACACAAATGTGTACAATCCATCACCTGCTAACAGCTGATGATCTGCCTGGCATCTCGTGACACTCCCCCTCAACTTGCACGCTCACGGATCCCGCTGCGCTCACGTAGATGCACTAGTTGGGGTGCAGGCAGCGCCTTCGTGAGGAAATCAGCAAGTTGCTGCGCTGACGGGACGTGCTTGAGCTGAATGTCGCCTTGCTCGACATGGTCACGGACGAAGTGGGCTCCGAGATCGATGTGCTTCGCTCTCGGGGTATGTCCTTGGTTAGTCGCGATGCTGATCGCCGACTTGTTGTCCATGTAGACCGTCGTAGCCGCATTGCTTGTGAGCCCCATTTCCATGAGTAGGTATCGAACCCATACGACCTCTTGAGTTGTCATCGCCAAGGACATGTACTCCGCCTCAGCGGAGGACAACGCCACCGAATTCTGACGCTTGCTCTTGTACACCACGACACCACCACCGAGCATCACCAGTAGCCCAGACGTGGATCGTCGAAACTCCCTGTCGCCACCCCAGTTTGCGTCACAGTACGCGTGCAGCACGATCTTGCCCTCGGTCGACTTCTTGTACGAAATACCGTGCTGCGCAGTGCCCTTCAGGTAATGTAGTACGCGCAACGCCGCTCGCCAGTGCATTTCCCGTGGTTGCTCGAGATACTGTGAGAGGACAGACATTGCGTAGCTGATGTCAGGGCGTGTTGCATTGGCGATGTACAGTAACGACCCGACCAATTCGCGGTACACAGTGGGGTTCTTGATCACTGGCTGATTCTCATCGGGGCACAAATCTTGACCAACGATTCGCGGATTGCGGACTCCGTGCGCGTCCTGCTGCTCGAACTTTTCCAGCATTTTGGTGATAAACTGCGTTTGTTTCAACAGCAGCTCCCCCTTGTTTGGCGAATAGTCGATCTCCATGCCCAAAATGTAGCGCGAAGCTCCAAGTGACTTCACTGAAAAGTGTGCAGCCAGCTCTCGGCAGATTGCATCCGCGACTTCATCAGACTCGCATCCCACGAGGAGGTCGTCGACGTAGAGGACGATGTAGACTGGGGACTTGGTATCTGCTCCGCGGCGACGAACGAAAAGACAGGGGTCTGCTCGGCACTGCTGGAACCCCATGGACAGGAAGACGGCGCGAATTTTCTTAAACCAGACTGCAGCAGCTTGCTTCAAGCCGTACAGACTGCGCCGCAGCTTGCACATCATACCAGGGGCAACACGAATTCCTTTTGGTGGCATCATGTAGACGTCTTCTTCCAAATCGCCGTTGAGAAATGCAGTCTCAACATCGAATTGCCTGATCACGAGCTGCATGTTGATGCACGCCGACAAGAATACACGAATTGTGTTCGAACTTGCCACCGGCGAGTAGGTTTGGAAGTAGTCAACACCACGCGTCTGCAAATACCCCAGAGCCACCAAGCGAGCCTTGTAGCGAGCGATCTCGCCCTTCTCGTTGAACTTGTGGCCAAAGCCCCATTTGAACCCGATGACCTTGACCCCGGGCGGTCTGCGCACGATGTCCCACGTGTGATTCCGAATGTGGGCCCTGATCTCCGCTCGGATGGCTTTCTTCCACTGAGGCGATTCCGGTGAATTGACGGCGTCTTCGTATTCTTCTGGAACTTGAGTCGCAGCCATGGCCACCTCGTCGAGGCGCGGTCGTTTCGAGTCAGGTTCAGCGACTTCGTCATCACTGTCCACTGCAGATCCATCCGTAAGCTGCGCCACACCACTTGAAGGTGAGCCATTCGTTAGAAGCGGCACGTCGCCCCCTTCAGCTCTGTCCGTGAGCAACGGCACGTCACCAGGATTGCCGCGACTGCTATCGTCCATGAGCAGGTGGGGTGCTGGTTGAGACAGGAACTGAGGTCGCGTCGACCCACCGCTAAACACAAGTGCATCACCACCAGGAAAATGCCGAGGCCGCTGCATAATTGAGCTCGATAGTGGTGGATCCAGCTCGATGCGAGGCAAATGGCGGTCACCGCCGCTGCGATTGTTGTTCTGCCCTGCCACGACCACTGCATTGCTCGTGCTCGGTGAGTGGCTTGATGCCACACGAGACGCTTCGATTGCCTGAATATCCCGGCGCTCCCCCTCAATCGGAACTACGGTATTAGAATCCAGTCCTTGCACGCCACCAGAGACGTCGACTTCCATATCCTCGCCGTTGTCCATCTTGATTTCATCAACGTCCATTGCTTCATCGGCTGACGGCTGGGGTAGGCTTGCTCGGGGGCGTTCTCCATCATCATCCGCGTCATCACGGCAGCTTACCCGAGGAGCTTGGTCGACCATGACCACATCGCGATACCCAGAAGGTGGGCGCTCGTCGAGCACAACCGCGCGCGTCGTCACCAGTCGGTTATCCTCCAGATCCCAGACACGGTACGCCTTCGATGTCTCCGCGTATCCAAGGAACACGCAGCGGTGGGCCTTGGAGTCCCATTTCGCGCGCTTGTTGTCGCTGACACGCGTGTACCCCTTCGCCCCGAACACACGCAAGTAGCTCAGGTCCGGGCGCGAGCCAAAGAGAACTTCGTACGGACTTTTGCTCGGCCGTGCGGTGTTGGGGACTCGGTTAATTGTGTGAGCCGCGGTCATAATAGCTTCTGCCCACCATGTACGATCCACCTCCATGTAGTACAGCATCGAGCGTGCCATTTCCGCCAGCGTGCGATTCATCCTCTCTGCCATACCGTTTTGTTGCGGCGTGTAGGGGACCGAAGTCTGGTGAACGATGCCTTGAGCTGCACAGTACTCATTGAACCGACGATTCACGTACTCGCCGCCATTGTCGCTCCTCACGCACTTGATCTTGTGACCGGTTTGCGTCTCGACTATCGCCTTGAACTCTTTAAAGCGATCAAATACTTGTGAGTTCGCAGCCAATAAGTACACGTACACGAAGCGACTGAAGTCATCGATGAACGTCAGCACGTAGAGAGCCCCACCCTTGGACTTCGGCTTCATGGGGCCCATTAGGTCAGTGTGCACGATCTCAAATGGGCGAGTCGTCTTCACCTCGCTCCCTGACTTGTGACTAAAGGGGCTGTTGGTCATTTGCCACGCACACACCCGTCGCAAACTCCACCGCGCGTCACTGGTACCGCTGGCACTCCGTCGCACGCCTTCAACACTTGCTGAAACTTCGTCTCCGATACGTGGCCCAGACGAGCATGCCACAATCCAGACTCCTGAGCACCTTGGCTCCCTCCAACGGCTTGATGAGCTTCCACCGCCGAGTCTTGCTCCACAGTCCACGCAAACAATTTCTCCGCCCACAAGCAGCGTTGCTCGATCATGCTCGAATTGAACAAGAACACCACGAGCAGTCAACGCAGGCACCGACAAGAGCTTCCTATCCAGCTCCGGCGCGTGCAGCACATCGGTCAGCTTTACCGTGCGACCATGTAATGTAATGTAATGTATTACGTTTTCGCGTTGCCACACTATGCTTTCGCTAGGCTCAGCTTTGCTAGTCGACCATGTGCGAGGACGAATCTCACACAGTCTTTTCCTCTCGCCTGTAGCCGTTGACCATTGGCTACCGTGATGCTGATGGGTGCACCCAGCTCCTGGTACTCGATGAAGTCAGAATATTCACCAGTCATGTGGCAACTTGCACCACTATCCAGCAACCACGTCGAGCATCGCCGAAAACATAAATTCACTTCCCGACTTCGATGAATCCACACCCGGGCAGTCTGCGCGCTTGTGGCCACGCTGCCCACAGTCGAAGCACTTCCCTTGAAAGTCACCACTTCTGCGCTTGGTCCGTTGCTTTCGGCCGTCCCGCTCACCTCGACCGCGGCATCCTTGGCTACGCCGCTCGCGTCCGCGCTGTTCCGACACCTTGAACGCGGTTTCCTTCTGCTCGCGCTTCTGCAGCGTATCGTACTCCCGTCGCAGCATCTCCTTGGCGTCCAGCAACGTCACTTCATTGTGCGCCTCGATGTGCGCACCATCGCGTCGTACTCCTGAGGAAGGCTACCCAGAAGCACCACCAGCTTCTCTCCTTCGTCCACGTCGTCTCCTGCGGCGCCGAGCTTGAGGCACAGCTCGTCAAACTTCAGCATGTGGTCCATAAGATTTGCGCCGCTCTCCATGGAGAACTCGTGCAGCTGTTTGCGAGGCTGCACCCGGTTGTGGAGATTCTTCTTGGAGAAGGTCTTGAGCGTCTCCCACGCCTCGACAGCCGTCTTGCACTCGCGCACCATCGACTGGTAGGTAGGAGACAACAACTTCACGAGCACCGCCAAAGCCTTCATGTCTGCCGCTTCCCATTGGGGAGTATCCCGTTGCACCGCCGACTCAGGCTTCATGAAGACATGGTCCAGCAGATCCTTGCGGGCGAGCGTCATGCGGGTGTTGAATTCCCACATGAAGTAGTTGTCGTCCGTGAGGATCTCGTTGGGTCCGGGCGTTTTTGGGCTCATAACCAATAACGATGTTGTGCTCTTCTCTCTTGTGATGCCGAATGAAAAGTGAGATTACGTTGAAAGCTTTAACTGCCAAGCTACCTCAGCTACAGCTACAGTACTAGCATCTAGAACCCTGGTCAAGTTGGTCACACCTTCGCGAAGCTTCGACACTTCAACATGCAAGTTGCCCTTGGTGTCTGCCACACAAATGTGTACAATCCATCACCTGCTAACAGCTGATGATCTGCCTGGCATCTCGTGACAGCATGGTCAAATGTATTGGAGTGTTGGTCTATGACCTACGTTGAACGTAGCTTAAGCTCGGTAGAGAAACGGAAGGTGAATTCGTCTTCGCTCCCGTCCTGTGTCTCTCCATGAAAATCCAAACTCTTCCCTGGTACAGCGGTAGAGGGCTTTCCGGCCACATCGCTAACCTCCTGCTCACATCACATTATGTGATTCACATAAGGTGGACTTTGGCATGGTAAGGTACGTTATTCGGGTCTACTCAGTACCGGTGACAGATTTGTGGTACTCATTCGTACAGCACTTGGGTTTGATGGTTTAACTTGCCCCAACGGTACCAATATGGGGCCGAAAATAAAATAAATAATTCGCGATTTGGTCGGTATCATTTGCGGGAACCCGGGTTCCCGCCAATTGTTTCAGCTGTAGCAACGATACCAGGCATCACACCAAGAACAATCAGAACCAAAAACGCCTTACCCGCCTAGGTAGGTACGCCTCCCCGTATTCCCACAGCATGAGGCTGTCCGCTGAAGGCTTCCTATTCCTCAAAAACCCTGCAGGCGCAACCTACCTCTCCTTGTCACCGTTGCTCGGTGTCTGCCTCCCTCTGTCCCTCTGAGACGGCGAACCTGACCATCTCTGGTAGCGGCGTTCTTGATTTCGGCTTCTCTTGTGGCGATAGTAGAGCCCATGGCGACTATGCCTAAAGTAGCCGCGATCAGGGCTATCAGGAGGGTGAAACGCATCGCCGCCGGTCGGGGAAGTTCTTGAATGACCTCCGTGCTTACAAGGCAGGGTACGTAGCAAACCCCTGGTGGTGGATTACATCCTGACGAAGTGTTGGCGTACGAGTATTGAACCGTCATCACTTGTGCAACTGCGTGTGGACTGCGGGTGCAAATCACTATGAAACCGCATGCTCCGCTATCAATAATAAGCACAAGGATTCATAACGTACCAAAACAGACCTGTTAACTTTCATAATTACATGGATAGTATATTATCCCTGCTGCATGTTGCTTGAGTCTTTTAGGGTCGACATTCGCGTGACACAATCGCTCGGATGTCGCTCGACTATCCAATGAATGAAGTCACGAATACATTTGACATCGTCTACCTCACGCTGGGAACCGTCATCGCTCGCCGACTCGGCAATCACCTTCTTCTACCCCACAAGCTGCCTGACACACTGTACATGTAACCTGTATAAACACCTACCGAAGCTTCGTGCGAGCCCAAAAAACACTGGCATAGTAGCTAAACACAGTAGCTTTGCATCAAAGTAGCTTCAGACGCTGTATATACCAATCTCATCGACGCCTGCTACAGCTCAACTGTTCCGTGTTCTCTAACGGTGGGTACATTCAGCACTTGGTCGTGTTTCAATCATAATAAGTAACAGTAAACGTCGATCATAGACTTCGTTACACGTAATAGATTACGAGGACTACAAACTCTGTTCGCCTTCATACATCCAGCTTTTTTTGTTTTTTTGTTTGTCTTCGAACGACCAGGCGTTGCAGAGCTTCGTCAAGAAATTGCCGTCGATCATCGGCACGCTCGTCTTGCAGAGGCTCGTCGCGTTGAGGCGCCAGCCGAGCGGCGTTCGGACCTAATAGACCTCGCCAGTTGTATCAGGGTGTACTAAATGCCTAAATGCCGAGGTAGAATCGACTAGGGGGAGGCTATGCCTTAAGTTCTCGGTAATAGTTTAGCACTACTCGAAGTTTTCCTTTAACCCTCTTTCCACTGTGGCAGGTAGATTCGATGATGCGACGTTGCTTTACATAAAGGCCCACATTGCCTGCTGCCTACTGCAGAGCGACGCTCATGTATCGACTAAGCCGTGCTAAAGCACGGAGAAGCTCTGGATTTTATCATGCAGTAGTATGTAGCATTCCAAGCTACCGTAGTACATGTAGTAAAGTTTTTGTAAACGTGTTATCTCGTCCATTACGCTATTGCGAGTCCTATGATTGGCATAGGCTGTTGACTAGTGTAGCGTTCACATACGTATGCTCTCGCTTCTTCCGAGGGTGTGTAGGTAAGGAGAGGTTGTATAACTCGTTACCATTCCTTCGACTCAAGAGATTCCGTGTTTAGCTATTCTATGAACCTTGGTTTCGTGCGAAGTGATCTGTAAACTTCAGTTAGAGTGAACCAAATAACATGTAGGCGTCCGTCTCCAAGCCAATGATTACCCGTGAAAGATGCGTTTATGTAGCCATATCGGGTTTTACGCTATTATGGACTGCGCAGCACCACAGACTTGGCGGTGTGATGATGCTGCAGCGACTAGCACAGCGCGCGCGCCTCCCGGTGCTGCGTCCGCGCCAGCGCCTGCAGCTCCAGATGCGCCTCATCTCGTCCGCCTTCGATGCGCCCGCGCGCGAGCTGAGCGTGTCGGGGCAGCCGAGTCGCGTGGTTTTCGGTGCTAAAGTTGCTGCAACGCAGCTGGGGGCATTAAGTCGCGCCAGCGGAATGCGCAAGGTGCTGCTGGTGCGCGATCGCGACGCCGCCGCCGCCGCGCGCACGCAGTACGCCGAGTTCCTGCTCATGCAGGCGGGCGTGCCGTGCTTCCAGTACACGCTGGAGCGGGACTGCGCGACGCTGGACGGAGTGGACCACGCGGCCGCCACGGCTCAGCGCGTGGGCGCGGACGGAGTCGTGGCCTTCGGCGGCGGCAATGCAATGGACACGGCGCGCGCGGTGGCTGTGGTGCTGGCCAACGGGGGCAGCGCAGCGGACTTTGTAGCCACCGTGGAGGACGATAACGACGAGGTCGACCACGAGCTTAAGTTGCAGCAAGACGAGCGGGCCTTACCCACCATCCCGCTGTTGCTGGTCCCCACCATCGCCGGTAGCGGCGCCGAAGTGGCCAGGAGCACGCTGCTGCTCGACGAGGACGCCGAGACCAAGGTGCTGTTCGCGGCTGGCCGCGACATCGTGCCCGAGGTAAATGGGTCCATGTTGAAGTTGGAAGTTGCCTTTTTTGGGAACAATCTGTGACGTGTGAGAATGCTTTTGGGTTCTGGTTGTTGCTGCAGGCGGTGATCATCGACCCGACCTTGATGCTGACGGTGCCGCTGCGCGCGACGGTGCAGGGCGCGCTGACGACGCTGGGTCAGTGTCTCGAGTCGTACTTGTTGGGTTGCGCTGATGACGCGACGAACGCCTTGGTGCTGGAAGGACTGGAGGCGGTGGCTGGTGCTCTTGCTGCGCCGCTGAAGGAGGGCAAGCTGGACCTCAAGGGCGCCGCACTGCGTGAGCAGTTCGCACAGGCCAGTCTGCTCTCGGGCATTGCGGCCAACTCGTCGGGCACGGGCGCGGCGCAGGCGCTGGCGGTGTCCATGGGCGGCATCTCCGACCTGCCGCACTCGCAGGTGGCCACGGCCTTCCTGCCTTTCGTGTTCGACCGGTATGCGGAGCTGGCGAGCGAGAACGAGGGCGACCCGTTCTTCGACGAGCTGCGCGAGAAGCTGGAGAACGCGGCGGACCGACTCACGGCAGCCAGCGGCTTCCAGGGCGCGAATGTGGCGGCGTGGCTGCGGTACGTTATCACGCGCTTCGACCTGCCGACTGCGTCTACGCTCGAGCTGGACGAGAGCTTGCTCAATGGCCTCGCGGACCGCGCGGACCAGTACCAGGACGATTCCATGCAAGTGGCTCGTAGTGACGACAACGGCGCGATCATGGAGAAGGACGACCTGCGCGCGATCATCGACAGCGCTGTTCTGGTGGTGGAGCCTTCGAAGGAGGACGACGACAAGTGAACTCATTCCTAGACGCAATAACGAATGGGAGACCAAGATTCTCTTTACCACTACTGACTGGTATGCTTGTGTCTGTCTCTCTCGTGGTGCTCGTTCTTCAAGGGATCAACGTGTTTGGGCTCGATCGCCAGCCGGTGTACAGGCCAATGTGGCTAGAGCTGCGCGATTTCCCCACATCGCGGCACTGTTTGACCATTCCAAGCACGAACAGCGCTACTATCGCCATCAGATACACCCACCACATGCCTGGAACTGCGGACAACCAGAACCTGCCGCGGGCGTGATCACGAAAGTGCTCAAGGTCGTTGCTGGGATACTTGCCAGCAAAGTAGCCGACACCCCGCACTGCCATCATGGAGCCTATGAGACTACTAGCGACGATGGCAAACGGCCGCACCAGTAGCCACGAGAGAATGCCTCCAAGCAGGACAACGGCCCCGTCCAGCACTGCACTGGTGTCCCCCGACATCATGCGATAGGGAAGCGACGCTGTAAACGCGTATGCCAGCATAGACCCCACCAGGAACACGCCCAAGGGGAAGAAGGCCAACGCGACGCAGCCGCCAGCGATGCCAACGACGACGAAGCCGATCCACGAAGCTGCGAGCACCCACGCCTTCAAGCCGAACGTGTTCTCGAGCGCCGCCGACACCAACAACCCGCACACGAGGAACCCGCACGCGAAGACCATCGCGCGCAGCAGTCGGAAGCCGTAGAGGCAAACGACGAGCCCCACGATGATCGCGGACTCGGCGACGACACCCGGCTCGATGTGGAGGTGGTCGGGGAAGTAGCCGGCAGAAGGCGAATGCCCACAACAGGCGCCGAAAATGCTGGTCGCAAGCACCAACGCAGCAATAGTCAGACGCATCGCCGCCCTCTTGGTGGTTCTTCTTCTCCTCGCTTTTGGCATTAGGGGAAAATGGTCTGCGACGGGTATCAACAACATGTCCATCAAAAATGGGGGACTTCCTCTTTTTAGGCACTTTTTGGTGAAGTTATTTATTTGTCGGCATAACGGCGAGATCAAGAACGGCAGGATGGCTGCGAATGTTGTGGAACGTGGAGGGCCTAAAGGTGTCGCCGTGCAGGTAGGAGCGAGTACGCGTCAAAATTGATATCAACACGGTCTTACGTCTCTACCGAATGCGGTGTCCAGATGCACGCGTACATTGGCTCACCTCCCGCGAAACCAGGTTCGTACAGTAGCTGTGAAGCCGACTGCCCGGCTCGTTCTCAAATATGCTGAAAAAAACGGTTTTTTTTTACTTTGGGCCTTCAGACAATTCGGCTCTGCGGATGAAAGATGGTAAACAAGTTGAAGTTGCAAATGGTTCGACAGGAGAGGTAGGCAGCAGATATCTGCAGGTGACGAGTTATGAGCTCAAGATTGCTGACGCGTAAGATGCTTACTTGCCAAGTAGACCTTGGGACTGCAAGTAGACCACGTGTACCAGCAGGCAACCGAGGCAGACGTGATGGAGAGATCGCTGCGGCCGCTCGTAGCCGCTTGTGTGGAAGGCGTGAACGCCTCTGTGCTGGCTGTTGGCTCGGCCAAGACGCAAAAGAGTCGAGTTCTTTTCTCCCCCATGCCGGAGCAGAGTCTAGCTGCTGCAGTCTTCCAAACTCTGTTGGACACGCTTCAGCTCAAAGCCTCCACTCTCAGTAGCAGCGGCGCTAGCCATGCAGCAGCAAACGGCGGGATCTCAAGCGCCAGGAAGAACCAAGTTATATCCTCAGCAACTTTCTCGCTTCGAGTATCGTTCGCTGAGCTGTACGAGGAGACAATCACGGTTCGAGGCAGCTCAAAGAATGTTTACCTGCGTGACAGAGCTGGTTGCTAACCAGATGTCCGTCCACTTTTTATCAGGATCTTGTAGCTGCGAGCAGTGATGCCAGACCAGCTCTCTCGATCGAAGACGATCCAGCGCTAGGAAAAACTATCAAGAATTTGACCCAGTCGCCGCCTCTGACATCGCTATCGGAGTTTCGTCGAGTTTTAGACACCGGAATCAATGCAAGACGCAGCACCAACGGTCTCTACGGCAATTCGTCCGAGTTTAGCAGCGCTGTGCTGCGGGTAAACCTCTTTCATTCAACATTGTGTGTAGATTCATCTGGGAATTCACCACTTTTGGTGTTGTTCTTACAGATCTCCGTCAAGCAAACATTCGCCTTCAAAGACGCATCAGCTCAAGAGCTCCTCTCGTTCTTCGACCTCGTGGATCTTCCAGCTACCGATCGTCTTGCACGCGTTAGTATTGACTCTACTGCTGCTGCTCGCCTCCCTCGTGCTAAAGCTGACGAGATTATTTGTTTTGTCATCTGTAGGCTGGATCTGCCGTGCGCTTATCTGAAGGTCCGCTGCTGAACAAGTCCCTGTTCGCACTACTGGAGGTCGTTGAGAGTCTGACGCACAGCAGCGGAGATGAAGTTCCTGTTCGCTACCGAGGCTCGCAGCTCACAACTCTGCTTCAAGACGCACTAGGAGGCAACTGCCTCACCTTCGTGCTAATGTGTCTGAGCCCCGGTGACATGACTGGTTCTACCGCTACACTGCAGCTCGCTAGAATGCTGCCTCGCATCAGCACGTTCCCCGTAGTGAATAACGACATGCTGCGTGGCTTACGGCGCCGCCAGTTCATGGCTCAGAAGCAGATAGCCTCGACGCCCTCCGCGTTGGTAGCAGCTAAGGACGGTGCAACAGGCGAGAAGCAAAACCTAGCGGACTATGAGCGCAGACTCCACGATCTGGAGGGCAGGCTGGCCCAAAACGCACTGGAGCGGCGAGTGCTGCGCGAAGACAAGGACGTGCTGACAGCTCAGCTCGGAGAGCTGCGCGCCAAGTACCGCGAACTGTTCGACAACGAGCTCTCACTGCGCACTGAGCTGCTGGCATGCGAGCAAGAGAAGCTGGCGCTGAGCAAGGCGTTCGTCGCCTTTCAACTGGAGCGCGACACTCAGGTGCAGCAGCTCGACAGCGACAAGTTCGAGGTCGAGACGCGGCTGCTCAAGGCCGAGCAGCTCGTTGTGGAGATCCAGCAGGACGACACCACCAAGGCCGCACAGATCCAGGATCTGTGCGCCAAGATGAACGAGCTCGTGGCTGACAAGACCCGACTCGGAGGCGAGTTAACTCTGCTGCAAAAGGCGGTTCGAGCTGCCGAGAGCGCGCTTAACGCGGAGGCCAAGAAGAACCAGCAGCTCAGCCTCGAGCTCATCGTGGCGGTGAACCAGAAGCAGAAGTGTCAAGGCGAGATGGAAGCGCTCGCCGCTCAGTTGCGCTCACGCCAAGCTCAAGTCGACGCGCAGTTGAAAGAGTGCACGCAGCTTCGGTCGGACAACGAGGCGCTGCGTCAAAGTGCCGCCGAGTATGACGAGAAGCTCGAGGCTATGCGCAAGGACGTTGTGCGACGAGAGTTAGAGCTGGAGCGCGCGGAGCTGGCGGTTAAGAAGGAGCAGCTTGAGACGCAGCAGGCTGGACGAGATGCTGATAGCAAACATGAACGCTCAGTTAAGCAGCTGAGTGACGAGCTGGTAACCCAACGCGCAGCATTTGCAGCGGACAAACGCTCACTAGAGCTGCAACTGGAGCGAGTTCAACACGATCTGGCTCGAGAAACTCGAGACAAACAGCAAGCGATGGCGTCTTTAAAGGCCAAACATGAGGAGAACGAAGAACTGCTGCTGGCTTTGGAGCGCGCGCGGCATGACGCGCACGCGCAACTCGAGACGTTCCGATTGAAGCTCGCGCTGCTTCAGCAGTCGAGCAACAATGTCGAAGGAGCGGGCGAGTCTGCTTCTGGTGCTGGACTTCAAGCGTTGAGGGAGCTGCTGGTCTCATACCAAATGCGCGAAAGAGAACTGCGGGACGAACTCAGCAGCGCACGAAGCGCGAGCGTGCGTCTAGCCCGACACCTTCGAGATCCCTCTATACACGCTACCGAGCCACCACAAAAAAGCAACGAAAACGAGAAAGATGGAGCTCAAGAACACGGAGAGGGGCCGACTGAAACGGGAGAAGTTGAGCAACTGCGTGAACGTCTCGCTGCTGCAGAGCAACAAGTAGCGTCGGAGATGAAGCAGCGGACAGAGCAAGCGCTGGCGCTGGCAGAGCTTGAAGCGCGGAATGTAGCTCTAGTTCAGGAGCAGAAGGAGAGAAAGCGGGCGGGGCAGACTGCGCCAGCTCAAGACAGCGAAATTGGCGTCCGCGCTATCACCGAAATGCACGCGGCACTGGCGCGTCAACTGGAGGAAGTGCGCCGACTCACGCTCCAACAACAGCAGCAGCAGCAGCAGCAAAACCAGCGCGTTGACACTGCAACTCCTCCACCTTCACAGCCTCAAACCAGCTCGAATAATCCATCAGACGCCAGTGAGCTGGAGTCGCTTCGGGCAGCCAAAGCTCAACTCGAATCGCGGTTATCAAGCAGCAAGGCTCAGTGGATGGCGCTTCTGGAGCAGGTGGAGCGACGCTGTGCCGAGCTGTTCACCAAGAACGTCATGCTCACCGAGGACAACGAGAATCTCCGGCAACATCTCACCAAGGCGCGCATGAAAGCTCCTCGATGATGGAAACGGACGTTGCATCATCGCGCTGAGGAACCACTTAGCACGTTCTCACTTGACGGTTCGTGCGTGGTGTAAAAATGTCCGCCCTGCACGAACTGCGTTTAGACTGCGGGGTTCTGGTTAACCTCAATAAAAGTAGATTGCATTTCAGCAGTTCGCAGGTGGATCAACTGGAAGGTGGACCTGAAGAGGACGTTGATGGAGTCCCCGTCGCAGTATGTGGATCTGTCTTCTTGGGGCTTCAGGCTGTGGTGGTTCATCCTGCTCTCGGTTCATCTTGTGACCTTCGGGTACAACGCGTCCAATGGTCTGTTCTACTATGAGCTCGAGTCGACCTACCTGTACGCGTGTCTGATCTACTCGGGTATCGGAATGCCTGCTGAAGCCCACCATACGATCGCAAACGTGAACATTGCCATGGCCGGAATGCATGGCGTGTGCGTCTTACTGATGATGACTGGGTCTCTGCGGCACCGCAAGCTGGTATTTTACCCTTGGCAGCAAGAAACGGGTACGAATGGGCTCTCCAACAAGCCACTGGGGCTCAAGAACAGGAGCACAAGCTCTTCGCGACTGTAATCTGCAAAATTCCACACCATTCGACTGTACTCGAAAGTGTGGGGCCGGGAGGGCGTACTGGGCGTGAATGGGAGCAACTTCCACGCCATTCTCGCGGCTCGTGAACTATTGGAGACGGCACTTCAAACCGTGCAAGCGTATCGGATGAGTTGGCTCCTGCCTCGCATGCTGTTCAACCGCTTCTACCTGATCCTGCTGGTGCTCAACTGCTGGTCTTCGGTGGCGATTTACTCGCGGTTGTTCCGCTGGAATGAGGTTCGCAAAAGGCTTGCGTGTCTGATGTGCGACTGCATCCTCGATCTCGTGTCTTGCATCGGTGTGCCACTGACGGTAGTACTGAGTTACATCGACGACTTCGACCCCAAAATCCAGGGCTTTCCCCTACTAATCTGGTACGACGACGTGTGGTCTGCCAGCGTGCTGAACGAGTTTCAAATGGTCGTCGTTGTGTCTTGGTCGGACCTGGCGAGTCGAACGATCTTCTCGTTTGGTTTAATCATGACCACTACGAGCATGAAGAAGCTGCTGCGTAGAGCGAGTTCGGCCAGTAAGAGACGCATCGTCTGTGCTGCTAACAGCGTTCGGATCCGAGACAAGATGAACGCCGTCGGCCCCACGCAGCTAGAATTTGCTTCCGATCTAACGGCTATCAGAAGCGGTAGCGGCTGCTACAGCAAAACAGGCCTACGCACTCAATGTGGGTAGGTTTTCTTGCGGCTGATCCATCTCCTGGGGGTTAGTGGTGCTTGCTCTGCACATCCAAGCCTCGTGTCAACCGGAAGTGCCCCAATGCGTCTTGCAGGTTCATCCGTGGGCCCTGTCGGAGCCGGCGTGCTACCTCGCAGTCCTCGATTGCTATCGACTTGGGATATCGGGCAGTAACGACGAAGTTGAGGCCAAATGGAGCGAGTTCGACCGATCGACAGTCGTGACGCTGGTGATCCGTCATTGCCCCGCGCTGGAAGTCCCGGACATGATAGGTGACTTCCACTTGACCACAGGGATCAAGCTGTACAACTCGACCATCAACCACTGGGGGGAACCTGCTGCGCTTACAATCGCAAATCATCCCGAGCTGATTTGGTCCTACTTGGTACGGGTTGATGTGACCGATGGCATTATACCAGTCCAGGGATCGGACAATATACAGTCAAACCTGTTTATATGAGGCCCTGTTGGTGACCATCTACTACAATGACTCATATAAAATGGACTCAGCTAAAACAATTATGTGGTGCACGTAAAGAAATCGTGCATAGTTCGCTGCCGCTTTGCCTTCACCGTAGTCTCTCGAACCAAAGCGGTCACGGTCTGTAAAGCTCTTCGTTCTCTCAGTCTGCTCTCCGCATTGCAGCAGAAATGCAGCCAGCTCCATGCAGTGTCTCAGAGCAATGGCAGGTTGAACTGCGGTTTCCTGTTCCTCCTCTTCCTCCTAAGCGCTCCGCCAGCTCATGCGCCTTCAGCAGGAGCACGTCGTCCGCCATCGCCGTTTTAGCTTCGTTCTGAAAGAAAAATTCCCTCAGTTCCCGCTCGAACTGAGGGAATTTTTCTTTCAGAACGAAGCTATGAGTACGCTGAGTAATGTTAGCATGAATAGTAGAGTATATGAGTACGCTGAGTAATGTTAGCATGAATCGTCATGGCACTTATCCCCGATGGTTAGCGAGTCTTTACCCCTAACTGTACGTGTCCGAACATGATTGACGGTCTTCCTAGTGTCTAAAGCGAAAGTGGCCAGACAGAAGCATCGACGAGCAATGTTGGAGACTCGGTTGGGGTACCTCTCCCTCTTTCATGACGTCTGTTGCCAAGGACACAAGCCAAGTTATTATCACCGACGTAGGTACCGCAGTAACGCTGCAGCTCTGAGGTCTAAGTGTCTCCCCTCCTACGCATACGAAGTCTTTTCGCACGTAGTCGCAGTATCTGCTCAAATTTATTACGTATACACGTTGGTGCCATTACGTGGCTGTAATAGGCTTCTATAGGTCAGTTAATTAAGCTCAAATAGAAGGCCACTTAACCCCCCCCATTACGTGGCTGTAAAGAAAACAGAAGTGCAGCCCTGCGGACCTCAAGGCTACTCTCATGGAGAAAACCATAGCTCGATAAGAGAGCAAGTCTACGTGTACTTAATTCGGTTGTTCAGCGCCATCGACCCCTCGACGCGAAACGTGAAAAAAACTGAGACTCGATTAAGTACTGACGATGGATTGGGGTCTGATGACCAGCGAAGTGCTATTAAGGCTGTCAGAAGTATTCAATAGGCAACAGCCACGGAAAAAGGAGAGGAAAACTAGCGTATGGTGCTCTTTAATATCGTAAGAGAAGGTAGGGGCAGTTTTTCTTCCTGAACAATATTGACAATAAATAGTGGATATTGATGACATCGCTACAATACAATATTGATGCCCAACAATATTGCAATTTTATAATATCATTTTTTATTTTCCGATACCAGTCTTCAGATTTCTGTACGATCTTGAATTTTCACATACGAGCATCCACGATCTCGACTCGAAATGGTTAATGGGGACGACCATTTATCTGGAATACTCCCAGCTCACGGCCGTACCTCCAGTGCTGTTGCGTTTGGAGCCTTTTAGTCTCTCGTTAAGGGGGAACGCAATCTCCGAGCTCCCACCAGAGGTTTTTGAGGTCACGGGCATGACGTACTTGAACGTTGGAGGGCTACCAATACAAGAACTTCCCCGTAACGTCAGTCGTCTCTCGCCACAGTTGGTTTACATGAACATGGCGAACACAAACATCTCGTTTTTCTGGCAGTGGGTCGACCCATTCGTGGAGAGGAGACTGGGTCAACCCGTCGTGTCCCTGGCGATGCGAGAGACCCCATATTGCTCCGATCTCGATGAAATCATCGGTGGGGGGGGCCGATTCCTTCACCGTTCCACCGTCGCCGGGGTTTTCGGCATTGTTGATGGATCCGTCCAACGAAGAAATGATCAGAACCTTCGTCAACTGCACGCAAGTTGCTGAAGGCTTCGGTAACGCGTATCCGATCACTTTTGAAGACAGCATCAATGCACTCGAAGCAACTTAGCGCTAACCACTAGCGACCGAACAAAACTAACGTGCTAGATTAGTTTGGATAAAACCTAGCGAGTGAAAAACTACCAAATGATGAATGCACCTGTCGCCACTAAATACTTACAGGCGGCACTGGCGCTATAGTTCAGCTACTATCGAGCAGTAGCTGCATATAGTGAGGTCTTGGAAATAACGTGTCGACTTCGACGTCGACGTCTACGGATGAATGTTGTTGCTGCGCAACTGGAACGAGTCGTACTGCCGCGTTCCCCACGCGTTGTAGCTCTTGCGCAGCAGGTGGTCCGCGCGGTGCCGGATCTCTCGCCGCGACAGCCCAACGCATAACCGCGTGCGCATATCGGCGATAACGCGTGCCAGCTTCGCGCCGTGGAAGCAAGGGAAAGGAGAATGCTGACCCGTAGTCTGCAGCAGCGCAGCGATCTCGGACTGGTACTTCTGGAGCACCACGAAGCCCTCGCACAAGCAGTTGCGGAAGTGCTTGTAGCCAGGAGACCCCAGACCTCCCATCACGTCGACCATCTCCTTCGTGAGCTTGAATGGGGCGTCCTCCACGCTGAACATGCCGCCGGGTGCGATGCCCAGGATGAAACCAAAGTCGATGTGAATCACGCGGCCCTCGGCACTGAGCAGAATGTTGCCGTTGTGGCGATCCTTGAGTAGCAGCACGTAGCTCACAATGGAGTACGCGGCCATGCTCTCAATGAATCGGCGCTGAGCTGCAATGAACTCCGGGCTTGAGGGTGCGCCGTAGACGCTGCGGAAGTATTCAGACAGTTTGCCACCCGCGAACGTCTTCTTCAGATGGTCCAGCGAGCAGGCATCGGTAATCGTCTCTAGTAACCCGATGTTCGCTCCAGTCGCGACGATCCGGTAAGTGCGCAGCCACAAGTGCGGCGCCTCGAACTCGAAGATGGACTTGAGCTTATGAATGAGCTGCATCGTGAACACTTCCTGACGCAAATCGTCGTTCGTCTTGACAATCACCGAGAAGAGGTTCCAGCCGGGCAGCTTGCCCATAGGCGACTCACTCTGGATGCGCGCCTTGCGTTCCTCCCAGCTCTCGCCAAACACCTTACTGTCATACACGAAGTTCTCGACTCCTCGACGTCCAGCGCGTGCTCCAGCTCCCATCTTGCTGCCTCGGCTGGGTTGCGGCAAGTGTGGCATCATGCTACTATGGCGCCTGCTACTAGCTGGTGCCGATGTCTGTCGACTGCTAGTTGGTAGAGTCATGTGGCGCCCCCGACCTTCACCTCTGTCGCTGTCCTCTTCCTGGTCATTCAACGAAGGTTCACCCCCATGAAGCGGAGCGAGATCATTCGGACAGCTAGCAGGGACAGCGATCGTGCTAGTTGGAGTTGGCGTTGCTAGAGTCGAGCTGCTGCACGGGGATAGCATCGTCTCCCCGCTTGACGAAACAACCGAGGCTTCGATCTCATCCAGAACCGCCGACTCGAAGAACGTCGAGTTGCGCGGGTGAGAGCTACACACAAACGGACGGAGTCGATCCGTGTCAGCGTCGTCGAGACCAATCGCACCAGCGCTTTGAACGGGAACGGTTTCCACGAAAATGAGGGTCGGCGCGCGCATCTTCGTAGAGAAGACCTTGCCTTCCGTCGGCGGGATGCGCACAACCTGGTACAGCTCATCCGACGCCGCGCTCAGCGGATAAAGAGCTGAGGACTGCAGCGTGTTGTTCAATGTCTCCAACTCGCCCGCCAGGAATTTCCCGCGGTCCGAAACTGGCTGAATGTGACGCAGACGTTCACTGATGGCCGCCAGCGACTGCACGAAGCTCACTTGCTCCAGCACCAGCGATTCAATCCCAGCTCCTGGCGTATCGTCCGACACGCTGCTTCCCTCGACCTCCAATGAGTCGTACAGGATGCTGGACTGGAACTCACACAGCTCGATTCCTGAGGCTGCCAACTCTGCGGCGCAGTTCTCGAACTGCGGCACGTTCTTCGCGTTCAGCCAGCGCTCAATCATCGAGTCAGGCTCCAGCGAGATGAGTTTCTCCATGTCGGCGTTGATCTGCCGCAGGTCGGTCAGGATCTGCGCTAGCTGGTGCTCGGGGCAGTCGGCAAACACCAGGTCCTTCCAGATACTGAACATGTGCGAGCTGTCGGGCGACGTGGTGTTCGGGTAGATGAAGCCGAGCAGCGACAGCAGCGTGTGCGGGTGCAGGTTGTGGTAGCTGCCGTCGCACACGGAGGCCTGCGCGTGCCAAATGGTCTGCAGCGCGATACGCGGAGATCGTCGACAAATGGCGCGAATGTAGCGCTGCAGGTAGAAGAGCTGGGCCCCGCAGCGAGGAGCTGGCTCGGCGTCGAGACACTGCACCAGGTGCAGCAGTTGGTACCACAGATTCTCCACGCGATCCACGCACGTCTCGGCGTAGAACGGGAGCCGCTCGCACGCCACGCGGAACAGGTGCGGCTTCTTCCTCGTCTGGTACAGGATCTTGATGGTGCGGTTGAGCGTCATGGGGCCGTGTCGGAGCTTGTGCAGCGTCCTGGCCAGCATGTCTCCGCCCTGGTTCCTGCGCGCAGCAGCGGCCGCGTCCGTGCGCGCGACGAGCGCGTCCATGGAGATGCCTCGACTGGCCATGGGGCCCAGGAACCGCTTGGTCGAGCGGAGGTACCCGATGAACTCCTGTCGCTGCGCGCAGTGGTCGCAGCAGCGCCGCGCCGCGCGCAGTCCGAGGTGCTGCAGTCGGATGCCGTTGCTGCAGTGTCGGGCACAGAACGCGCGCGCGCAGGAGCCGCACACCACGCGGCGCGCCACGAGCGGACGGAAGCGGACGCAGCACTCGGAGCAGCCCGCGTCCCCCACAGCCAGCGCCTGGCCGTACGTCAAGTCCGACGGCGCCGACATGACGGACGTCACGTCGGAACCTGCCGCCGGCCGGTCACCGACAAGAGACGACGGGAACGCGCAAGGTGTCGGCGGCGGCAGACTGCCCGTGGACGAGTCCGTCAGTGCCGGTGCCGGCATGATCCTGCGTCCGCCGTCATCGTTGTTGCTGCTGCTGTTGTTGTTATTATTGTCGCTTGATACTGCCGGCATCAGGTCGGCCGAGCTCGAGCTCTTGGTGCGCTGCAGAGCCTGCTCCAGATGCTGCAGCCAGCCCTCGCGCTCACGCGCCGACTCGGCCGAGCACAGCAGCAGCCGCTTGGACGTCGTGCGTACGGCGAAGGCGTGCGGGTACCGGCCGAGAGCGGTGCGGCCGTCCCAGGGCTCGACGGCTTGGACCCAGACTTCTCCGCGCAGCTGCGAGTCCGTCTCGGCACTCTCCTTGCTCCGGTACCAGCGCAGACGCGCGCCCTGCAGCACGCAGAAGCGCCACGAGCCCATGTAGACGCTGCTCGAGTAGCGCTTGCGGAGGTACCCGCCGAAGAGGCGTCCGGGCTGTTGCGGCGGCATTGCCCCCGTCTTGTCGGCCGAAGCCGGCAGCTCCGTCGTGGTGCCGGCCATCTCTCCGGCTGCTGTCGTCGGATGCCGTCAGGTCGGCGGCGGCGGAAGATTTGTGAGCGCTGCCGTTCCGAGACGGAGACGGAAACGGAGAGAGAGCAGGGCGTCAGTCCGACGTGACGACCAAGCGGCGGGCAGGCAGCCTGATTCTCCTCCTTTCGCTCAATGAGCTGCCGGTTGTCGGTTGTCAGCAGCGGCGTCGGTTGTCGGTGTACCCCTGTGGCTGCCGACGGAGGAACCTCACGGGGGTGAGCGGGGCGAAGAAGCGAATCGAAGGCGGTGACCGCTCTTCCTCTTCCTTCCTTCCTTCCTTCCTTCCTTCCTTCCTTCCTTCCTTCCTTCCTTGCTCTTGCTTGGGCGTGTGCGGAATGCGGGCCGGCAGGAGAAATTCAGTGCAGTCACAGCAAGAGACGAGCCGGTGTCGGATTTAGTGGGAGCGACATACAAACGCCAAGTCAACTGGCTGTCAACAACAGGGCGGACCAGCCAGGCGAAAGGAGAAATCTGCACACGCCCATGAGCAGCGCAGTTCCTGACAGGAACTTCCTGTCGGCGTTGCTGCCGTCAACACCCAGCTCGCCTTGGGTCGCTGCTGAGGCTTGTGCATTCTGCGCGGTCTGCAAGGACATGTATTTGTGCCGGCCGACCAGATGGGGGCTGTCAAACGGGGGTGGGCGGCACATCTGAGACCTTGATCTCGACCTGCAGGGTCCGCAGGGCCAGCGGAGCCTTTCAAGTGTAGCCATTTCGCTCTCCAGGGGTACAGTACATGCTGCAAGCTCGTTCTCTCCTTGCGCAGCTACAAACAGCAGCGCAAGATCCCAGTTACCTGGGGGTCACAATGCTATTACCATCACTCACGGAAACCTGCCAGACGCCCACGAGCAGCGATGCACCTGAGGTGCCATCTCGGAGCGAATGTTTTGGAACGACAATGATACAAGTTTTGTGTTCAAAAACAACGTGCAAGTTGTTGGGGAAAGGGAAAGCTTACAAACCCGATGTGAGCAAAGTTCCCCAGGCGAGGGAGGGGTAGCTTTGAGTCAGCAGCAACTTTCCATTCTATCGGACTCCAGCTCGCGGATTCATTTCAAACTTCATCCAGATCTTCGTGATGCGCGAGTTAAATGTCTACTGGGAGCGATCAGTGGTAACTACAAGCGATCGCACAAGGTACGAGTTGCAAGCCATCGTTGTGATCCAAAAAAACTTTATTCCTCGAATTACCAAGTGCTTCCATCGCACGGCACGACGTCCTATCATAGGCTTCAAGTTTCTGAGGTGCGCGATTTGCGGGGACCGATATTTACAAGTACAAGTACTGTTGTCGAGCTCAAGGTCTCATGGTTTACATTTGATGCCAATGTTGAGGCAACACAAAATGAGCAGGAAGTCCACTTGAAGAGCGATGCTCTATCCTGTGCACCGGCAAACGGTTTTGATCAGAATTGACGGCACTCCGTGTGATATTTTGTTACATGTACATGTATTTTATTGTCCGGGTACGTCTTCTACATTAGTGTCGCGTTTCTTATCAAAACACAGTCTACTCCAGAAGATGACCTGCGTTTCTTGTTGCCTTAGTAAGGCAGCCTTACACGTGCCGATACTGTACTGTACACATGCAGTCAAATCTTCACCTGGATACACTTCAACGAGAACAACGCAAGTGTGGCGTTTTCTATTGCTCGTTGTTACCGCCACAATAACCAAGAACGATTTTTTTATTCTTGCGTGCAAGGCTGCGTAGCATGAGGACACACGCTACAGCAGCAACGCCTCTGTGGATAAAGTAAGGAAAGACCATGGAGAGTACCCTACGTATCGAATTGAAAAGACATCAACTTGTTCTAGCTCAATCTTGCTCTAGCACAATCTAAAACGTCAATACGCTTCACGTGAGATCTAACGCGTAGCCTTCAACGAAACAAACAAGGGTGCCAGTGCCATTGCTGACGCCCGCTTAGTTCCTCCTGCGGCGGATGTTGCACTTGGAAGTGGAAGTCGTGGCAGTCGACGTGTACATGGACTCCTTGGTAGCAGCGTCCGACTTGACTGCCGTGGGGTCAGCCTCGCCGCCAATCTCCGACTGCATGACGCTCTCATCGGACGAGACCTCCTGCTCCTGCTTGGAGCCCGACTCCTTCTTCTCCGACTTGTCGTCACCCTTCGACGACTTCGATGAATTGTCCTTGCTCTCCTCCTTGTTGTCACCGTTCGAAGACTTGGACGAAGTCTTCTGCTCTTCGTCACCGCCGCCATTGTTCTCGTCGGTAGACTTGGAAGCTGTTTGGCTCCACGTCTTACTGTCGGCGTTGTCGTTACCACCTTCAACGCTACCCTCAGTCGAGGAGGCAGTGGATTCCTGCGTCTGCTGAGACGGAGTGTTGCCATCATCGTTGTTGCCGCTCGATTCAGTGGGCGAATCCGGAGACACCGTGCCCGGCAATTCCTCCGAGGTGCTGCCCTCCGAAGACGTCGAAGGGGTTGAAGGCGTCGAGGGGGTCGATCCCTGGCTCGGCGTCGAACCACCAGCCTTCGACACGTCCTGGTTCAGGTGGATGTCGCTCTCCGAGTACTGACACAAAGGAGGCGACGGACCGTCGCCCAGCATCGAAGGCTCGCCGTCGGCGTTGCCCTGCGACCACTGACAGATCTTCACCTTCTTGCCGCTCGACTTGACCCAGATGTTGCTCAGCGTGGCCTCGTCCTTCCAGTTCTTGTTGACCGTCACCACGGCGTTGTCCGGGTTCACGATGTACACGTTCGACACGTCCACCTTGCGCTGCTTGTCGCCGCACGTGCCGCACGAGCGGTAGAGCTTGCTGATGTCCTCGCCGTAGAAGCCGTCGATCTTGACGGTACCGAAGCCGTTGTGCTGGATGACCTTGTCGTCGGCCGAGCGAGCGCCGCCGCCCGTGACCGTCGTGACACTGGAGGCGGTGCCGCCCTTGACGCTCAGCGCGTCCTCGCACACGTCGTCCCACCAGACGTTCTCAATGGTGCAGTCGTGCTTATCGCAGTGGACGCCCTCCATTTGGTTCTTGCCGATGATGACGTTCTTGAGCGTCGAGCCGGGCTCCATCTTGAACACGGCCGTGTCGGCGCCGCTCTCGGTTTGACCCTCGCACGAGACGTCGGAGCGTTCGTACGTCTTCATCTTGCCGTCGAACACCTCGCCAGCCTTGACGATGCGAGCTTCAGCGAACTGGACGGTGCCGGCGCTGGTGGGCCAGGTGCCGTCCGGGACGGATCCGCCGCTGGTAGATGGCTTAGTGCTGCCACCGCCAGTACCGGTAGTTTGGCTGCCGGTGGAGGATGCCGGAGTCTCCGATGTGTCGCTGCCGGTGGAGGACGTAGCAGGTGTAGTGGTATCGCTGCCTTCATCGGTCTCGCTTGACTCGGACGAGGTCGTAGGCGTGTTGGACCAGGACGTCTGGCTACCGGCAGAAGACACCGCGGGGGTGTCTGCGTTGTTCTCATCACTACCGGCATCGTCATTGCCGGCAACTTCACTGCCGGCAACGTCGTCGTTCGACTCCGACGAGGTGATGGGGGCTTCCGTCGACTGGGTTTGAGAAGTGCTGCTGCCTTCCGAAGGCGACGTCGGGGTCGACGGCTTGCTCGGACTCGAGGCTCCAGCCTTAGAAATGTCCTGGTTGATATGGATATCGCTGTCCGTGTACTGACACAGAGGCGGAGAGGGACCGTCGCCGACGTTCTTCGGGTCCTTGCTGCCCTGCGACCACTGGCACACCTTGACATCGTCCTTGCCGTTCGAAGTCTTCACCCAAATGTTGCTCAGAGTGGCCTTGTCGCCGTAGTTCTTGTTCACCGTAACAACGCTCACCAACGGGTTCACGGCGTACACGTTCTTCAGCGTCACGGTACGAGGAATGTCGCCACAAGTACCGCACGAGCGGTAGAGCTTGCCGAACTCCTCAGCGTAGAAGCCGTCGATGTTGACCGTACCCTGGCCGTTGTGCTGCACCACCTTGTCCGAGGCAGATTTCGCGCCACAGTTCGTCACGGTGGTCACACTGGAAGCAGTACCGCCCTTAATGCTTAGCGCGTCCTCGCACACGTCGTCCCACCAAACGTTCTCAATGGTACAGTCGTGGTCGTCACAGTGCACCCCCTCCTTCTGGTTCTTGCCGATGATGGCGTTCTTGAGGGTGCCGCCAGCCTCCACGAGGAAGACAGCGGTGTCCTTCTGGCCCTCGCCGCCCGTGCACGTGATGTCGGAGCGGTCGAACGTCTGCATCTTACCGTCAAAGACCTCACCGGCCTTGATAACGCGGGGCGCCGTGAACTTGACGGATCCCGTACTGGTAGGCCATGTGCCGTCCGGAAGAGTTCCGCCCGCAGAAGAAGAGGGAGTGGTCTGAGATTGAGTCTGGCTGCCTGCCGAGGTAGACGAACCCTGCGTGGTTTCACCACCAGAAGTCTCACTGCCGGTCGAAGTGTTTTCACCGTCGTCTCCTCCCTTAGAGACACTCGTCTCCTCGTCACCGCCGTTGTCGGTACCGCTCGACTCGGTAGTCGGCGTTTCAGAGGTCTGACTGCCACCGACAGTCTGAACGGGGGCATCTTCGCCACTCTCACCAGCATCGCTAGCAGGGGCGGGGGTAGTCGGCTCGGACTCGGAAGTACTGCTGCCCTCCGAAGGCGTCGAAGGGGTTGAAGGCGTCGAGGGGGTCGATCCCTGGCTCGGCGTCGAACCACCAGCCTTCGACACGTCCTGGTTCAGGTGGATGTCGCTCTCCGAGTACTGACACAAAGGAGGCGACGGACCGTCGCCCAGCATCGAAGGCTCGCCGTCGGCGTTGCCCTGCGACCACTGACAGATCTTCACCTTCTTGCCGCTCGACTTGACCCAGATGTTGCTCAGCGTGGCCTCGTCCTTCCAGTTCTTGTTGACCGTCACCACGGCGTTGTCCGGGTTCACGATGTACACGTTCGACACGTCCACCTTGCGCTGCTTGTCGCCGCACGTGCCGCACGAGCGGTAGAGCTTGCTGATGTCCTCGCCGTAGAAGCCGTCGATCTTGACGGTACCGAAGCCGTTGTGCTGGATGACCTTGTCGTCGGCCGAGCGAGCGCCGCCGCCCGTGACCGTCGTGACACTGGAGGCGGTGCCGCCCTTGACGCTCAGCGCGTCCTCGCACACGTCGTCCCACCAGACGTTCTCAATGGTGCAGTCGTGCTTATCGCAGTGGACGCCCTCCATTTGGTTCTTGCCGATGATGACGTTCTTGAGCGTCGAGCCGGGCTCCATCTTGAACACGGCCGTGTCGGCGCCGCTCTCGGTTTGACCCTCGCACGAGACGTCGGAGCGTTCGTACGTCTTCATCTTGCCGTCGAACACCTCGCCAGCCTTGACGATGCGAGCTTCAGCGAACTGGACGGTGCCGGCGCTGGTGGGCCAGGTGCCGTCCGGGACGGATCCGCCGCTGGTAGATGGCTTAGTGCTGCCACCGCCAGTACCGGTAGTTTGGCTGCCGGTGGAGGATGCCGGAGTCTCCGATGTGTCGCTGCCGGTGGGAGAGGCCGGAGTCTCCGACGTCTGACTGCCGACAGTCGAAAAGGTGATCGGCTCTTGCTTCCAGGATTCGTCGTTCGACTCGGACGTCTTACTTGATTTCGATGAGCCAACGTCATTGTTGTCGTCATCCGACTTTCCACTCTTCCCCGACGTAGCGGGCGCCTCGGTAGAATAGGTGTCGGATTTGTCATCCTTACCACCGTTGCTGTCCCCATCAGACTTTTTGCTTGACCCCCACGACGGAGAAGGGCCTTGGCTCCAATAGTTTCCGGAGCCCTGCTGCCACGAGTTGGAGACGTCTTTGCCGGAGCCCTCCTTGGAGGGCGCCTGGGCCCACGAACTCGCAGGCGCGTCCTTCTTGTAGTCCGACTTGTCAGACTTTTTGTCCTCCGTGTTCTCGCTGTCGTCGGACTTCTTGCTCGCCTCCCAAGTGGCCGGGGCGTCCGTGGACTGCTGTTGCTGCGTGACAGAGTCACCACCATTGTACTGTGCAGCGTCACCCCAGGTGTCCTCTGCTAAGGCTGCGCCGAGGGTGGTGCTAAGCAGCACCACCATGGAGGCGACCGTGGCGGTCCGAATCTTGACCATTGTGACTTTGGATCAGCGGGGCGTCGTGGAGTTCCTACAGACCAAGGGGGGACTGGAGGGCACTTGCTCGGCGCTGAACCAATTGCTAAATGGAACGGAACTGGTTACCTGGGAAGTTCCTGGCTGCGTTCGATCGAGTCGAGACCCACCAACAGCAGGGAAACCTGTCGCTGGATTGCCTGGGCGTTGCTTTATCACCTTTGGGGCCGGGTTGCGCATTGCATAAAGCTTGCAGATCGCGCACGCGATCCTCCATTGATCCAGACACTTTGGACCGGTTATCTCCAGCTTGAGCTTCGAGATTGTCCACCTTTTTGCCATTTTTCTGGTCGCTCACGACCGTTGGAGAGCAATTTCCATAATCCAGTACATATGTACTGGATTATCACTTGCATCTGCCAGCACCCTTCATGAGCACACCTATTACTACAATACTTACCGTTCATAGGAGTAATTATTGCCCTCTAACGTATTGTTCTTTTTGTTGAAAGGTTCAGGTGGCAACTACAGTAAACACGATTCATTCCGTACCTAGCCATCTACTGTTTTTGAGCTCCTTTGAGCACCCTCGAACTTAACACCAAGTCTACTGTGATGGCCAGTATTTCGCTGAATTAATTTTTGGCTTTTGGATAATCCAGTACATATGTACTGGATTATGGAAATTGCTCACCGTTGGAGGCTGCGCGGCCGAGAATCTCGTGCAAAAAACGCCGAGCCCGACCAGTTTGGAGCTTTGCTGGATGCACATGTGGAAGTTAGGTTTCATTCTGAAAATCCAAGTGTTTTGCAGCATCGTTAATCGGCCATTTAATCCACAACATTAATCGGTGTTAGTCTCGAATGCAACAACTTTCTACATTCCGGTTGGGCAGCGCAGCTTACATCGGTGGGGCAAGCAGTACTTCGCACAGTCTATCGGCATTAACTCCCATGCAGTTTATTTACTTATTTATTTCTACCATACCTGCAGTATCATGTATGGGGCCTACGCCTGACATGACGCATCAAGAGCGACAAGCTTTGCGTCTGGCGTGCAGCCTCGGTCGTAACGCGGGGGCAAGGGGAGCGAACTGAGAATTGCCGTGTAAAGTACCGGCAGAATGGCGCGCCGGTTGATCATAGACACGGTCAAGCCCCAGCCGATTTCACGCCATTACAGACAACGACTTACAAAGCCGGCAGACACAAAAAGCCGGCAGACACAAAAAGCCGACAGACGAAGTCAAGCAAAGCTTAACATAAGCAAACCAGCCAATCAGATTCAATCAAATGACTTCATCTTTGAATACCATCTGGTTTTGTGTACTTTATATGCTTGCTTGTGTACTTTATGCAACACGCCGTGTGTTTTATGACAGTTTTACAGATTTGACGGGAGGGAATTTATCGTTGTTTTTATATAGGAGGATGGCATTAAGCATGCCGGCTTTGTAAGTCGTTGTCTGTAGCGTTGACATGGCTATGCTTCGAGACTCGGTCGTCGCCCGACAGGAAGGGAGTTCAAAATGGCTTTGAGGCGAGATGTCCGTCGCCACAATACGGAGTCGCTCACTTCTGGTTTGCGCTGGCCGAGCGCTGGAACCCCAAGACGCCCCCTAAGACACCCACGCTAGCATCAGAGACACACAAAGATGCATGTGGCGCTGCACCTCGTACAGGCGTCCCCGGGCTAGTCCCGGCTGTATATTTTAATGTACCTCGCACAGGAAGTACAACAAGCTCTCAAGATTTGCGCGCTACTTCTACAAGCATATTGATTTAGATGAGTGTACAGCGAGACCTACTGCGACAAGTGGCACGTTGCGGGAATACCTCCAGTATTCTTGAGCTAAGCTTTAGTAAGTCAGTACATACTCGTTTATGTTCAGACCGCGTGAATCTTGTTGATTCGCAAACATCATAAGTACCTGTGGCGAATAGGCCGGGGACGCCTGTACGTACATGCAGCAGACAAAATTAGTCAGCATCGATTGTCGGGTCTTAATCGTTGAATATTACTAATGGGGCTAACGAGACACGAACAGTAAACTGCGGGTCCTTTACAGGGCCACGAACAGTAAACTGCACGTTCACGCTTCGCGCAACGAAAACACGCATCCGGCCCAGCTGGCGTTTGATGCAAACTCTACAGCCCACACGTTCGGGGTTCCTCTCCGTTTCTGATACACGTACGCCTCAAACCAACACTGTAAAAGCCAAGCTGCTACGATCCTGCAAGTAGAAAAAACTTCTGCAGTTTCCGAGCAAACTTCACCCCCCCCCAGCTCGATGACGTCTTTGTTATCGGGGCCCCAGATTCTTGAATCAGTTTCGACAACTCGATGCTGTTCGATCTGTGTGCGTTTATTGCAGTTGGGGGGGGCCTGCTGGCATCTTGGATCTGTACTGCTTAACATGCGCTTCTGTATCTATGGCCCATAGACTATGGGACACGAGCTTTCATTTGCGTTCGTCCTTGTGGACGATGTAGGTCCTTTCGATGCAGGCTTTTTAAGTTGAACCGGTATTGTTGAAAATTTCAACAATACCGGTACTGTACATTGTCCAACACTTGTTAAACGCAGAGGCATCTCGCGTGTTTCTTTACAGGTTCAGCATCGCCAGCACGTCGGACGTCGAAGGAGTCTGGTACAACAGCAAACACATTTCTGGCCAACAACAAACACTTTTTGACCACTAGCAAACACAAACTGACACGACCAAACACTTGTCGCGGAAAGTGGCCATTGGCAAACACATTACTGACCACTACATGTAGCAAACATGCACGGAGATGTGCATGAGTGCAGTAACGGTTACGGAACGTTCATCGTTCGCTATACAGCCTGTAATCTGACCGGGTCAGTTTATTTTGAATAGATCGTCTAGATTAATCTGATCGAAGGTCATTTTATTTTGAACAAAATGTAAAATCGAAAATCGCTTCACTGCTGTGTGTTTTTAGCTGCATGTTCCAAGCGAAGTGGCTACTGAAGGCGGCGGCCCTCGGCTAGACAAGGATGCTGATACGCTGGGAGACATCGGTAATGCGTAGCAGCAGCAAGGGCGTGTTGATGAGTAGGATTTACTTCTGCTCGTGCATGTTGTAGTTAACAATACGACTTTTGATCACGGATACAGCATTTGCATGCGCATTCGTGCTAACCAACTCAATTCCATGTTATTCGGAAGTGTGGCCCACCAGGCTGCTCTACCTTGTGTCGTTCAAAATAATAATAATAAACACTCGGATGTGCACAATGGCGTTTCCGATAGCGTTAAAACTATATTTTGAGCGGTAAGATATCTCGCGCTTTCCTCCGGTCTGTCTTCATGACCTATTAAGAGATCTAAGACGCTATCTCTCCAGCCTATTCGTGAGGTGTATGACTGAAACGCTTTATTTACTCAAGTTCCAACACATTTGGACATATTATGATTATGAGAGATTCCGCAGCACTTGCTCCTTACGTGTGAAGGTCGCGTGGCATTAACTGCATTATCAATGATGAAAGCGCAACGATCTCACTAAAGCTCGACCCGAACTCGCTAGTGCTTAGATGAAAGGATATATAAAAGAAAACATACACTCTATATCAAAGCAAGCACGGACTCACCCAGGATTTACGTAATATCTACGCTAAACGGATAGCACATACCTACTTCTCTGCTGCTTTGCAGTCCTACTAGCATATATTTTATATCTGCCGTTCCAACGGTCCCCCATGTAAGAGGTCGTGGCGATCTAGGCGTAATATCGACTCCTACCGTCTAGCACAGGAGAACGAAAGCTATAATCAACGCGTAAACCGCGGCAACATGTAACGAGAGTGTACTAACCGCGCGCATACAATGCCTTGTAGTATCAGCTGTGATACTGCAAGGTGCCGTACATGCAATGAAAACTAGGAGTACGATATGCACGACTGATAGATATCAAAGTTGTGGTCGCAAGGTAAGAATAAACGTTCGTATATATTTCAAGAAGTTATGAGTAAAATGTGTTTGCCAGACGTTTCATAGGTTACGCGATATTGTAGCCGCTCTCCTCCCTCGGGTATGTGTGGAAGGGATACCAGCACTCAGTAGCAGCAGTGTGTTGTTCGAAACGCAAAAATATCATAACTACTCACATCTTTAATAATAAATAAATACTCAGAGTATTGGGTATAGAACTACTAGCGTTTATAGAAGTTATATTCTTCTTCGTTGGAATACTGGTCAAGCACGACCCCAGAACGCCCAGCGACTCCAGAACGCCCAGCTTAATTTATTCGCTTAGAGGAATGCGAGCAGGGTTCGGTTTAAGCCACCTAGAAATCCCTGAGTAACTTACTATATCGTTTTTTTACTCTTCCTTTTCAGCGGGGTGCGAGCAGGTATGCTTCCGCTCAATCATCAACGCCTTGTGTCTAGCTGGCCTCAACTGATGGCCAAAGCTGATTTAGTGTCGCTAAGGCGCTCGACAAACGCAGTCGAACTGGTTAGAATTTGTTTACTTACTGTCTTTTGGTCAGATTATTGTGCTCAAATAAACTGACCATTGGTCAGATTATTGTCAACGATGAACGTCTCTTGTATTACTTATTGCGCACTTTTATTGTGCTTCTAGCCGGGTCATTCTACCCAACTTATGTGCATGAAAGTGTTTGCTAGTGGCCACTTGTAAGTGTTTGCTGGTGCCGCTTTCGTGTTTGTTGTTGGCTTTTACACACGTAGAAGTGTGTACCAACTCATTCCACCCAACTGTAGGTCTTCACAACCAAGCAACGCTGGCGGATGTAGCCCATCAGTTCTACGCATTGTGGTCTAAAATACCTGCACTGCATTCTGCATTCTGTAGTCTGCAGCTATCCACTGAAGCTGCGTGTACTGAGCAGCATTTTCCCATTCCGCGGATTCGGCTGCTTGTCGTGGAATGACTATGTGGTGTTCCTGTCCAGTTGTGAATTCTTGGTCGTCTTCAAGAGCAAGTAGAACACCTCTCTGTGGCGCAATCTTTGGATAATACATGTACAGCTGGCAGACGTGACAACCACAGTCTAGGATTGCGTCCACATGCAATACATAATTATTCTTTGCGGAAGCACTACTACGTGCAAATTTGTGGCACTTCTTACATCAATGCTAGTGCGGGATGTGTGCTTCCCTACATCGTACCGGCGCAATATGAAGAAAAATGACATGTACTGTAGTTGGGTTCATTGTCTTGATCAAGTGTACACATCATTGAGGTATGCTGAGGGACATTGCACCTATATCATTGAACCATAGCCCCACAATCACCAAGAACGGGCATCGCGAAATGGTAAATCTTTGAATGAACCGATCCAATCCATATTGACTGTACAGACCAGCTACTGTACGCGAGTGGTTGATCATAAGAGAAAATGTCCAGGATACATGCATATACCGTACCTCACATAAAGAATGGTTAACAGTTAGATTGCCATTTCAAGACCGGGGGCAATCTTTTTGAAATTGAAACGTAATTTTAGCCAATCAAAACGCATATAACTGCTAAATATTAACAGGAAGAAAACATTTTCGAAGAAAATGAGAGCTTTTTAACGGTAATTTGAGTGCCAAATGAGAAAGACGAAAAGTAATCTTTGTGTGAGGTACGGTACTCGGCGAGTGAGTATCACGATTTTTTTGTAATTATCAAAGTTACAGAAGTCTAATACTGTATGATCATATTTCTAAGAAAGTGATAAAAGTGTGCATTTATTTAATATATCGAAAGTAACAGGTGCCACAGACGGCTGTCCAAAGGATATTTATCACTACTGACCTTGATTTCGTCGTACTTTATCAGTAGTGACCTTGATTTCGAATTTCGGCCAATGAGAGAGAGGTGCGTGCGATAATCTTCAGGTAACGATTATGTAATCATAAATTGTCAAAACGTGCTCTACGAAATTGTACTTCTACCAAAATGTGAAGCCAAGTTTACACAAGAAGCGTATAAAAAAAATAAGAGAAAAAAACAACTTAAGCCCTGTACAAATTCGTTTATTCCAAATGATGCCTGCCATGTTAAACGTTTGGCGGACCACCATGTCACGCTAGAGCCGCCTATAGGACTGCCTACCATGTTGTGCTAGAGCTGCCTACCATGTTGTGCTAGAGCTGCCTACCATGTTGTGCTAGAGCTGCCTACCATGTTGTGATAGAGCTGCCTACCATGTTGTACCTCGCCGCCTACCATATTGTGCCTCGGCGGCCTACCATGATGTGCCTTGGCTGTAATGGGCCTACCTTGGCCCACTACTACGGCTTACACGTATGCGCACGTGTATGAGGAAGCGTAGGATTCTTTTACTTGAGTTAAGTATACTCGAGATCCACGAGTATACTTTAAACAAGATAAAGACTCCAAGTAGCGTATTTTGGTAAAAGCTGAGAACTGCTATTTGTGTTTTATGTTTCTGACTTCCTCTAAATGTAATATTCTAAACTAGGAATCTGCCAACGGCTGGAGGGCAGAATTCCAATGCTATGCATGTCACTCATTGGCTAAAAGATGCTGCTCTCAACCAATAGGAATCCTAAGTCTCTATCGTGGTGATCCTTAATGTATGTAGCATTTGGCGTGTCTACACCAAGGACGAGAAAGTCTTTCGAACCTCTAACAGACGTCGTGTCTGTTAGAGTTACAAGTGACTGTAGCCACTTGTGCGTGGAACCCCGTTACATACTGGGCGAAGAACACACCAGCTCCTACTGCGATCTTAACAAGCATGCCGTGTCAATTCAAGTGCGTCGGAGCGGCAGATGCAACTTATCTCTGCCGCGACTCGAGGGTGGACGGCAGCAGTATGATTCCTCGTATGTACGAAATCGGCCGAGCGCAATTGCGAGAAACACGGTCCACGGTTGCGACGATCCGTCCACTACCGCTGCTGCATGTGAGGTGGCTTTTTTTAGTGATCATGCGACTGGCGAAACTGCGAGTGCTGCATTCCATGTACCTGATAAAAGTGCTGCTGTGCAGAAGGGCCTGGCCTGCGTGAAAACTACATGGAAAGTTTTTGCTATCATCGACAGGACTGCAGTCGGTCGAGGTTTTCGATACCGCGTTAAGTGGTGTGACGAACAGGATGGGGGAAGCCAGTTGGGAGCCTGGTTTCATGTTACGCAAGGATGGTTTTAGCGATGGTTGCAGTATTGTAGACGCATGGAAAGCTTCCGACGAGGCAGACTTCTACCGCTTCTGCAGCAAGAATGGGCATGTCCATTTAGTGGGAGCCTCGCCTAAAGGCATGTGCGCCGTTTATGCTGTCGGTGTCGCTGCGAAGCTACTAGGGATCACTGGCTGGAACTCGTCAAGCGTGGCTCAAGATTTTATTTCCTACTGGTCGGCCTATTTCTCCTAGTGGATTAACCTACGGTGAGCTTCGACACTACGTGAAATTTGTGAATGGGCGTAATGCCACTGGAGGACAGATCAGTATGTCCGCACTGGACAAAAACTTACTGGGTGGAGTGAATGGAAAGCTGGCCGGCCAACGTCTGCGTGTAATCGATTTAACGGAAGGTGGATACGTTTGTGCCGCATTCAACTCGATGGGAGTAAGCCATTGTATCGCCATCCACGTTGTCTGTGGTGAGAAGTACGTCTACGATGAGGAAAACGATTCGGTCGCTTTAGGCGCCTATGAGTTGGACTGGATTTACGGGGTCTCTTTTCTGCGTAGAGTGGCGTTGTACGTCAAGTGATTGCCTTTACAGCGATGCTATCACAAGCTCGAACATCGTTTTTTTATAGGGAGTTGTTACCGTCTGCGGCACTAACTCACACAAGGTAGCACCCTAAGTATAAATACGTATTTATATACAGTGAGTTCCATCTCGTTTTCATTCTTTTTTTTATTGCAGCTCACAGATCGACAAATATTTACAGTGTATTCTATTAATACAATGGGTTTCATAGAATTTTCATTCCTTTGCAGCACACAAAGCGATCTACTACGACGATGTGTCTTCACCAAGCAGTCTGATTGTATGCTTCCCTCCACGACAACGATTATGCGCGAGCGTACGCTAAGGAGCGACTTCAACTGTCAGAGGATGCTCGTCGTGGCCGCGATTCGAAGTGGCTACTTAACAAAGGGGGTGTCCGCCTTCGTGAGCAGTGGTGTGCGCTTCCTTCTCCAAAACGGCGACGGCTTCTTCAGGAGACACCTGACCTGTCGTTTCCAGAAGGGGATGATGGAATACTAGATGAAAGGCGTCGAGTTCCAGACCCCAACCCAGCCCCCGCTGCAGAGCTCCCGCCAAGCTTACAAGATGCAAATGAAGTGATCGCTACACATGAGCTCGAACCTACGACCACGACCCCCGCTGCAGAGCTCCCGCCAAGCTTACAAGAGGCAAATAAAGTGATCGCTACACATGAACTCGAACCTACGACCGCCACCCTCGTCACAGAACCTACCTCGACAGAAGAGCGGTCGTCTTCTGCGATTCAACTCTCGCCGTCAGTCATGGAGTCCGAACGGGAGTTGTCTGCTACTGATATGACATCGCCAGATGTGGCCGACAAAGTAGTTCGCATGGCGAATACACGCAGCAATTACCACCAAATACTGTGCGAAGAGCATCGATTGCGTGTCCGCGCTGAATACAACCGCGGAAGCCTCGCAGGGGTGCTCGAGTCAGCGGCGTCCAGTGTCATTAGCGCTGTGGCTCTAGCTAAGGCTGATTGCCCAACAACGAGTGACGAGGCTTTTGCTGCAGTTTGTACACGACTTACGTGTGTTCTAGGAACGATGTTGGGAACAGCTCATTTCGATCCAGATCCTGACGATGACCAACCATCCCGAGCCTTTTCTGAATCTCGAATCCAGGCAGCGCGCCGGAAATACGATGTCAGCGTGCGGGAACTGCAGCAGCATGTGATGAAGAGCACGTAGGAGCTGCCTGCAAGCTCTTCCCAGCCGCACACTGCAACAGATACTTTGGGAATTTGTGAACTAGCATTGATGCAGTTGGTATATTTGAATTGCGGAAACCATTAACAATGGAATGAATGAACTTGCATATCTTTTGCTAATTAGCAAGGTGGATTCTGAAAAAACGATGGTGTAAGGCTTATTCGATAAGTACATCTTGCACCGTCATAGCGGGAGCTGCATTCGCCGGCCGTCCGCGTTTCTTCGATGTAGCCGAGGCTTGATGTTGTTTTGACGCCTTCTGCCTTGGCTGTATCTGCGTGCTTGACCTCTTCTTCTTGGCAACCACCTTCTTCTGTTTCGAGCTTCCCCTTTTCTTCTTTTTTGATTCTGCAATTCGGTTCTTCAGCTGTTGCAACGGGTCTCGAGCGGTTGACGTAATGTGAAGCTTTTTGAGAGCAGCTACGACATGAGCACACATCCGCATTTTGTTGAAGTACGCGCATTCACATCGTTGGCGATCTAGATCCACCAACCACCCGATGTGCGGCATCTTCGTACGATGGGCACGACGTAAAGACCAATTTGTGGCCTTAATGTAGAGATCCGTTGCTTTCTCACGCTCTTCTTCTTCCGCTTCTTCACATAGTTCATCAGAGTGGTCACACAATGTATCTCTTGTTGCGCTAGCATCAGACGCGGTAGACTCGGAATCCGAACCACGATCCATTCGGTCGTGCTGACCAGACGTCACGCTGAGAAACAGTGAGAGTCTGCTCCCTGGAGTCTCAACATTTTCTGAAGTAGAAATCCGCGAAGAACTACAGTCACCAGCTGATTCATCAAACACTACCAAGAACACTTGATCCTCTGTATCACCGCTTTCAGTGACATCAGCTTCCCCGACTTCCAACACCCTAACGCGTTTTTCGTCTCGTGTCGCGTTGATTAATAGCCGAGATGTTTCCAGAAAAGCCGCTGCTGCCTTCGACAAGTCTGTTGTAGGCTGAGGAATGAAGTCTGACGGAACCGGGTGTAGAGGAGTGATGGACTCAACAAAATCACAAATTTTTAACAGCAGTCTACGCATGTCGTAGCGACGCCGCTGAAGAAAGGGTTTTAGACCTCCGTTGAGATTTTCGCACGGGTTGTAGGTGGTGGCATACCCCTCTGGAGTATGAAAGACCTGCCACCTCCAGTATCTCCCTTTCAGCCACTGCTGATCAAAATACTCTGCGAACTCCGTTAGCTGCGTGGTTTCTTTCCACTCAGCAAGGCTGACATCCCGACAGTACTCGTACTCCGTTAGGCTGCGCGAAAAGTGCATATCCATGATCGCAATCATCAACTTCTTCCGATCATCAAGCGGCAGGTGCTGTGTACGTTTCCGTACATTGTACAGGACATGAAAAAAAACAAATCAACTTCGTGGCGTGCTGGAAGGTTGGTACATTTTGTAGTGCGAGAAACTGAGCATCCTCCGCATCGCTCATTGTAATATCACAGCGAATAGATATCCCTCGAAGACTGCGCACTAACTCCACAAAAGCCCTGAAGCACTCCGTCTACTCATGCTCGGTGCGGCGACTCACCACGAAGAAAGCTCCGACTTGGTATCTCCTGGCTTGGTCGGTGAACCCGCAGGTTATCACGGGGTACCCAATATCACTCAGCTTAAAGGTTGCGTCAGCATGGAACAGGACACGAGCATCACCCGTACTGAAGCGAATACAACTGTTGAGTATTGCTAGTGAAGTCACGCCGACAATAAACGGGTCATCGTCACCTCCCGAGCCAACGTAAGTCATGCCATCGACGTCCAGTTTTGCACCAAACACAAATGCCGTTTCTGGTGGGTTCTCGGGTTTGTAGCAGCGCGATCGGGCCAGTCTGTGAATTGCTTGGATAGAGTTCTTGGGCCCTTGTTCTTTTCGGATACGTTTTAGGGCGATCTGAACCTGAGAAAGCGTAGTACACCCTCCCCGCGACGGTCGAATGGTGACCTGTTTCATCAGATGGACCTCGATAACCCGGGGTGGCAGTCCAACCTCATCTTGGGTAGCGATAAACGCTTTCATAGGGCGAGTGACGAGGGGAGTGTGTTGTTCGCTGCACGTGAGCACTCCTCTCGCGTGGCCGTTAGAGTTCACAAGTACACGCCACTTATCTTGCCCCTTGTAATGGAATACCTTCCACACAACTCCACACTTGCCAAACTTTATACAGGTTTTGCTTGAGCACTTCAGTCGACGCTCTATCATCGTGTGCTTTCCGCCACAGATGCGACAGAAATCGAAGTCCACTTTGTGAAAAACGGCGGTACAACACATGAGCTGATCACGGTAGCTATCATAGTCATCCGCGCTGTCAAGAAGAGAGAGCTGTATCCACGTAGACATCCTCGCGACATGAAGAAAGTAGAAGCCTGTGAGGTTGCAGTATAAGCGTTTGAGTTAGTTGTGTATGTACAACCGATCGCTGCGGGGTCCTAGCAATCCAGTCACTCGGATAAGAAGCCGAGTCGATTCAGCCGCCCCGCAATTTTGCCGTCCGGCTAAGAGGCCGGGGTAAATCCGCCGGCCGGCCGTTATACTTCGAACCATCTTATTATACTCTAGACAGGGTTATATATTCCATCCCCCACAATATGGTTGCTCCCCAGAGTTGTATATTTTGCACCACAAATCTGTATAGTTACGCACGCTTCTCATGATTAGCGTGCTTGGCACTGCAGTGCAGCATCAAACATATGTCGATAATATGACTCTCTCATTGGTCAATACAGAAATTCGCTTAGGACAAAACTTCGCTTTGGACAGGGATCTGCTCTTAAGTGCAATTGTCGATGCGGCACCGTGCCGTTAGCACCCTGCTTTAGCAATGAACGAGCGAAGCAGCGTTAATCAAAGTCTGTCTTTTGAAGTCATCTGCAGAGCCTCTGGCTCCGTGAAACCCGGTTTGCTGTATCTATCCCTCACTTGTTGAACGTGAACGTGGACAACATGTTTAAGGTTTGAACAATTCTGCCTTCGCGCGCAAACTTTCACACGGAGCTCTTTGACGCAACAAATCTAACAGCAAGGCTATTTGCCTACAATAGAAGCCCTTCTTAGTGTCTCGCGCGGCGACGAACCTTGCAGTTGGACGAAGTAGAAGTGTAGGTAGGCTCAGTGGGGACCGGAGAATCGCGGTTCGACTCCTGGCTGGAGTCGGTGGTGGTGGTAGGAGCTGGCGTAGTCTGCGTCTGCGTCGCGGATCCCCAGCTTCCCTGCCAGTTCGAGTTCTGGCTGCCGTTTTTGGCTGCATTGTCGCCCCAGCTTCCCTTCCAGTACGTATTCTGGCCAGGCTGGGTGGGCTGCGGTGGCTCGCTGTGAGGGGGTTGACTCGGCTGAGTTGGCTGCGGCGGCTCGCTGTGAGGGGGTTGACTCGGCTGAGTTGGCTGCGGCGGCTCGCTGTGAGGAGGTTGAGACGGCTGTGTCGGCTGTGGAGCTTCGTTATTCGGAGCTTGGGTCGGCTGCTGGTTGTTGTTGTTGTTGGACTGGGCCGGGGCGGGGGTCCACTGGTTCGTCGACTGGGACGAATCGCTGCCTTGGGTCGGCGCTGGGGTTGCCTGCTCAGAGTCTGAGGTGTCACTTGACTCGGAAGCACCCGACGATTCCTCCTCGTCAGTAGTGGGGGTGCTTGCCGGTGTCGACTGGGGAGTGTCTTCTGTGTCATCCGTCGCTCCCGAGTCGTCCGTTGATTCATCGTCAGTAGTCGGGGTGCTTGCGGGGGTTGACTGCAGCGCGTCCGTCGATTCCTCCGTCTCGGTCGGCTGCGTGGCGGCCGGCGTGAGTGCCGGGGCGCTCGTGGGTGCCGGGGTCAATATCGAGCCGCCCTTGGTGGCCTTGGGGTCCTGCGTGGTCGCAGGGGTGGTCGAATCACCACCTGCACTGATGCCCTTCTTCACCTCCTCGCCCGTACCACTGGCAGTGTTACTGAAGGCTCCGTTCTCGATACCTGACTCCTTCTTCAATTCGGGGGACAAGGTCACGACGTCGGGCGACGCCGTCGCGTCCGTGGCCTTGCCGGCCACCACCGAGTCGCCGAGCGTTCCATCGCGCTGCTCCGACGTGTCGCCGCCCTTGTTGACGTATTTGAAGTCGTAGCTGCTCTTCTGGTTGGGGTCCACCGCGCCCAAGTACGAGTCGCCGCTGTCCAGACCCGCCGACGTTTTCGAGACGCCGACCTTGCCGCCCGCCGACGCCGTCGAGATCAGCAGCGCCACGCACGCCACCAAGGGAGCGAGACCCGTCTTCATGCTGGATTCCCACTCGACGGAGACGAACTACAGTGTGCCGAAGAGCGAGTTTTTCCGTAATGAGCAACGGTGCATGGGGCTGGGACGTCTCCGTACGATCGCGGGGTTTTCCCTGGCACATGTGATAAAATAGCTCCGAGATGCTGCAGCTTTCGGATTTGAGCCGGCATTTCACCCTACAGAATTCTGCCCGAATAAGGAACGGGTGTATAACTAATAGCCTCACATATTTAATATTATTTTCCAGTCGATGTGGCGATAGGGGATGTGCAAGGTACTGAGGTGAAAAATCCAGTGCCAATCATCAGCTCTCCACTCGTTTGAAAAATGGCGCGCATTTAGCGATCTTACTAGACTTCAAACTACATGTACCGTAGTGGTAGACTCGCACTTTTTCTTTTGCACCTCGCCCCACAAGCCCACCTTCTCCCCCACTCCACCCATGAAGTCCACACCGTCCAAGCGTCTCCGCCTCACTTGGTCTGAGAAAGTGGGCATCCTCGACATGGTGAAGGGCTAGATAATCCCTACGAGGTCGACCAGTTGACAGCGCTGTTGTGGTGCGAGGATGCCTGGTCAAAGGTTAGTGCTTCGACCATACGCCACTGTTGGAATCATTCCGGACTCGTAGGTAAAGCTGCTCTTCAGTTCATTTTGAAATAACTAAATCAGTACATTGGAAAAGTATACTCAACTTAACATCAATTTATATATTCTGCGTCTTTATATATATCAGGCGTTCCTTACTCGGGCAGATTACTGTAGAGACTCAAACTTTTATCTTGGGGAAAGCATGCTGGCAATTTTTAGGGTTTCCCACAGATGCTTTCGCTTCACGTTCCAATTGTCCAGAGACGGTCGAGCCGAGTTACTCGCATAAAGTCCCCCATACACTCGTGAGCCCAAGCACTCGGAAAGAGGACACGGAATGTGCAGCTCGGATAGACGCGCCTCGTTTCTCAACGGAGCCCCAAGCGAGGTTGAAAATGTCTTGGGCCGAGTATGCCTGGGGCCAAGCGCTCGTCGTTCGGGTTGGCGATAGGATTCAAGGATTGGGCCGAGAGAGCTCGCTTCTACCTTTTGCCGTCCGAAAAGCTTTTTATTGATGGCGGTCGTCATCGTGGTGACATTGCGAGCGTCCTGCAAAAAGGTTCCAAGCACTCAGAATTCTCTACGGACGTGTGTCGCCTAGCAGTGTGCGCGGATTCAAGAGCAACCAATTTCGTCTCCATGGAGCCTAGACGGGCGCTGGCTGCACGACACGACCCCGCGGTTGCTCTGCGCGACGCTCGAGCAGATCGCACCAGGGTGCAAGCAAGCTCTCGGATAGGTTATAGGGTGTATGCGCACAGGGGGCGGACTCCTATGTATTGTGGTTCCATAGTGGAGCTCGTAAGACTCCTAAAAGGCAGTGCTGGAGAGCATTCTTTCGACACAAGACAGAATAAAACGAGTTTGTCATTCATGTCGTGTTGTTTGCTGAATATGTACAGGCTGTATGCTGTACAGTACAGCAGATATATATGTTAATAATATTCGTGAATTCCATATCATGTCCAGTATTTTAAAAAATATTTAAAAAAATATTTGTTGCAGCTTGCGAAACTCGCGAGCTTTCAAGGCCATTCGTGTCGAACGCCGCGTTGCACACGCAGTCAAAGCCTCTAGCGGCATCCTTGACAAAGCTTCAAGATGCGTCGGTTGTTTTCTGTGTGGCAACGACAACACCTCGGTTTGATTTCGATCGATTGGATCTCTGGCAGTGCCTCATCCAATTCATTTGTACCCCGTTGCGTGGCGTATAATAGCCCACGCCGTGTGATCCCTCAGGAAACTTCGAGTTGCGACTTGCGGCTAACGGAAGGCTTGACACCATCCTCAAGAACCCAGTCGTTTATTGTGTGGACTCGCCACTTCAGGAACACATTGAATTTACTTTATGCTACTGTACCACAACTACATGAAAAGATATTCTACCCACACATTCATCGACCACCGTAACTTACTGGTTGATCTGCACGTCGCTCTCCGAGTACTGGCAGAGCGTGCCCGAAGGTCCGTCGCCCAGGTTCGACGGCGTGCTGCCGCCCTGCGACCACTGGCACACCTTCACGTCGTTGTTGCCGTCCGACGTCTTGACGCGGATGTTGCTCAGGGTGGCCTTGTCGCCGTAGTTCTTGTTCACCGTGACAACGCTCACCAGCGGGTCCACCGCGTACACGTTCTTCAGTGTCACGGTGCGAGGGATGTCACCGCACGTGCCGCACGAACGGTAGAGCTTGCCGAAGTTTTCGGCGTAGAAGCCGTCGATGTTGACCGTACCCTGGCCGTTGTGCTGCACCACCTTGTCCGAAGCGGATTTGGCGCCGCAGTTCGTCACAGTGGTCACACTGGAAGCAGAGCCGCCCTTAATGCTTAGCGCGTCCTCGCACACGTCGTCCCACCAGACGTTCTCAATGGTGCAGTCGTGGTCGTCACAGTGCACTCCCTCCTTCTGGTTCTTGCCGATGATGGCGTTCTTGAGGGTGCCGCCAGCCTCCACGAGGAAGACAGCGGTGTCCTTCTGGCCCTCACCGTCGGAGCAGGTGATGTCAGAGCGGTCGAAGGTCTGCATCTTGCCGTCAAAGACCTCGCCGGCCTTGATGACTTGCGGCGCCGTGAGCTTGACGGACCCCGTGCTGGTCGGCCACGTGCCGTCCGGAATACTTCCCGTCGAGGTCGAAGTCGAGGAGTTGGTACCGGTCTGAGCGGTCGATCCCGCGCTCGAGCTCTGCGTCGCCGACCCAGTGGTGGTAGTTGATCCAGCGGTCGAGCTCTGCGTGGTGGAATCGTTGCTAGAGTCGTCAGTAGCGGAGCCCGTGCTGGAACTCTGCGTAGGCGAGTCAGTGGAGGTCGATCTGCCGCTGGACGTGGTGCTCGCGCCCGAGGTCGTGCTGCTGCCACCGGCAGTGATCGTTTGCTCTTCGTTCTTGGCGTCGTCGCTGTCGTTGTCGCTCTTCTTGCTGGAGGCGGAAGCGCTCGACTGCTGCGTCTGCTGCGTCTGCTGCGTGGGGTCTTCCGTGGACTCCTCGTTCGACTGCTGCTGCTCAGTCTGACTCGACTCGGAGCTGCCCTGCGTCTGCTCGGCACTGCCACTGTTGGCTGGCGCGACCGTGCCTGGGCCGGAAGCCTCCGACGCGCCGGTCGTCGAGTTCGTGGCGGCCTGTGACGACGCCGACTCCTGTGACGAGGTGGTCGAAGCCGTCTGCGCAGCGGTTGAAGACGACCCCGTGGAGGAAGACTGCGTCGTATTGTTGGGGGCGGACGAGGACGAGTTGGAGGTTCCTGTAGCCTGGGAGACGTCTCCGTTGAGGTGGATGTCGCTCTCTGAGTACTGACACAGAGGCGGTGACGGACCGTCGCCCAGCATCGACGGCTCGCCGTCGGCGTTTCCCTGCGACCACTGGCAGATCTTGACCTTGTCGCCGCTGGACTTGACCCAGACGTTGCTGAGCGTGGCCTCGTCGTTCCAGTTCTTGTTGACCGTCACGACGGCGTTGCCCGGGTTCACGACGTAGACGTTCGACACGTCCACCTTGCGCTGCTTGTCGCCGCACGTGCCGCACGAGCGGTAGAGCTTGCTGATGTCCTCGCCGTAGAAGCCGTCGATCTTGACGGTGCCGTAGCCGTTGTGCTGGATGACCTTGTCGTCGGCCGAGCGAGCGCCGCCGCCCGTGACGGTCGTGACACTGGAGGCGGTACCGCCCTTGACACTCAGCGCGTCCTCACACACGTCGTCCCACCAGACGTTCTCGATGGTGCAGTCGTGCTTATCGCAGTGGACGCCCTCCATTTGGTTCTTGCCGATGATGACGTTCTTGAGCGTGGCGCCGGGCTCCATCTTGAACACGGCCGTGTCGGCGCCGCTCTCGGTCTGGCCCTCGCACGAGACGTCGGAGCGCTCGTACGTCTGCATCTTGCCGTCGAACACCTCGCCGGCCTTGACGATGTGAGCCTCGGAGAAGTGGACCGACCCGGTGCTGGTGGGCCAGGTGCCGTCGGGCACGGACGCGGCGGTTGCGGCCGCGACGAGCAGAGCGGCGGATGTCGCGAAGGACTTGACCATCGTGGACTACAGCAGTGTTTCCGGTTGGTGGCTTGCTGCGGAGGAGGCAAATTGATGAATGAGGAGTTGTCGGCATCGATTAACAGGTTAGTCCGTCCGTCCATTAGTCGGAGCACACCACCGAGGAGGGCGGTCAATCCCAAAACTGTCATGGTGCTGCCGTATGGCATCCGATGTCTTGAGACAACGACGCAACTGTGGATCTTGCCGTCCTCGCGAAAGAAAAGATCGGGACTGCTTCGACTACAGTTGTTTCTCTGCAGCCATGCTGGTTTGTGCGTTTGATTCGGTGACAAATCTGTGGTGTGTCCTTGAATCCTGTCAGCCTAGAGAGGGGCCCTCGCCAGGGCCGCCTGGTGTTAACAATTGGCGTTTTTATTATGGTTTGGCCACTCACTGGAGGTGTCGTTCCAACGCGTCAACGAATAGTACGCGACTAATTCAACGTTGTGATACGGTCGACAAAGAGCTCATGGCACCAACCTCGTGGACGTGTCGTCGTTGGCGCAAGGAGCTCGTTAGAGGCTTCCGCTCTTCCTGTTTGTGTTACTCGTGCGGAGTGCTGCTTATCGGATACCAGCTGCAAGCGAGCGAAACAGCTTCGGGAGTCCAAAAGCACTGCATTGCCTCCTTGTGACCACTGCCGTCCAGCTGCTTGGATGGCAATCCGCTACTCAATCGCAGATTTTGCCGATGTCACAAGACAGACTCTACGTGGAGAATCTTCTACATTTAGTCGTTCAGCGAGCTGATTAATTTAATCTCCAGCGTCGACGCACTGTAGATCCGTCCGAGTCGGACCACCTAAATCGCACGTACAGTACGAGTGCTGTTTGCCTGCACAGCCGCACTCTCTACGGTCCAATGCAAGGTCTAATACCCTACATCAGTTGCTGTCAAAGCAATCACGCGCACTCCGGCCTATCCAAAGCTCGCGCTGATGTCCACAACAACAAATGGCCGTGTGGTGTTCGAGAAGCGATCGCTTTGATTAACGCGACTACCGGAACCAGCTGAAGCACATCTTCAACGAAACATCACCATCGACATTTCGTGTGCATGTGCTGACACCATATCCAAGCTGTACACATCTATTATTCCTCGCACTAACCATTCAGGGATACTGGTAAGCTTCTTATAATGTAAGCACGCCTTTCAAGTTCTTCTATTTCCTCTTTGGTTCAACCATGGACGATAAATGCATACATGGGGTTGCGAGTACAATGTCAGTAGATGTGCAAGCATTCTTGCTGTGCGATAACATCGCAACTGTTGGGCGCCAGGTGTCGTATCCGAGGGACCTCTCCTCTGCAGGAAAGTGGTTTACCGTACTGCACCTGTCCCGTATTGCAGTTACTGTGACTTCAGGGGCACAATTGAACACAATTGTCGCTCCAGACCAATCCTTGTTAACAGAAATACACCGAGAAGCCACACACACCGAAGCCACCAGCAGCACCACTAGAAAGCAGATGGATCCGTGACGTCTTACACCACTGCAGAAACGACACCGATGTTTGACCGCCCTCCTCGGTGGTGTGCTCCGACTAATGGACGGACGGACTAACCTGTTAATCGATGCCGACAACTCCTCATTCATCAATTTGCCTCCTCCGCAGCAAGCCACCAACCGGAAACACTGCTGTAGTCCACGATGGTCAAGTCCTTCGCGACATCCGCCGCTCTGCTCGTCGCGGCCGCAACCGCCGCGTCCGTGCCCGACGGCACCTGGCCCACCAGCACCGGGTCGGTCCACTTCTCCGAGGCTCACATCGTCAAGGCCGGCGAGGTGTTCGACGGCAAGATGCAGACGTACGAGCGCTCCGACGTCTCGTGCGAGGGCCAGACCGAGAGCGGCGCCGACACGGCCGTGTTCAAGATGGAGCCCGGCGCCACGCTCAAGAACGTCATCATCGGCAAGAACCAAATGGAGGGCGTCCACTGCGATAAGCACGACTGCACCATCGAGAACGTCTGGTGGGACGACGTGTGTGAGGACGCGCTGAGTGTCAAGGGCGGTACCGCCTCCAGTGTCACGACCGTCACGGGCGGCGGCGCTCGCTCGGCCGACGACAAGGTCATCCAGCACAACGGCTACGGCACCGTCAAGATCGACGGCTTCTACGGCGAGGACATCAGCAAGCTCTACCGCTCGTGCGGCACGTGCGGCGTCAAGCTCACGGCGCCGCAAGTCATCAAGGCCGGCGAGGTCTTTGACGGCAAGATGCAGACCTTCGACCGCTCTGACATCACCTGCTCCGACGGTGAGGGCCAGAAGGACACCGCTGTCTTCCTCGTGGAGGCTGGCGGCACCCTCAAGAACGCCATCATCGGCAAGAACCAGAAGGAGGGAGTGCACTGTGACGACCACGACTGCACCATTGAGAACGTCTGGTGGGACGACGTGTGCGAGGACGCGCTAAGCATTAAGGGCGGCTCTGCTTCCAGTGTGACCACTGTGACGAACTGCGGCGCCAAATCCGCTTCGGACAAGGTGGTGCAGCACAACGGCCAGGGTACGGTCAACATCGACGGCTTCTACGCCGAAAACTTCGGCAAGCTCTACCGTTCGTGCGGCACGTGCGGTGACATCCCTCGCACCGTGACACTGAAGAACGTGTACGCGGTGGACCCGCTGGTGAGCGTTGTCACGGTGAACAAGAACTACGGCGACAAGGCCACCCTGAGCAACATCCGCGTCAAGACGTCGGACGGCAACAACGACGTGAAGGTGTGCCAGTGGTCGCAGGGCGGCAGCACGCCGTCGAACCTGGGCGACGGACCTTCGGGCACGCTCTGCCAGTACTCGGAGAGCGACGTGCAGATCAACCAGTAAGTTACGGTGGTCGATAAATGTGTGAAACGTACACTGCATCAAATATATTTGTGTTTGTTTTCAATTTCATAGTCTATAGGCGGAGGGGGGAGGAGGAGGAGCTGGATATAGGCGCGATTGCCACCTAATCGAGCCGAACTCGAAAGTGGTGAGTATCGGACGGCATAGAATTTTACTTGTTACTGTAGCTTTGAGATCCTAGGTCGCACGCTCAAGCGCGAAGATGGTGAAAACTGGTGAGGATCCACGTGTGCTCCTGTGGCGGCCCAATAGAGGGAGATTGGGCGAGCTCCAGTGCTAGTCACAGGCAGAGAGGGAAGGCATTTGGTGATAACGTTACCAGGTGAGTCCGCACTTCCAGCGATGAGCAACTTCTCCTTGAGATTTGTTACAAAATATGCTTGGTCCAAAAATATATAGGCGACCCGGAGCGAACGCTCCGGGGGAGTACACAGGTCGAATTAGTCAAAAGTTGACCTCTGAAACTGGTATTTACCAGCAATAATGGCTCGATCTCAGCGAAACATGTTCAAATTGCAAGTTAGTTTTGTATGCGAGCCCGACATGGAGCCATTTCTGTTAATAAGGCTTCAGAAATCAATTGATGAACATGACAGTAGCAAGATACGTTGTTGGCAAGAATGAAGAGTTGCTAAATAAACTACGTCAAGAAGATACTGAGGACGACCAGTGTCTCATTTTGGCCTCGAAACTTAACAAAGTGACCATTAAATGCTCTGGGTCGGAGCAAAAACTTGGAATCCACCCACAAACTATTGAGTTAGGCTAGCTAGATGTACAGAGAGAGAGAGTTAAAGCTACTGCAGAACCCTGCTGATATGAATTTTGATGCCACTATCGTATTGAGTGGGGAAAGTATTCAGAGAGTGCCTGGTGCGCAGCATGTGCGGCGCACCGAAGCCGCTTGCAATGCGGATTAGACAAGTCTGGACAAGCTATTCCAGCACCCGAGAAGCCTTAGTAGTTAATCGTCAGAGTTTCGCGAAATGAGCGGCATTCGCTCACCCAACAGGTAGATAGATCGCTCTCTCTTTGGGGACGAAGTCCCCCCTATAATCATGAGACTCCGTTTTATGGAGTTTTTACGTCTCTTATATACACTCCGCTTTACTTTTTACATTAATTCTGCGAATGGGTTAGGGTCACAATTTAGAATCGCTCACACGGGGACCAAGAAATGAAAAAATACCTCGGTTAAACAACATTTGGATGCTTATCGGAAGGTGGTATCGGCCCGAATTTTTATCTGAGCTGAACCGACGTCACTATCTTTAGATGCCATAAAACCAGAGGGTCGAAGTTATGAAACAGCAAATTCGACCGTTAGTATGGAGGACATCAGAAATAGACTTAAACATGACATTTTACCCTTATTTTGACCCGCTTAGGACCCTTTATTAAACCTATTTGCCTTTCAAACCTTATGCTGTCGTAAGAAGGGTCGCTCTGCGGCCAGCGCACAACAGAGAGTCCAAGCATCAACAAGCAGAGCCTCAAGGAAGCGCCAACGCTACGCCAAGTAGCAAGCAGCTTTGCATGCTGAGGACCGGGTACTGTCGAGCAGCAACTTCTCTAAATTACATTGAAGGCTATGCGCGGATGACGAGCTGGACGATGAGCTGGGGTGTACGAGCCGGAGCCCGTGTCGGTGCTTCTTGGTAGCAACAATGGCTCTCTTTGGCCCGTTCGAGCTCGCCTGCTACTTCGCTTTAAAGAAATCAGACAACTCCAAGTCCTTCCTGCACGCTAAAGGCGCCGATTATTTGCTCCTTTCTAGTCTGCGTTAATTCATTCATTCATTGCGTTGCTCATGAAAAGATGTTCGACTGAGCAAATGCATTAGCCCACTCAATTACAGTTCTGTTGGGTCGATCTCGGGCGTCACAGCTCTGCTTTGATACCCTACATGCATGTGTGATGGTACGATATCGGGCTCAACTACATTATTTTGAGCTAGTTTTCGTTCATTATATATGTTTCCTTATTGCGCTCAACGTGCATGAGGTTATCTACCTACGCGTGCAGACTAACAGCTTTGAACAGCCGTGCATGTCATAGTCGCGGCAGCAACATTGGCCATTGCGGCTGGGTGTAGATGACATCTGGAGGAAGAATTTCAACATGGATCGCGAAAGGTTACTGGAATAATTCGCTCGTATTTTCACTCTGAAAATGAACACACCACGAGATTGAAACATCGAAAGTTAACCCCTTATTCACTTTTCGTTGTGCCAGTGTGCACATTCTGCTATTACACTTACCTAAGTAAGTAAAATACAAGTGTTCTGGCATTCGAACCACAGGTCAGGTGTATCAGTCTACCGTTAATAACAACGTATGAATGGTACTTATGTTGTTTGCAAAATAGCCAGCAAATCGGGGAGCGTGAAAGGGGAAATAAAGCGCTAGAATTTGCAAGCGGCTTTGTACTCAAATTCCTCAAGTGGGGACGTCGTCCAAAACTCTGTGGTCAGCATAGTTTTGGGGGTCGACCCCTAAAGCAACATGAGCGGAGCGACCGTGATGCTCCGCTAGTTTTATTTAAAATGACGCAACTCATCGCTTCGTCTACATTCGAACCAGAGCTCGTTATGGGCCAGAATGCCACCTATAAGCTGATTTAGCCACTCCACGACTTACAAAGCCTTGGACGGCTGATTTGCATGCTAATCAGCCCGAATGTCCGACACCCACTCGGCATTCGGTGGCCGATTTAACGTAAAACCGACAAACGCTAATGCTGACGAGAAATGACAGCGCAAATACATGACTTCACAACTTGATAAATAGATAGCAGTACGTATCGACTGCTCACAGAAGCGTATTTAATGCACACGATGCTATTCCTCGTTAGTAGGTGCGCGAAACATTAGCTCTTGGCGGTAAGTGGTCGTTCCTCGCATTGCAGGCGGTAATGAGGCAACCCCTATTTTTTTTTTAACCTTACACCGATTTATACCCTTACTGATGCCATATGAAATCATAGGTAGTCAAATCCCTCATGAACGCTGCTTTATCAGCTAATCCGCTCGGACAATCTAATCGGTTTCCACAATACTTACTTGTAATATATCCGAAAAGTGACTGTATCGTAAACCAATCATCTTTCATTCATTCTTTCGCGTTGTGCGGTCGGCTCTAGCCTCGCAACTCAAGGAGACCGCGAGCTCCGAGGAGCTCTCAGAACTTTTGCATAATGCTTCATCGAACGACAATATCAAAGAACTGTAGTTTCAGCAGCTCGAGGCGTTATAAATTTTCTAGGTCATAGCTGTCGTTAGCCACGAAGTTAAGTGGCATCAATGTGCCTCAATGCCAAAACAAAAACAAAACATCGAGGCGTTATTAAAATATTCCAAACCTAACTTTAGGATACTATTGTACCAAAAAGAGCCTTCGCTTACAATCGTTGAAGAATTATGCTGTATACCCACGCTACGTTGGTGATCTTCCGAGCGGAAAGAGATAGTTCTCTACTGTGCGATGGATAATACATGCATTGACTTCAAACACGTATACTCCCAACCTCCCAATCGGTAAATGCCACTATCATAATTGTACACTATGGTTAGAAGAAACAACAAGATGTATTATAATCTAGAAACGATCATACAAAAATATCACTACATTGTTCACAGCGACACACATTTAGCGGAAATCAGAGACACCAAGGGCGTATACGACGCGCATCTACTGCTCGTTGATGTGAACATCGCTCTCCGAGTACTGACAAAGCGTGCCCAATGGACCGTCGCCCAAGTTCGAAGGCGTCTTGCTTCCCTGTGACCACTCGCACACCTTCACGTTGTCGTTACCATCGGTCGTCTTCACATAAATGTTCCTCAACGTCGCCTTGTCACCGTAGTTCTTGTTCACCGTGACAACGCTCACCAACGGATCGATGGCGTACACGTTCTCCACCGCCACGGTGCGAGGAATGTTGCCACAAGTGCCACACGATCGGAAGAGCTTGCCGAACTCCTGCGCGAAGAAGCCGTTGATCTTGACGGTGCCGTAGCCGTTGTGCTGGACCACCTTGTCTTCGGCGTAGCGCGCGCCGCAGTTGGTGATAGTCGTCACGCTGGAGGCCGAGCCGCCCTTGATGCTCAGCGCATCCTCGCACACGTCGTTCCACCAGACGTTCTCAATGGTGCAGTCGTGGTCGTCGCAGTGCACGCCCTCCTTCTGGTTCTTGCCGATGATGGCGTTCTTAACGGTACCGCCGGCCTCGACGAGGAACACGGCGGAGTCCTTCTGGCCCTCGCCTCCCGAGCAGGTGATGTCGGAGCGGTCGAACGTCTGCATCTTGCCGTCGAAGACCTCGCCGGCCTTGATGACGTGTGGCTTGGTGAACTTGACGGCTCCAGTGCTGGCGGGCCATGTGCCGTCGGGTACAGACGTAGCGGTTGCAGCCCCAATGAGGATGGTTGCGATTGCCGCGTGGGAGGCCACCATCCTTGATTGCTGCGCTGTGGGTATTCGTGGGCTTGATGCGCGCAAGGCAAGTTGAATAATGAAGACTTGATTAGGCCAGTTCGAGGGAGAGCATCAGTCGCTCAGCGGGGAGGCGGTCTTTATAGCGGACGTAAACTTCCAGACCGACTTAGTGTGTCAGATGGCAAACCAAAGATCGGGAAGGCAGTTGTTTTCGGTTTTTGCCATTTAGCGTTCTACTAAGCTGTCATCTAGATGCTTGGTGGCTGGCAATCCTTCCCACTTGCTCGTTGACTCTATAAGCTCTTATCTTCGACATCGATAGCTTCCACATGGGTCTCCCGTATCTTTCTCGGTTGTACGGCGGTGGCTATACCGTATAATACTTCTTCCATCCGACACCAATCTTCAGTGGTTACACAGGGTTACGGTTGTTTATAGCCAATCAAAACACTCCATATCGATATTTTTAAAAATATGTCGCTCAATGATTGGCTACTAATATTTGTCGGATTTAATACCTTGTCGGATGGAAGAAGTATTATACGGTAATAGCGACGTAGAGGCTTATCAATGAAGAGTTGATGCCCTTTTTACAGTGTAGATACGCGTGGTACAGGCCTGCGGATAACCCACAACCGACCAGGGGTCTTGTTCTCTCTTCGTGCCGAGAAATCACATGCACTATAGCGGAGAAGTCATATAAGAAGTCCAACAAGAGAACTAAAAGTTTGCAGAAGGACCTAATAAAGTATTACACTGTCGAGGGCCGGCGGTGATACACTTTCCATTCTTTGCACCATCAGCGCGCGGAGGGGGAGGGGGGGGGGCTCCAGCTTTCAAGCTGATACATGATGTATCTGTGTGCAGGAAGCAAACGTTGCCAATGTTTCGAATCCAAACTTACACGCTGCTCGTTGAATAATCTGCGATCGCGGATGCAAAACTAACGCTACTTTGTCTGCACCTTCGACTGCTGTGCGGAATTCGACAACTCCTCCATGGCAGTCCTGGGTCGCGTAACGGTTCCACTACCAAGCTTGTATAAGATACTGCCTGATAGCGGGGGCTTCTTGCTCGCTCACAAACGATGGCTCCTTCGACTGCTACAGTACTACTAAACTAAAGCAGTATTGGTAGCGATCGATCATGGTGCGGTTGCAGCCCATTCGATCACCATTAGAAGAGAACGCGCCGGGCGAGACGACCCGAAGGTTGAGTTCCGTGCAGTTGGAGCGGCACGGGGCGCCTTCGTGACAGGCAGCTTCGACCGCAACACCAGGTTCAAGCCTGCACAGGCTATCTCTATCTTGCCAGGCCTTAACTAATAGTCGAACTAAATAACAGCAGTCACTTACCTCCAGCAAACCTTACTCGAACGAAGAGGGAGGTCGACCATGCAGGCATACAATGACACCAGCGCCTCTGACACGCGCTGTTGCAGTTGCAGTGCGTACGCCGCTGATCTGTGCCCTGCTTAAGACAAGAACATTTCCTTTTTTGACCTGGGTGATCGAGCGAAGCAGGTGTTCGGCTCAATCTCGATGCGACCACCCGCCACACCAGCGTGTCGGCAAGCTGCAGAAACCCATCTTACGTTATAGATATGTAGGTAGTGAGTGGCTTTGCCAGCAAGAATGCACCCTTGGCCGCTGTGAATCTGATGTGGGGGCTGTATCTAGTGTTCGCACAAACACTAACTGTATAGCTAACTCTAGTGTTTGCGAACTGTTTGTTATCTGGCTTACATGTTTGTGGAGTTATACAATTTTAAAATTTGTAAATAGTATAGAAACTATTTACCTCGAAGTATCTTGAACTAAAAGAGTTGAAGCTCTTGTCACTTGTCGGAAGCTGAGTTGCACACGAAGGCATTCTCCCTTACACCAACCGTGATCTCTTCAAACTAAGCAGCACTATCCTATGATAGATTACTCTTGTTACGCTGTGGTGCGTACATGGAATGTGGACTCAGCAACGGGTGCTACTTAATTGTGAGTACACTTCACTGACTTCTGAGTAATTCCATATAATGTGACTTAGGAAAGATGCAACGTCGCCTTGGACAGGACCGGAGGAGGATACAATGTAAACGCATCTGGGGAAGTAACGCATCGATCCACTTATGCGGACGTGAGTAAGCTAATAGAGAATTCAAGCGTCATTTAGCAGAAAGTTGCCCCAAAGGATTTGTTTGTGTTCATGAATGGCACCCCAACAAGCAACGTATTTAGAGTGTAGTCAATAGTTTCAAGTTGACGCAGCGCACGAATTTAATTGAAACGTACGTACTCGGAAGTCCGAGCACATTACTCATTACTCAAAAGTCCGCGAAATGTACTCAAACGTAAGGGTGACCCTTCCAGTGGCCATTAATTTGAGCTGCTAGTCATAGTTTATGACTCATAGAGCAGCAAACGTACAAACGCGTTTGCAAACAGCACTAACTGTAAGGTAGTGTGTTGTCAAAATCACTACGACTCCGATTCAAAATGAAAGCATGATTGGCGTCAAAATGCGCCCTCCAAATCAATTTTCAACGTTTTCGCGTAAAAATTGCACCACTTGAACTGCTGAATTCTCCTCTTTCAATTGATGTGCTAGTTTACCTGAACCGTTTAGAATTGACCTTTGTACACTTGAATATCGTATGGCTAGTAGGCTTTTCTCTTCGGAAATGCACAAGAAAGTACAAGTCATCCGTGATTTGAAGATGTCAGTAATCCCTCCCATACTCAAACCAAGTCTTTTTTCGTGCTATCTTTCTGAAACAACCTTCACGGTGAATCATGCTTTCTTTTTTAAAACGGAGTGGTAACATGTTTGCGGAGTACACTAGCTGTATCGTATCCGTATCCGCGGTGTTAGAGGTCGCATATAGCAAGTGAAGTGTCTGACAAAATGGCGGACGCCATCAGCAACTTCGACGGTTCACCGGCAGGCAGCAACGCGGTTCGCCTTTTGGATTCTGGGATGACGCGCTGCTGAACACGAATGGCGTCGTCGCTGAGTGGCGAACTGGAATGTCCCACTTCATGGAACGAGGCTACAGGACTGCTCATCCGTGGGAGGGATGGCCCATCAACGAGTATAGGTGTTAGCTTTGGATCGTTAGCCAATAGGACTCTAAATGGACACAAAATACCTCACCACGGAAATGAAATGGTAGCAAACATCGACTGACATTCCGTTCAAGACCCGCCCATCGGACCGATGTAACGGACTTGTAAGGAGGCGTGTGGACAATAGGCTGCACCTTTGAATTCCGCTATTTCCACAGCGAAACGAGGCACAAGACGAAGCGACTGGTTTCACGCGACCAGCTATTCTACGCAGTATTCTAACAAAAACTAAGAACATCTCCACCGGTGCTGAGTAAAACTAAAAGCAAATTGCCCTAAGATCCGTGCCTACAACGGCACAACCGTGCTAAAGACAGTGCGCAGCTCCACCGGCCATTGAGACTCGCAGCAACCGCGTTAAAGCTCTTGGTTCGGCGCCAGCCATGGCGACAGCGAGTCCTAGCTGTATAGCCCTATAAAGGGCCCGGCAGCACGTTGAGGAAGACCCAGGGATGACGTAGCAAGGGCGACACTGCGGTCTGTGACGCTTGCGCTGCTTAGAACGCTTGACTTGGCCCTACTACTGGTTGGTCGACATTTACTCAACCTTTTACTCAAAGCCTCCTCCGTCGGCAAACTTGTGCAAAAATTTGATCTGCATAAAAAATGGAGCAATTTGTTCAGCATTTACTCAAACCGGTGGAGCTGTACAAAACTAAAACAATGATTAAATATTGACAGAAAAGGGGTAAAATTTAGTTTTACTGACGACCGGTGGAGATGCTCTAATAGAGCGACCGTCAAGTGTGTGCGTAATTCCGTCTGAAGCCCCATGGCGACAAAATTAGGGTGGTCCACATAACGTACATAGGCAGTCTTGGACGCCCCAAGCTGCCGAGCGCAGCGATGGCGGCACCCGCGTGCGTTGTAGCGGGCCGCAGGGCCCGCCCTACAACTATGTACTAATAACACGGCGAGTAGTGCAGCGAGCCGACGAGGAGTGCGGAACGGGGGCGACTAGGTATATTACCCCCACCGTGCCGCTAAGACTACATAGTATTATTACCAACCTTTACGATATTAATCAGCAGTAACAGCGATAACAGGGCTCACCCAATGATATAATAGCTAATTACAGTGCGAGTATGTAGTACGTTATGGCAGGGATAGTGGGTCAGCCCCACTACTTAGTAGAATAGCACTATAGCGAGGTTGGTATAATATAAACACATAGTAAGGGATGATAGCGCATAGCAAGCGATGGCAGCGCGTACTAAGCGATAGCCGGACGAGTACATGCAGTACAAGGGCGTCTGAAGGGGGGTGATCGATATTTCCATCATGCTCAGCCTCGCTTTACTATACTTCTGTAGAGGTGGACACATTATAGCTGCTGCGGTACTTGGCTATTTTGCTAACTCCTACTATTAATTAAAATAGGCCCACCGCGGCATCGATAGCTACGCTGGGCGTACGACTTAGAATAAATACACTGAAGCGAAGTTGGTTTAATGTAAATACATGCTGCGATATTGATAATGCTCGCCGCGTAGCTAGTGATAGCAGTTCGAGCTCATGTGGCGGAAGGTGTGCACGAAATTATTACGAACACGCGCAACATACTTTTACTGCAATACTTTAGCAATGAATATACTGTAGCTACAGCGGCGCTCTGCGTTCATTGTGGGGGAATATTTGCTTAAACGCGTTTTGTATTTATTAAAGTACAGTGTGTTGCGGTAGGATAATGCGTTAGTGGGGTCGTAGATTGAATTCACTGAGTGGGAGCTTTTTATTATAGTTTACGCTGATATTCCTTCAATAACGTGTTATTGGGCGGATATACATGTAGGAAATGGAATTAGTATAGTGTAAACGTGGAATTTATAGTTACGCGGTGCAAGGTTATTACTTTAAATATCTTAGAGTGTCCACACCAGTAAAGCTAAATCCCAATGCTAAACCTCGGTTCCCTACCCGGTGATTTAGCTGCCGAAACCATCTGAAACAATGACTTGGTCTTTGTATGGGTGATTTGGCCGCCGCTAAATCTGCTGCCAAAGATGGTATTGGAAATAGCATCCGGACTTTAGGGTCATACGAAATCCGAGACACTTTACCATGCACCTTTTACAGCTAGCTGATGCCAAATTCGACCTTCCATACATGAAGCGGGTATAGGTTTACTCAGATTTTGCTTTGGGTTTAGCTTAACCGGTGGGGACACTCTTAGTTACTGTAAATGCAGGCTGCCGCTAAAATGATAATGTTCGCTGCATAGCAGAATAATAAGCTGATAGCCACGTCTAAATGAATGGCTTTTGAAGCTAACCACGTAATAGTTAGCCAGCAGCTACATTTGACGGATCATACACAATACTGAAACGACGAAGTGTTACGGGCTAACTGCAGCCCGTTACGTGCTTACACAAGCAGAGGAAGTAGTAGGCAAATTGAACTCTGATTGATTGATTGACACGGCGTAACCGCCGTGTCCACTTAAACCTATGCTGAGTGTTGATTGGCTATCATGTGAGCACGAAGGCGACTGTGTGACGAGAACCCGTGACACCACCCCTCACTCAGAGTGAGACCTTACCTTCAAGCCCGCCACGGTTGCGGGCTTGGTCATTCGGGAACAAAGAAGTAGGAAGGAAGCTGAAGACGATGGCGGACGACGGACACCGGAGCACGGGCGCGGGGAACGTGCTCGCACCGACAGAGGCAGATGCCGGGACGACGTACGCGGAGGACCTTGAACGATGGGCGCTCTACGACTGCAGCGGCCTGCGAGCGCCGCTGGCCGACGAAGACATGCAGAGCTTGTTCCACCGATGTCGCGTGGCGCGCAGCAAGCCGGTCACGGCGACGCGCACCGTGACAATGCAGTCACTGGATGCTGCGTGGACGTCGATGGAATGTTGAGGGGCCCGCCGTGTTCATCCGAGCACTGGAGCGTCGTGAGGAGCAGTATCGAACGCGCTCCGTGAGCGCGCTGGCGAAGCAAGTCCATGATGCGTCGTATGACAACGACCGCGATTGCTGCTTCGTCCACTACGTTCGCGAATGTGCAGAGTGTCGCGGGTACAATCGCCCGCGACCTGACGAAGCTGCGTGGGGGCGTCTTCTAGCTGCAAACCCGTTGACTGTACCCGAAGAAGGCTTGATCGCTCGATATCGTGAGGCTATTGATAACGCTAGGCTCGGCGGGCGGCCGCGCCACGTCGAGGACTTGCCACCCCTCCAAGGGTTGCCTCGTACGCCGCCACGCAGTCCGGCACGTCTTCCAACAGGACCTCGCGCGGCTCCCAACTATCCGGCATTGGCCCCAGCCAACGCACAAGATATTAACGGTGCATGGGGACGTGGGAATCGCAGCCGCGAGCGCCGCGATGCGGAAGAGCAACGCGTGGAGCAGCACGATGATCGTTGTGCTCCAAGATCGCCTCCACGACATGCCGGACATTACCCGCGCTATCTACAAGAGGCGCGGGGCCGTCACGCTGAAACCGTGCAGCGTGACCGTCGGGAGGACGCGGAGGAGGACGCGGAGGAGGAGCAGCGACGTCGGCGCGCTGCTGCGGCTGGAGCACGAGATGGCTGTTCTGCGGGGCTAGCTGGCTGGGGCGGCGCGTGATCCGCCGCAGTACCTTGGTCGACGGGACCGTGAAGACGACTGGGGCGCTGGCTGGAACCAGCGTCGCTGGGGATGACTGCGGGGTGATAACGTCGGAGTCGGCCGACGTAGAAGGTAGGATGTAGGCGGATAGCAGACGGTAGTTGAAGAGTATAAGCATCGCCCAACACCTTCGTAACCTTGAATGGCCCAATAAATCTTGGCGCGAACTTGTTCGCGCCCAGATTCGTAACAGCAGCAGTTTGAATACCAGTCGTAGAAAGCAATACACGGTCGCCCACAGCGAACGTCTCCAGATGTCGGCGCCCTCGTCGATCGGCATATTCCATTTGCCGATCCACCGCCGCTGCGATGGTGTCGCGGACATAGCGCACAACCGACTCATGTTTCTGCAGGAAGTCGCGGACAGCCGCAGTGTCTTGGGCTGCGGTGCTGGGAGCGGATCGAAGTTGGCAAGAACCGGCGCGGCAGGTGTCGCCGCGTCTTGTACGTCGTGATACTCAATGGCCCGACGCGGCATCGGGTCGATCAGCGTGCGCGAAGTCCAAGCAGCGATGTCCGAAGGTGCCGCCCTCCTAGCGGCACGTGTGCGCGAAGCTCGTTTGGGGTTGGCGCGTGGTCTCTCGTGTGCCGCCCGCGCGGTGGCACGTGGGTGCACTCCGACTGCTGGAGCGTTAGAGGCTCGACGAGTGGTGACGCCATGTAACAACGCGGAGACAGCCTCGGGGGTGGGGCCACGGCGCTCAGCTTGGTCTGCGTCGGGGTCGACAGCAACGTCTTTGTCCGGAACGAGGGACGCGGGATCGCCCGCGTCTTCAGCAGCGCGACCAGCCGGAGTCTCAGAGCGCTCCACACCAAGGAGCGCTGGAACGCGAGGATGGCGACCGAAGTTGACGAAGAACGGGGAGAGCCCGGTCGATGCGTGGACGGCGTTGTTGAGGGCGAATTCGACCAGGGGCAGGAAGGAGCTCCACGACTTGAACGACGTAGCGAAGCTGCGTAGTACGTCTTCAACAACACGGTTGGCGCGCTCAGTTTGACCGTCTGTCTCCGGATGTGACGCGGTGGACATGCACAATCGCGTCCCCAGCAACTGGAAAAGCTCTCGCCAGAAAGCAGACGTAAAGCGAGGGTCGCGATCCGATACGATGGAGGACGGAAGCCCGTGGTGGTGGTACACTACGTCCACGAAGATCGCGGCGGTTTGCTTCGCCGTGATGCTGGCAGCGACAGGAGCAAGATGGAGCATCTTGCTGAACCGATCAACGAAGAAAAGCACGCCAGTGCGCCCTTGAGTGTCTCGGGGCAGCCCGAAGACGAAGTCCATGCTGACGCCCATGCGTCTGTTGCGACTGGGAGAGGTCGAAGCGGAGCCTGCTTGGACGGATTCGGCTTCACGCGTTGGCACACTTCGCAGGAGCGTACACATTTCCGAACCCACTTGTACATATGCGGCCAGTAGAAGTCCCTGGACAGCGACGCGAACGTCTTCTCGCGTCCGAGGTGGCCGCCGCTCGGCGTGTCATGGAACTCGTGGATCAGCCGAGCTCGGAGATCGTCATCCAGAGGAACGACGATGCGCGGGGGGTCTTCACGGTCGACGCAGTACGTGAGCAACTCGCCGTCCAGCGAGTAGCGGTCAACGCGGGAGCGGCTGCGTGGAGACAGCTTGCGCTTCGCCACGGCACCAGGGTCTCGCAGGAACTGGATCAGCTCCAAGCAGGACGCGTCCTCCTTGTACGCGTCCACGATCAAGTCACGGAGAGGACTGGTCGCTGCAACCTCAACAGCAGCGACGTCTTCGGCAGTGCATACGGCGCACTCGTCGTCGTCCTCGTCGCCAACTGCGTGGCGACCTGACTGCATGTAGTCTGGCCGACGCGATAACGCGTCGACAAGGATTGCCTATTTCCGGAGCCGAGCAGGAGATGCGAAGGTGATAACGGAAATGACCCTTCCCGCACGAGAACGAGCGATGAAACCTCTTCCCGGTCTCCACATACGCACCGCAGCGCTCAGTCCAAGTTTTCCTGCTGCCTGCTCAAGCCGACACAAGCTCACGCATGCCTACGCTTCGCCCTCGCCGTGCCCAACTGTCGCCTCCCAACCCAGGCGACGAGCCGAGTCCGCCACCAACAACGGCGGCTGGAGCTGTATCCAGGTCAACTCACAGCAGTAGGCGTCCATCTGGTACAGAGGCCTCAGCGACAGCTATCGTGCCATCGGCGCCCTCAGCGGGCTCCCGTCAGGTTGCTCGTAGTGACCGTAGCGCCCCCCGTCCCGCACCGAAGCGACGTCAAGCTGCCCCGTCGAGGGCCGCGAAAACTCGGCAGGGCTCCTCGAGTCGAGCGGTCAAACGCGCCAAGACGAGCACAAGGAATAGTGGCGGGAGTACCGATACCCGCCGCACGGAAGGCTTAGAGGACCTCGCGGAAACATCAGAGCAGTCTCCAATCATCGTTGACAATGGCGCAGGAAGTGACTCCGAAACGCCGGTGACAGTGCTTCCCAGTCCGAGCACCTTCGCCATGCAGCCGGACCCGGTGTCACACCTGGCGCAACAATTTGCCGCTCCAGCCAATAGTACGACACCAGGCGCGCCCAATAACAATTATGACGCTCAGTTCCGAGCTCAATTCGACCAGCTCAACACGCTGGCCTCGACGGTCAATAGTCTGGCAAGTCAATCAGGCATCCAACTCACATCTGAAGGCGGGTCGCTGCACCTACAAAATCCTCCGCCGGTGTTGACGACCCAACGAGGTGCGTTCCGGGCATCACCGTTCAACTCGCCGTCTCCATCGTTTGGATCTACCTCCCTTGTCGAAGCTGGCGGTAGTCATCCTAGTACGCTGTTAGCAGCATCGCCACCAAGTAACCTCGTGGGGGTAACCAGTCAAGCGTTCCCGTACCCCTCGACTCGCATCAAGCACAACTTCTACCCTCCACCCCAAGACGCCCTCGCAGCCTTCAGGGTGTTTCGTGATCTACATTCTGCTGATGGTCTGTATCGCTCACCGCATGCATTTGCCTTGTTTTTGCTTGCAAGGCTGCGGGGCCGCATTGACGTTAACGAGACTTTGGTCATGGCCATCTTCGGGATACGCTTGGGGAGACGTGAGCATCCGTGAGAAGCTTTATGGAGAAACAGCGTCATTCGGTGCTAGCCACCGCTTCGGATAACAAAGTGGTTACGTTCAAGTTTCAAGCTGGACTCGAACTACCAAGCGCATCCAACAAGCCGTGTGCATCAATGCTGGAGTTGACCCAAGCCGTGAATGGCCTTTGCAATTTCGCATCCACGTTCTGGTTCGAACTCGGTCAACATCTCGCGTCGGCCCTCCGAACTTTTGCTTTCGAGCGCCTTCGTATCGACCCCGACCCCCCATGTCCGATTCTTCAGCTCACCCTGAATTACATTGATTTATGGCTGGGTAATGCCCTCGATGCCCTCGCTAGCGAGTCATCAACGTGGTGGAGAGACTATGTTTCGGGAGTCCGTGCAATTTCGGTTGATTCTCCGCAGTGGTTGGCCGACCTCGTGAACATATCGGAGCAGTACCGCAAGCACCAAGACCGCTCCCGACCGCAGCGGGCACCACCTGTGGCTCCGAACGTCCGCCACGGCCAGCGGCTAGGCCAACGCCAAGTCCAAGTCGCACTAGCCCAGCCTCGCAATGCCACGCAGTCCCATACAACGCTGTCGGCAAAGCTACCCCCTCACCTAGCTACGCTCCTCCCACGGAATGAACGCAATGAACAACCATGCCTTCGCCACTTCTCTGGCAACGGTTGTTCTGGCGGGAAGCAACGATGTACACTTGCGAATTGCGTCCACGAGTGGCCAACACCACTTCCTGCTGAGCTCATCGCATGGGCAAAGCTCAATGTCGGCCGTCCACGCGCCGCTCGACGAGACCCGACAACGAACGACAACCAGCAATGACGGTATCAGGAGGACGGTGCTTCGGACGAGGATTCTCAGTTTAATACATCGGGAGATTTGCACTCAACTAGCACCCTTCCTCCTAATCGCGCCTTACCAGCTCACGGTTTTGTTGCCGCCGTTGCCACACGCCAACATCATCACCAAACCACGCGTCTCAAGACTTGTGGTATCGCAAAGCTACATGCCTTGGACGCAAGGATTGGTCGTACTGCCGAATTCGAGAAGGGCTCCCGGTTCTCACCGCCGACCGCTAAGCCGGTGAGAACACAGTTCATCAAAATGAATTCAAATGCCGAGAACTTACTACTGTCGCCGGGGTCGGTCAGGCATCCCTTCCGAACATCCCAGTTACGCAGCGCACGGGAATCCTAGGTGCGAGTCACCACTACAAACCAACCACGCCTCATCTGTTTCCAGCTCCATCGGCAAATGCACTCAAGGAGCTCCAAGATAACTACAACGACCGGCTTCGTGCGTGGTCATCCCGCCGTACTCGAACGCTAACGAAGGTCTTTGCATCAGCCGGTTTAACGTTTCCCCCTCGGCAACCTGACGCAGTTCCGCTGGATGGTAAATCTTCCCTGAACACAGCTCTGCAAACTGTAGTTTCAGAATTTATACGGCGCACCCGCATGGACCTACCGTAATTTGTGGAGCTTTGGCGTGGCCAAACGAAGCACGATTATCGACCCAACAAGGCCATTGATCCCGATGTGATAGCTCAATTCTACTCATCGTATCAGCATCTTAGCCATCTCCAACGGACAGCTGCAGAAGGAGTTCGGGTAACAATCCGCGAGGACGCCAAAATCCCGATAGGCCCCGCCGGCCAAGCAACCACGCATCAGCCTCCAAGTATCTCGACGTACTATTATCAAACGTGCGCCAAGAACAAGAAGCGGGTAGTAGATGCTGACATCCTCGAGATTTGGACCGATGTGCTTCTCAGCCCGTTTGGCGTGGTTGCCAAGGGAGACAAAGATCCCGCGCTAGTTGGCCGCACTATCCACGATTTGTCTCAACCTGAGGGCGCTTCGATCAATGATATCACCGTGAAGGACGAAACACCCACTCCGACCTACGAACCGTGTACTTCAGTGGCCAGCGAGCTACTACGGACGTCGCTTAAGTCTACTGCAGCGATACCAGCAAAGCTCATGGGCGGGGATGTCGCGTCAGCCTTTCGCAATGTTGCAATCCATAGTGAGAGTGTCCGGCTATTTGGTGGCTATAATTCTGAAGTCAACGCTGTGATTATCGATCTCTTTGCTCCCTTTGGCTAGACCTTATCGCCTGCAGAATACGAAGTGTTTGGCAGCGCAATCTCTCACATTCACGCCTCAACAATCTGTACGCGTACACAGGAGCCGTTCTACAGCTATCATTGGGTGGATGACCACATTAGCGTGGTGCGCGCTTTTCCAGGTGTATGTGAGGAATCTGAACGATCGCTTCGCCTGGCAATGGCAATTGTTTTTGGTCCATCGGCAATCAACGAGACCAAATTGACAGGCTGGCACCAGCGGCTCAAAGTCCTAGGACTAGAGTTCGATTCTGGTACCCGCACAGTCTCCATGCCTTACTCGAAGATCACCAAAGCTCGTCAAAAGGTGCACGCGACCATGAACGCTACTGCTATCACACGTACGGAGTATCGTTCATTGCTGGGCTCTCTACGGCATGTAGCCACATGCGTTCGACCGGCTCGCACTTTTCTACAACGGCTTCGGGCGGCGGAGGTTGGACATCCCCGATCACACCGCGTTCCCGTTACAAGTCAAGTGATCGACGCCTTGATGTGGTGGGAATTGATTTTGCAGTCAGCCAGCTTGAACGGAGTGCCTCTTCAGTATTTCACCGACTCACAGGTACCGGACTGTACCGTATATGTCGACGCCTCAAACTACGGTCTGGCCGCTATCGACGTCTCGCGCTGTAAATATTTGACTTACGCGTTCACAGCGGAAGAACAAGATCTAATATCTCGATTCCAAGACGGAGATCCCAACGGGTTTGATATTAACTTTCGAGAACTGCTCAACCTCGCGTTCGCATTGTTTGCATGGGGCTCAGAATGGTCACACCCGCGGTCCTGTATACCTACGCACGTGCGCTTCCGAATCGATAATACTTCCGCAGTGGCTTGGCAATCAAGGTTTTCGAGTCGCAACCCACGGGCGCGGACGATATTGCGGCTCCTCGCACTCTGGGAAGTCACGTACAACCTCCACTTCTCCTCACAGCACGTCGCAGGCCGATCGATCAAGTTAGCGGACATGGGGTCCCGCATCACGCAAGATCCTGCGGTGGCTAACAGTTTCAGAAAACTAACTTCGTCTTGGACTGCAACACAGGTGCCAATCAACTCAGCGACGTTCAACAGCATTTGGCTCAGCATCTCCGCGAAAACTCATTTGCGCCCCCCACCTTAGCCAAGTACCGACGAGCTTTCGCAGAATGGACGGAATTGTGCGCTACGATTGGCATCGACCCTTACTGCGGCAGCGTTGGCCAGCAAACTTTCATCGACACCATTACACGATTTATTTTTCAAGCGTACGAACGCGGCTTACGCAGCAGCTCAATTTCGGGACTACTGCACGGCGTTCAACATTTTCTGAGTGCGGCCGGTGCTCCATCCGTATTCGGCCATGCTCAGATCCGCATGCTACTCAAGGGCATCCGTCGTCTTGATTCCCTTCCCAGCAGCAAAGCTCCAGTCACGCTCGACCTCCTGGAATCGTGCTACATGGCGCTAAATCAGACGTCTCCCCATGACCGCATGCTCTGGGGAGTCCTGTGCACGTCCTTCTTCTTCCTGCAGAGACGGTCGGAGATCGCGTCAAGCGGCAAGGCATTTCAGTGGTTCGCTCTCCGAGACGAAGATGTTGCCATCTTAGACGGCCAAGGCAATCCAACCATTCGACCAGACCAATCCGACAAGGTAGCAATCCGACTACGCGGCTCCAAGGCCAATCAGCACGGAAGCCCGACCAACCGGATACTCGCGAGATCAGGCCACCCGTATATCTGCCCCGTATTTGGCGCCCTGTGTTTGAAGCACTTCCGAGGACCTGCCCAGCCATCGACGCCCATAGCCCTCTTCGTGACCCCAGACGGTCAGCAGCACACAGTTTCGGCAGCCAGAATCAAGTTTGCGCTTCAGCATGCTGCCCACAGACTGGGCCTCCAGAGCAAGGACTACACCTCACACTCGCTACGAGCTGGCGGTGCGACTCAGATGTATCGACGCGGTATCAGCGCCCTCACTATCAGTTCCACGGACACTGGGTATCGGACGCGTTCAAGGTTTACAGAAGACTGAACGACGACGTCGCCACAACGATTGCCAGCACCATGACCAGCGGCTCGCAACATTGACGATGTATCGGGTGACACGCAGTGCAAGAAGCCCAATTGGGGGTTCCGCTATAGCGGGACCTTCTATTGCACTTGCCTGTCACTCAATACAGCTAATATGTTTGCCTCCATGCTTGTCGAGCAAAGTGTGGAGTGCGGGAAGTTGGTCTTGCCCGGCTTGTAGTGCACAACGAAGTTGTACTCGGAGAACAGGGACAACCAGCGCGCCATGCGCTGGGACAAGTGGGGGCTCTTCGTCGCTGTCCTCAACGACGCGTGATGGTGTAGATCGCGAAGGTCTGCTCGCCGAGGAGATACACGCGGAACTTGATGAGGGCGTAGGGCATGGCCAGCAGCTTCTTATCATGGACCGGATAATTCCGTTCCGCCGGCTTCAGCTGACGCGACTGGTAGCTAATGACCCGCTCGCGTCCTTCGTCATCGAACTGCATCAAGGCGCATCCGACCGCGAAGTCGCTCGCGTCGCACTCGACGTGGAAGGGCTTCGAGTGGTCTGGGAGAAAGAGCACGGGCGCGGTCGACAAGCTCGACTTCACCGCGTCGAAGGCAGCTTGGCGCTCGGGACGCCACGACCACGTGACGTCTGCCTTGAGTAGTTGAGATAGCGGGCGGGTCGTCGAAGCGAAGTTCTTCGAGTAATGGTGAAGATACGTGGCGAGCCCCAGCCACTGTCGGAGCTGCTTCTGATCCTGCGGCGTCGGCCACGCGCAGATGGCCTCGATCTTCTCGGGGTCGGCGCGGACACCGTCCTTGCTGACGTAGCTCCCGAGCACAGGGATCTCGGGAGCGCAGAAGATGCACTTCTTCAAGTTGGCGAACAGCTTGTTCTCCTTCATCACCTCGAGCACCTTGCGTAGGTCTGTCATGCCGTCCTCGGCACGACTGTGAATGAAGATGTCGTCGAAGTAGTTGGGCGCGAAGTCTCGGTACGGCCGAAGCAAGTTGGACACCATCCGGTTGAAGGTAGCGGGGGCGTTCTTGAGCCCCTGCGGCATCACGAGCCATTCCCACAACATCCCGCTGGGCGTGCTGACCGCTGTCAGCGGCACATCGTCTTCGCGCATCAAGATCTGATAGAAGTCATCCATCAGATCAATGGCACTGTACTTCGTGCTGCCAGACATGGTGTCCAGCACCATGTCCTTCCTCGGGATCGTCGTTTGCGCCGGTATGGTGGCCTCGTTGAGCTTGTTGAAGGCGTGGACGATTCTCCAGCCGCCGGTGGCTTTCTTCACGCAGAACGTCGGACTGGAGTGCGGCGACAGACTCTCGCGAACGTGGCCGGCTTGCCGGTGACTCTCGAAGAAGGCGTCAATGGCTTTGATTTGGTCGCGAGGAAGCGGCCACTGCCGCGTCACGCAGTACTTCGCACCGGGCACGAGGTCAATCTCGTGCCGAACACCGCGGTCGGGTGGAAGAACGGCTGGAACTTTGTCCGGGAAAATCTCCATGAACTCGTGCACGAGCGGAGCGACTGGGTTGCCGGCCGCTTCGAGCGCCGGCAACGACTTAGCTGCGTAGCGGGCTTGACGGGCGTTCTTCGGCTCGGCTCCTTTTAGGCGCGTCCTGGCGTCGGAAGCTGGGTCCGACTAGTTTCCACGAGAGCCCAGGCAGCCGAGTGATCTCGGCGGCGTCGACGTCGCGTATACACGGAGCCACCTCCGCGTCGTCCCCCACCAACACTGAGATCACTTCAGCCTCAGCCTCAACCGAGTCCACCGATGGCGTACGAGGACGGCGCGGGTTGCGACGTCCGCGATGGCGAACCGGACGTGGAGTGTTATCCGAAGCTGCCGATGAGAGCCCATGCTCGATCACGGCCGCTGAACTGGGGCGCCGGGATACAACGTCGGCGACTGGACGCGGGTCATTGGACATGATCGCGTCGGCTTCATCAGGGAGCTCCCGCTCGACCACTCGCGGGAACCCATGCTCGACCGCGTGTGGGAGGCCACGCTCAACCACATCTTCTCGCTCTTCAACGTTGGAGAGCTGCTGCTCGTCCTGACGTGGCTCGACCACGTCATTGTCTGCTTCCGAGAACCGCTGCTCATCGGGACGTGGGAACCCATGCTCGACCACGTCAGACACGTTCTGAGGCTCCTGCTCAGGACCGGCGCAGGTTGCGAGTTCGCACGCCGAACACGAAGGGTCATCGCTCGCTTCGTGCGCAGCATGGGTCATGGTGTCGGGGTCCATGACGGCAACATGCGGCCACTGGTTAGGCGTTCCGCACAGGAACGCCAATACTGCATTCGGATCGACGTATCGGGGGCGGACTGTGCCAGTTAGCCAGTTGATCTCAGGCTGGTGGGGAGCGAGCCACGGGATGCCGAAGACACAGTCGAACGAGCCGCTCAGCTCGATCACCAAGAACTCCTCGGAACTGTGGAACCCGTCGAACTCGAACGCGAAGGTCGCCGAGCGCCGCGGCGTCCGCCGCGGCTTCCCCTCAGCGTACTTCACGATCATGTCGCCAGGCCCGTCGCGAATGTTCATGTCCCCCCGGTAACACCGACAAGTTCTCGGCGCAAACGAAGTTGTTTGTCGCGCCCGAGTCCAGCAGCGCGCGAAGAGGGCGCGTCGCGCCGTCAACGTGGAGGCTGATCACAATCAGTCTCGTGTCACTGCCGGAGGTGGTGGTGGCAAAGAGTTGTGCATGAAGCACGGGAGGGCTAGGAGGAGATTTTGCCACCAGAGAACCATCGCTCCTTCCACGACCAGTAGGGCGCCCCGCACCTACTGGTTGTCGCCGTTTTTTGGAGCGGCGACGTCGTTCGCGACCGTGACGTTCGCCTGCATCAGCGCCGGAGCGCGGCAAATAGCCGCGCGATGTCCAGGTTTCCCACAGCGGTAGCAGCGCATCGGGCGGGGACTGCGCGATGGCGAGGCGTTGGCGACCTTGCAGATGACGTCGGCACCCGACGTCCACCGAACTGTTGAATCGCATCCACCTCCATCGGCTCCGGCTCAGCCACCGGAGCCCGAGTCACATCGAAAGACTGCGACGCCGTCACGCTGTAGTCTTCACGGAGCGCAACAGCGAAGGCCTCTTCGAGTGTCGGTGGGGTCTTCCGGGTCAGGTAAAAGCGCTGGTAGCCAGCGCTCATGCCAGAGATGAAGACTTGGACTTGGGTCGCCATGTCTACGGGCGCGACACAAGGTATCGTGCGCGCTGGATGTACTCGAGCATGGACATACGTCCTTGCTTCAACGCCAGGAAGGCGGAGCGCTGAACGCTTTCATCTTGGGGCGGTTCGAACGCGAGCCGCAAGTCCGCCTTCATCGATGCCATGGTCGGGAAGCAGGAAGCGTCGGCCACGAGCTTGCCGAGCGCCCACTCCTTCGCCTTCCCCGCCAGTTTGGACAGGAGAAAGCGCGTGCGCGCGAGCTCGGTAGACAGCTGCCGAGCTTCGATCGCGATGTCCACCTCGCAGAACCAGCGGTTCAGATGAAGGCGGCCCTCGCCTTCACCGCTGTACGTGGAGACATCGAGCTTCACGATGTCGGACTTGTTCTTGGTCTGCGTGGGAGTCGACACTCGCTGACCTCCGTCAGCGAGTTCACGCGCCATGAACTCCTGGGCGGCCAGGCGTTGTTGCTCCTCGGTTCCCGCCGTCAGCAGTGTCTTGATCACAGCGTCACCAGACACCGCTGCGAGGCGGTGTAGCGCCTCCCACTCGATCGCCGACAGGTGAGGAAAGCTGGCGTGCTCCAGTAAAGTGGCAGTCGCCCGGGACGCGTCAGGCATCAACGTGTCGTTCATGTTCATCCCGATCTGGGGCGTTGGACGGACTAGCGAAGTGCTACCAGGTGTAACGGGCTAACCGCAGCCCGTTACGTGCTTACACGAGCAGAGGAAGTAATAGGCAAATTGAACTCTGATTGATTGATTGACACGGCGAAACCGTGCCCACTTAAACCTATGCTGAGTGTTGATTGGCTATCGTGTGAGCACGAAGGCGACTGTGTGACGAGAGCATCATGATATTTTATATAAGAACACGAACAGTTATTATATGTTAAGTCGGGGAAAAGCGAATTCCACATTTTGATTGTCGCTGGGGCATATACATGTAGCCCAATACAAAATGTAAATGTATACCTACAAACTGAATAACAGAGAACTATGGTAGGATGATAAACTGAGCAACAAATATGTACATTTACGTGAGCACACTAAAGACAGCAACACCAGATCGATCTACCCTGCCATGATATATTGTTAATGTTTATTTCTACTACATTCACAATAAACACGGATTGTTATATATGCACCGTGCGAGTACTTTGCAGTTCGAGTTAAATAGTTGGTACAAGTTGGACACGGCTTTCCCACCGTACAATAGAGACTATTTTACCCTGCAACATCCATCTACTCATAGTAACGCTGGCATGGGAATAGATATTTTGGCTGATACCTTCCACGGAACCATACTAAGGATACACTAAACATAAAAACACTTTTTTACACGCACACAATCAGAAATAAATGTCATTTGAGCTGATAAAAGCCAACCAGAGCGAAGCGGAGGTGGGCGGTCCTATCTACTGCAACCAACCACAAAACTACCGCCGCGTAGCGGCGGCGCTCGGCTTCTTCTACAACAACTAATAGAGAAATTTGCCCGTCTGCGTGTCAGTCCGTGTGAAGCCCGTTGTCCACTTTATAGGTGGTCCACATAATCGTACATTGACAGCCTTGGACGCCGAAGGCGGCCCCATTACAAGCTGCCGAGCGCAGCGAAGGCGGCACTCGCGTACGTTCTAGCGGGCCGCAGGGCCCGCCCCACAACTATGTACTAATAACACGGCGAGTAGTGCAGCGAGCCGACGAGGCGAGCGGAACGGGGGCGATTACCCCCCCCCCCCCCCCCGTGACGCATGGGCTAATATAATGCTTTTCGGAACACCTGCTATTAATTAAAATGGGCCCACCGCGTAGTAGCAGCGATAGCAGAGTCCGCTTAAACATATGATAGGACTGCGAGTACTTCTCTGGCATCGACAATTCAATTTAACCTCAGTTTTTGCGATCCCACCTGATTGGTTAAATATATGATTTCAACCATATGATTGGGTATAAAGTTTGATTAGAGAGCAAGCTCACGAAATTGCTTAGAAAAACCTCAAAATCTAGACGAATGCCACGCCTTCCGCACGCGTCCTACGACAGCGAAAATGCACAGCACTGTTTCGACAGTTAACCAACCCTTCCCATGATACCATTTTGGTGTAATATCGCCATACATTGTAGCCACTTCGCAAAAAAAAACTAATGTTACCCAAAATCGGGCTTACAAAATTTGTTCTGTTTCCCATATTCCTGCTGTTTTTGAGCAGCCAATAGTATAACGCGAAACCACCAAATCTCAGCTTTCTTTTGAGCTATTTTCTGTCTCCGACATATTTTTTTTTGATTTTTTTAGAGCTGAAAAATAGAAATGTTGATTTTTAGGTGGGCCAGAGAAGTAGTGCCTGGGGCGGACCCAGAACCAAAATCTGAGGGGGGGGGGGCGGGCCAAAAACAGGGGGGTAAGTCTATATGCGGCTCAAAAATAGGGGAGTACGTCGATCAGATAGCTCAGAAATAGGGGGATAAGTGTGATGTCTATGACCAGCTTCGTCAGCTCGTAGAAAAACGTGCCCATAGCGGCCGCATCGACCTCATTGCGAGCGCGCGAAAGCGGCTCCGACGCACGCGAAGACAGCTCGGGATGGCGGTCGACGAAGCGGTTGTACCAGCCAGTAGTAAGGTCCTTGACGGAGCGCAGATTCCCGTGGATCTCGTTAGCAGCCTCGAGAACTTCCCATGGCCACACGGGGACCAGACGACGCTGCATTGCATCGATCCATGTCACTAGATCGGCTTCACACCCGGGAGGCAGTAGGGGGGGGGCAGGTCCGGGCCGTTGGCGCTCAAAAGGTCGAACTTCGATGCGCGCGGCGACTTTGCGCTTTAGTGTTGACAACGACACTGGTGACGAGTCGGCCACGGCTGCGAGCATCTCTCCTGCGTGGACGCGGTCGATAGCTTCTTCTAGCTGCTTGTCTGTGAAGGCCGCCTTCATCTTACGCTCGACTCGAGGGGGCTGGATATCTGACGGGATCAGCGTAAGGAAAAGTGAGGGCCAAGATCTGGTTAAAAACTATTGAGCCAATCAGAGCAATATTAGTCCAAATAAGAAGATTGGATTGGATAATAGTCGCTTTAGTCCATGAACTGGTCAGAGGTTATGAATTGGTAAACCACGTTAGAAGGCGATAGCACCGACGTAATAAGCGATAGCAGTGCGAACATGTAGCGAGAGGTACAGTAGCTGAAGACGATTGAATAATAGTTTCAGGTTAGTTTTTGTGTAATACTTAAGTACTTTAGGGACGGATATATTATAGCTGCAGCGGTGCTGAGTGCTCATCTATAAAAGCATATAGCTACATTGGCTTAAACGTGTGGCATGTATCTGTAACTTATAGTATTTAGCGGTAAGATAATGGGTTCTGGGGATAGTAGATGCCTAGACATGCATTGGAGTGGAGATTTTATTGTAGTTCATACTGGCATTCCATTGACGCGTTTCCCCACACTCTAACAATACGGATGAGCCGTGCAATACCTGTATATTAACGAATTAGCATTGCATGCTATATGAATTTTGAACGCGACGGCGATACTTTCGCTACTCAACTATAGGTAGTACGCAAAAGTGTTAATGTGCATTACGTAGTAGAGTAATTTACTGATACGCACGTCTTAGCTCATTAAAAATGAGATTGGAAGCGGGATACGTCGAAATTAACGCAGCCCACAGCTCATTACATTCTTAGGGCCGTAGAAAATGCTGAAACGATGCAGCACGATATATACACTTTTTTTTAAGAAAACTAACTCGAAACGTAATGCTGAGAACATGAATAGCGAAGCCATCACTTTGGACTTATCGCCTGATCACAGAATGTAAATGCTATAGCCTACCAACCGTAAAGAGAAAGAAACTATAGTTATGCGATAACATGATAAAATAACAGGTATACAGACTTCAAAGTGAGCACACTGTAGATAGCAACACTGTATTGATCTACCCCACCACGACATGTAGCTCATGCCAAAGTTTAATTCTACCACATGTACAACACACAGATTACTTAAGGTATGTACTCCGCGGGGACTTTGTAATCGGATTAAGTAGTTGCACCTGTTTGGACCCGGTTTACAACAGGGTACCGTACGATAGATCGAATGTTTTACCTTACTACACCATTTTTCAGGCAAAATGGTCGCTTTCTCAACCAAAGTGGTGCGAGAAGGTCTCGCGCAACATAATACTGCGACGAAAAAGGGCATTTTTCAACCAAAGTGGTTTACAGCTGTTTATTTCTCAAGCAAAATGGTTTGCCCAACCATATGCGGCTAAAACAGACCATGGTTGGGAAACCAACCAGTCTGCCTGGGAAATGGTGTACATTCATCTACTCTGACGTAGGGATTAAGCTGATTTCAGTCACGTCACACTACTCAACGTAAATAAACATTTGTTTTTACGTGCCCACAAGCAAAATTTAATAACCTTTAAACTAAATAAAAGCCCACCGGAGCGAAGCGGAGGTGGACGGCCCTTACTACTACAACTAACCACAAAACTACCGCCGCGTAGCGGCGGCGCTCGGCTAGTCCTCAACATCAGAAAGAGCAACGCGCTGTCCGGGATATTTATCAAAACCCCAAACAAACAGGTCAAAACCCCACACAATAAGGATAAGGTGCATTCATTGGCTAAAACACTTCATTCAGGTTGTGCTGAGGCATCGTGTGTGTGACAGAGTGCTACGTCCTGCGGGTGCTTCGCCCTGTGAGTGCTGAAGTGTAGCGCCCTGTGTGTTGCGAGCGCTGCGTCCATCGAGTGCTGGAGAGCTGGACGGCTGCATCCCGTGAGTGGTGGAGAGCAGCGACGTGCGAGTGGTGATATGCAGCATCCTGCGAGAGATGAAGTGCAGTGCCTGTGCATCGTAGAGTGCAGCGTCTTGCGAGTGGTGCAACGTCCTGTGAGTGGTGGAGTGCAGCGTCCGGAGCGTCCACTGTGACACAAGCGTCGCTTCATGTGTGCGTGCGAGTGCTGCGTCCTGTGGATGACCATATACAGTCTTGTGTGTGTGCTAAAGTTGTATTATCGCTGACCGTGCAGCATTATCAGCACCCGTAGCGATCCTACCGCAACGAGATGAAGGCGCCACTGTCCCGAGACTTTGAGGAACACGTCGAGTGCACTGGATGACGGCCTACAGAAGCACCGCGTGGTGGTGAAGGCAGAGAGGTAACGATGGTTCGCTATGCACAATGACTAACTGTTGCTGTTTGGTTTTCGCTGTCACATGATACAATTGCAGTGCGATCGAATAAAAGGAGAAGCGAAGAGAAATTGTCAATGCTATGCAATAGATTTTCGCGTCAATAATACAAACGTGTAAGTGATCTAAGATGAGTTCAGGGTGCAATTATACTAAGCTTACGCTATAAAATGCAGCTGCAGTAAAGGTGGTCGATCTCTAGCTCGACAAACGGACTCCGCCCGACAGTGTACACCCCCGGAGAAATTGGAATTCCGTCCAGCTCTACGCCCACGTTAATCCCGGGGGAAGTAACTGCGTTGTGTCCAGTCTGGTTGGAGGTAGTGCAGTGATATGGTCGTCGTTTCTTTGGTATAGCTCCGGTTAGTAGACTTCCGAAGGCGTTCATAACCTCGTCATGAACACGATCTTCTTCTTGAACTGAAGGTTGCTCCTCCTCACGCTCCTCCGAGGGAAGATCACTGCGCTGCTGCTTCTTTGAAGTCTGCCGCTCGCCCTTACTTCGCTGACGCTTGTTCTGCCCCGATCGATCCTTCTTCTTTTTGGTGGACGCTTTTGTTTGGCCGGCCTGGCGATATTGGAGAGGATCTTTTGTGTCATCTAGAGTCACCAAGTCTACCACAAGTGGCAGCGTAATCGTTACGTCCTCAAATGCACGAGAGAAGGAGGGTGTGAGGTAAGCTGGGTGAAAAAGATCCTCCAGGGTTGCTTTTGTAATCGGATGATCTCGGCGGCGTTTGAACAGTACAGCGAGTATACGACGACAGGGGATTTGGCATTGCTCACGGATGTGGCATCGCCTGCAAGTGCCCTCAGCCAGATTGACCTCGTGTCGCCGCGTGTAAGCGTTGTTCTTGGCATCCAACTTGCTCTCATCGACGTAGAAACTTGAGTTTGAACTTTCTAGTACCGACATTTTGGCCACAGATCTAACCTCTTCGTCGATAGCAGTCTTTCCACGAGGGGTCAAATTGAACGGTACATCAAGCCATTCTTTGGCTGTTTTAGCGTTTTGTCGACAGACCTTCATGCAACATTCGCAGCAACGAAGTACGGCAGAGGGAGCTCCTTCGATCCGAGCATTGTTCCATTGCAGCGCGTTATTTTCTCCCTCGTTCGCGCTGGTAGTTCTTGTACCGTACAAAGGCAAAGGGTCCCCGTAAGAGGGTACGCCCAGCCATCTCTCTCGAATTGCTGCAGCCTCCGCATCTGAGTGCACGTAGTTTCCGAATCGCGTCCATGCTGTCGGGTGGATACTTTCCAGGTAGTCAGCAACACTTTCTTCCCTGTCGGTTCCAGGATGGAGGTGGGTTGGATATTGTTCACGAATTTCAGCAAGGGTACGATCGTATCCAGCAAGACTGCTACACGCTTGTAACTTGTAGATCAGTGGACACCCCTCGCAGATCGAAGGCTCGACCGACTTAAACCTGTCTATAGTGTTAAACTCGATGTGAAGCGAGCAAAACTTTAAATGAACAGGAATTCCAAGTCTTCACAAGAGTTGTTGAGCCTCCAGTCATAGTCACCAACAATATAACATTATATACCAAATGTACCATGCCAAGTTAGAATCAGGAAATAAAATACGTGTATAGAGTCATAGACAAAAAAAATAAGAAGCTGGTACTTACATCACCCTGGCTCAGAGGTACGCGTAGGGTAGGACCGAACAAAAGGCAATGCACAATGATGAGAGCCCATATAAAGTTTGACTAAGAGGGAGGAGACATAGCTCATTTCCCGCAACAAAACCCCTCGAACCTTCGTGCATTGACACCGTGGCTGGCCATAAACTGTCTGTTGTGCCGATGCTTTCTCAAAACGCAATATATCCAGCACAGCAAACCGTGAGCTTCCGCGCAGCATAGTGTCAAACGCTACCGCACTTTGCATGCTAGCATCTATGAACTGCCGCAACCTCGTCTTGCACATTCCAAGAGTCACCGTTCGTTCTTATACTGCTGATGGAGGTCAACCCGCGCATTGCCGCACGTAGCTGGTCCGGCCGGGTGTGGGCAAACTGACTGGTCGTCATGGTCTAGCCCGACGGGGGCGGTCATTAGCCGTCGCCGAGGGAGTCTTGCTCCGAAGCGCCTGAATTCGTAGCATCATCATCGCGCGTCCAACAAAATCAAAATTGTTGCGGGGTACGTGGGTACGTGGGTACGAGGACGGGTTGGGGGGGGTTACATGACACACATAGTCTGTCATTTGCGGTCGCCTCATGTGGCGAAGCGGCTCCGCGAAATTCGAAGATCGAACTACGTGTTTAGGAAGACCTCAAAATTGTTTGTGCGAACGAACGGCGTGCAGCCAACGCAGATGCGGCACTGCCTTCTCCTTCACGGAGTTGTTATCGTAGGCTAGCTTTGCATGTTTTTACGTCTTTCGTGGCACACGGGTGCTTCGAGTTGTTGAAACAGAGATTTCCAATAGTAGGCGGCCAGGCTCTGACAGGGCGCGCCGCAGGCTAGGGTGCTGCGCCATCGGTAGTTCGTGTTTTCCTCGAGCACAAGCAACTCGTTGTATGAGTTGGTAGCGGAACGAAGTAGCATCTACTCGGTGGGTTGAAAGTTCGAGTCGAGGATGGCAGCCGACATGCGAGCGACACTGGTACAGCTTTCCCAACACAAAGAGAGATAGGTATCGAGTGTGATACGTGTAGACGAAAATGTTGAAGCTGTGAAGAGCTTGTTCAGCGTCACATAACGTGTCGTAATATGCGATGTGGTGTACGTGAGCTTGGCAACGACAGGTAAAAGGACGGGTAGAGCAGTATCGTCGGCATCAACTCCGAACTAGAGGTAGAAATCTAATTCTTTGCCAGTTTCGGGCCCGGCGAAGCCGACGGCGGCATGAAAGTTGCTGGTGTTGGGGGAGGTGGCGCGCTGAGAGGGACGGCATCTCAGGTAAGGGGCGGGTAGTACTCATCACTGCTCCTACTTGCTGGCACGGTCTCCACGCTCTCAGCGCTGCTGTCGGTTCCATCATCGGTTCTGTTACTCTCGTCTGAGTACTCCAGCACTTCGGTAGTGTCGCTGTCGTCGATCGACGATTCGAGATCGGGTACCTTAGTTGTCGGCAAGTTCGGATGTGTGTTGAGGTTAGAAGCGCAACGTGGGAGACCGCACGTGATGTCCGGGGCGATCTGGCCCTCTAACTGTTCCTAAGCACCTACAAATAAAATGACACTGCCTTGATTCAGGTTGTTATTGCAAGGTGTTTTTTTCTTAATTCTTGTTGTAGAATTATCGTTGTAGAAGGTTTGAATGAAGCACAGAAGGTTATCGCACCACCAGCTAGAAGGGCACTAGAACCGCAGCATAATACCTTAGCGAGTTATAACAACATAGTGTCTGTGGATTAACGCAACCGAGTTATGATAACACGGACGTTACTGTCCATAATGCACTTGACTGCATTTTAGCCAATGAATGCACCTTATCCTTATTGTGTGGGGTTTTGATACAGTCAAACCTGTTTATATGAGGCCCTGTTGGTGACCATCTACGACAATGACTCATATAAAATGGACTCAGTTAAAAAAAATATGTGGTGCACGTAAAGAAATCGTGCATAGTTCGCTGCCGCTTTGCCTTCACCGTAGTCTCGAACCAAAGCGGTCACGGTTTGTAAAGTTCTTCGTTCTCTGTCAGTCTGCTCTCCGCATTGCAGCAGAAATGCAGCCAGCTCCATGCAGTATCTCAGAGCAATGGCAGGTTGAACTGCGGGTTCCTGTTCCTCCTCTTCCTCCTGCTCGTCCTGCGAAACTGCATCACTTCCTGCCGCTTCGTCCACTAGCACATCTGGCTCGTGCACAGGAACGTCTTCGTCCACTGCCAGATACTCACTAGCGCTAACAGCGCCCTCCCACCTCGATAGGATCGCCGTTAACTCCTCCATCTCGTCGCTGGATACCTCCTCAATGTAATCCGTGTCAGCACGGGTCCTTCCTAGCATCTTTTCTCCCAAAATGCGAGTCTTGACCCAGCAATTTGTAATTGTCGTTGGCGTCACACCCGCCCAAGCATCAATGGAGAATTGGACAGCTTCCAGTACGTTGAGCTTGCGTGTAATGTTAGTTTCAAGTGCATCCAAACACCACCGCACAAAATACTTTCGGTACCGAGCCTTGAACGACCGGATAATACCTGAATAAAAAAAACACCGTAATAGAGTTGGTTAGTTTAGGCTACACCACAATATACATAAAATATTTACCTGCATCCAGCGGCTGTACGGCGGATGTCATGTTAGGAGGGAGGAAGTGAACAGTCACATGAGTCAGGTTTCGTAGAATCTTGTGGCATGAAGCATTGTCGACTAGAAGTAGGACCTTGCGATTGGCGGCCGCCATTCTCATGTTGAAGAGGTGCAGCCATTCGTCAAAAATGACGGATGTCATCCAGGCGTTCTTGGAGGACTTGTACAATATAGGTTTACCTTTAATCCCCGCTCCCTTTCTAAAGCACCTCGGGTTCTTGGCCGTACCGATGACTATTGGGTCGAGCGTGTCGGAGCCAGTCGCGTTGCAGCAGAAGGCCAAAGTCAAACGTTGCTTCTCCTTTTTCTTGCCCTTGCGAATAGTCGTAGCTAGCGTTCGATTAGGCGCTAAGCGATAGAAAAGCGCCGTTTTGTCGAAGTTGAACACATTCTCGGGTGTAAACTGCGCCACCAACTCTTGTAGCTCTAGCCTCGCATCTCGCACTTCATCAGCTTCTACAGCGCCACCTTCGCCGTGTAGCGTATGGGAGCGGATCCCATTGCGCTTCTTAAAGCTTTGAAGCCAGCCGTTGCTTAGCCGGAGCTGCGTGGCATCGATGCCTAAGCGCTCCGCCAGCTCATGCGCCTTCAGCAGGAGCACGTCGTCCGCCATCGCCGTTTTAGCTTCGTTCTGAAAGAAAAATTCCCTCAGTTCCCGCTCGAACTGAGGGAATTTCACTCGGCGCCGCTTGGTCGCACTCAGGTCGACGTGGCTGAAGTAGGAAGAAGGCAGGTTGCGCAGTCGGGCGAGTGTGGCACGGCTGACCCGGGCCTTGAAAGTTGCGTAGATCCACTCGGCGAGCATGGGGTTGTTCATGCCAGGATTCTGCTTGAGCTTTAGGTGCACTTGGAGCTTTTGTTCTAGCGTCAGACAGGTGCGAGGAGACATGGCGAGCGAAGAAGGCTTGCGGTAGGCGTTGAGTGTTGAGCAGTTGCTTTGAAGAGTGTGTGGCCGTGAGTAGTGTGAATCAAATAAACAGGTGAGACCTAATTTGGTCCCCAAAAATGTGACTCATATACCTTGTATGCATATAAACAGAGTTCATACAAAAACTAAGTGAAATATTTGGTAGCGACAAAGCCTGCATCAAATAAACGGCATGGCTCAAATAGAGAGGATCATTTAAACAGGTTTGACTGTATATGCTGACCTGTTTGTTTGGGGTTTTGATAAATATCCCGCTGTCCGTGCGTAGATCACACTTATTCACTAAGTACGAATTCTACTAATTCTGATTTGCTGCCGAGCGCAGCGAAGGCGGCCCCCGGTCACCTCGTAGTGCGTTGCGGGCCCCCAACAGGGCCCGCCTACACTACATAACTAACCTAGCTCGGGTCCGCCATTACCGTAGTGAAGCGTAGGCAGCCTTCTCCAATGGCGGAGCGAGCACAGCGAGCGAGCGCCAGCACCAACTAACCAAAAACTTCCGAGCGCCTGTGCCAACTATCTAAAATTTACTGCCGCTTAGCGGCAGCAAAAACTACACAAACTTGATATTTGCTAAAATTATTCCTAGATGATCGGTTTACCTTCCTGAGGTCGTGGTGAGGCGGCGGTTTGAGGAGATGCGGTTGCAGAGGTTAATTGGGAGTTCTATTAGGGGGGTGACTTAGGGGGTTCCAGGGGATGTAGTGATACGTGGCTTTTGTAGCGGAATCGCTCCGGGCGAGACTCGAACCCTCAGTGGAACGCTTGATCTTCGTGGGCCTTACCCACAGGGACACTAGGAGCCCCTAATCCGGTGGTCAGCTAAAGATCCATCTTCCGTATCACGCTGCCGGGTATACAATTATATACAGAAGTGTAGCTGCTACACTGTAGTGACAACGCACTATCCAACTTGCCTTGTGCGTATCAAGCGCTCAACTAACCACGGCGCTGTAATCAAGGATGGTCAAGTTCTTCGCGGCAATCGCAACCATCCTGATTGGGGCTGCAACAGCTACGTCTGTACCCGACGGCACATGGCCCGCCAGCTCTGGAGCGGTCAAGTTCACCAAGCCTCGCATCATCAAGGCCGGCGAGGTCTTCGACGGCAAGATGCAGACGTTCGAGCGCTCCGACATCACGTGCACCGACGGTGAGGGCCAGAAGGACTCCGCCGTGTTCCTCGTCGAGGCCGGCGGCACCCTCAAGAACGCCATCATCGGCAAGAACCAGAAGGAGGGCGTCCACTGCGACGACCACGACTGCACCATCGAGAACGTCTGGTGGGACGACGTGTGCGAGGACGCGCTGAGCATCAAGGGCGGCACTGCTTCCAGTGTGACCACCGTGACCAACTGCGGCGCGCGCTACGCCTCGGACAAGGTGGTGCAGCACAACGGCTACGGCACCGTCAAGATCAACGGCTTCTTCGCGCAGGAGTTCGGCAAGCTCTACCGCTCGTGCGGCACGTGCGGAGACATCCCTCGCACTGTGACGGTGGAGAACGTGTACGCCATCGACCCGCTCGTGAGTCTCGTGACGGTGAACAAGAACTACGGCGACAAGGCGACGTTGAAGAACATTTAAGTATGTGAAGACAACCGATGGCAGCAACGACGTGAAGGTGTGTCAATGGTCGCAGGGCAGCAAGACACAGTCGAACCTGGGCGATGGTCCGTCGGGCACGCTCTGCCAGTACTCGAAGAGCGATATCCACATCAACGAGCAGTAGACAGGTTGCTTTCTAGATTTTGGTGTTAGCTTCATATTAGATCGATTTGCGTAGTTCTTTTGCGCTTTTGTCGTAGCTTTGTTTTATTGCCTTTTCAATAGAAATGTCGACCGCTAGTTTTAGGAAAGGGGTGCAAGGAGCATGTTAGGAATACACGGCTTGCGAATCATTCTAGAGGTGTCTGTCTGAAGGACTGCAGTGACTGGTTCATCGCGAATAGTACTCATCTATCAACCCAAATATAATTTATTATATGTCGGATTGAATTATTGCTTATCGTGGATATTATCCTCCCCGGGCCCCGTTTGACGTCCCTTGTCAACCGACTGCCGCTGCCAAATACGAAGCTGCGCGTCGGAAAGCGCGGAAGGAGCGGAAACGTCGACGATCGAGGCTGAGCATCACTCACTCAACCAACAACCAGGAGATGATAACTGGCGGTACTCACAACGAAAGTTATTAATCTGATGGTGAAGCAGTTCAATGATCTCACTTCGCCACAAAAGCTACACATCCACCTTCAGAAAACTTTACACACAACATTTTGAGGCTTCTGCTGCAACATCCACAACGAATGGAGAACGACGCGAGCTCATCTATCCATTTGTTGCCACGGATCGCAGGCATATCGGATTCCTCTACAACGGAGAAGGTCGCCGGAAAAATGGGATCAGATAGTCATCGCTTCCCCAAAAGAAAGTAGCGAACAAATGGGTTTGAGGTAGCGCCTTGAAACCATCCGGCCTCGTCCTTCTACGCTGAAATAAATCCGCTTTGCTGTCCGTCCACAGGTGACTGAAGTGATGATCTTTCGGTGAAGTTGATCGGTAGAGTACCAACCAAGGCTGAAATCAGGAGCCTCACCGCTCACTTTTCAATCCGCCGTCTCGCGATGAAGTTCCTCTCCTCCGTCGTCGCCCTCGCCGCCCTCGCCGCCTTCAGCTGCTTCACCTCTAACTCGGTTGAAGCCCATTCGTGGCTCGTGAAGCCGGTATCCCGGGAGACTGGGCCTCGCACGACCGACGGCACTGTGGGCTGCCCCAATACGACACCCGGCACGGTAACCTCGTTCTCTCCTGGCGAGACCATCGACGTCCGCTACTGGCGCAACAACCACCTCGGCGGATTCATCCGCTGGGCCATCTCGCCGGTGGGCAGCGAGTCCGCCTCCGACTTCGACGACAACGTCTTCTTCTACACGTGCCGCGAGTCTGGACCAGACTGCGTGGCTGCCGATGGCTCGACGAGTCGATATGCTGGAGACAATAGCAACGCCAACTCCATTTCCTGCGGTGACACGATCACTCTGCCCGATTGGCTCGACGAGGGCGACTACGTGCTCCAATGGGTCTGGTTTGCGGTGGGCTCCAGCTACGGCAACATTGGCTGGGCCGAGCCGCAGTTCGTGTCGTGTGCTGACATCACACTAACGTCGACGGGCTCGGGCAGAGAGCCCGAGTGCCCGACCTTCGTGGGGGGAGATCGAGTGACCAAGAACGAGGACTTGGGCAACGACGAGTGCTTCTACTTCTACACCAACTCGATCGAGTCGACGCAGTTCAAGGGGAGCAACGACAACTACGAGCAGTACTATGTCTTCGGCAAACCCTCTTACGTTGAGAACTGCAGTGGGAGTTCCAATGGGGCGGGGAACTCTACGATGGCAACTGAGACTCCGTCCACCACCATTCCAGCTGAAATCCCTCAGACGGACACTCCTACGACTGAGTACCCCACGAACACCCCCTCCACTGAGAACAGTGTGGCGGGTGACGCTAGTGCGCCTCCAACTGAAGACTACCCCGCTGGAACTGTCACGCCTGGAGGCTGCAAGAGCAAGAAGAGCAGATCGGTTCGCAGTTGAGGAAGTGTCGAGTAAGTACGCGTAGAAGCAGCGTAGTTTGTACTTGTCGACGTGTTTGTCATCTCGTATCCTTCCAGCAGTTTTCACACGCACAAAATAAACAATCGGTATCCGTCCGAGTAGTAACCCGTTTGCCAACACCTCCCTTCACTCTACATTCACATCCACAAGTCTGAAGAGTACAGCGATCACGTGCATATTACAAACCCAAATGCCATCGATTCGGAACCGCGGCTGATACCTCGACTCAAAGGGCAACAAAGACAAAAATACTTGGAGTGCCTCCATCACACCAGATTTGAGTTTCATGATCACACATCTATTCGGTCTAACCCCCTCCTAGTGAACTACCCACACACAACAACATTAATACTCTCAGGTGCGCTACGATTCGCACTTCTGCCTACCATTTACTTCTCGTTGATGTGGACGTCACTCTCCGTGTACTGGCAGAGCGTGCCCGACGGTCCGTCGCCCAGGTTGGACGGCGTCTTGCTGCCCTGCGACCACTGGCACACCTTGACGTCGCCCTTGCCGTCTGTCGTCTTGACATAAATGTTCTTGAGCGTGGCCTGGTCGTTGTAGTTCTTGTTCACCGTCACAAGACTCACGAGCGGGTCGATGGCGTACACGTTCTCCACCGTCACAGTGCGAGGGATGTCTCCGCACGTGCCGCACGAGCGGTAGAGCTTGCCGAACTCCTGCGCGAAGAAGCCGTTGATCTTGACGGTGCCGTAGCCGTTGTGCTGCACCACCTTGTCCGAGGCGTAGCGCGCGCCGCAGTTGGTCACGGTGGTCACACTGGAAGCAGTGCCGCCCTTGATGCTCAGCGCGTCCTCGCACACGTCGTCCCACCAGACGTTCTCGATGGTGCAGTCGTGGTCGTCGCAGTGGACGCCCTCCTTCTGGTTCTTGCCGATGATGGCGTTCTTGAGGGTGCCGCCGGCCTCGACGAGGAACACGGCGGAGTCCTTCTGGCCCTCACCGTCGGTGCACGTGATGTCGGAGCGCTCGAACGTCTGCATCTTGCCGTCGAAGACCTCGCCGGCCTTGATGGTGTACGGCTTCGATTACAGAACGGTGCCCGCGCTGGCTGGCCACGTGCCGTCGGGGACGCCCACAGTCGTGTTGGTGGCGGTTTGCTCGGTTGAGTCGCTGCCTGTCGTCTGAGCGGTTGAGCCCGTGCTGGAACTCTGCGTAGGTGAACCGGCATTGGAGTTCTGCGTAGTCGGGTCGGTAGTCGAACCGCTGCTGCTGCTGCTGCTGCTGGGGGCGGTAGCAGCAGAACTGTAGGTGGAAGTGGAACTGGTGCTGCCGCTGGCACTTGGCGCGACGTTCTCCTGTTGGCTCTCTACGCCGCTGTTGCTGGCCGACGAGGTCGAAGCGGAAGCGGAGGTGGTGGACTGCAGCGAGGGCACTTCAACTTGCTGGTTGCTGCTGCCGGAGGAGGACGAGGAATCGCACTCGAGGATCACGTTCGGTGCCTGCGGGGGGTCCAAAGCGCTGCTGGACGCGACGCTAGACAGCTGGGAGGTCTGCTCCGAGGCCTTGCTAGAGCTCGAGTCGCACTCGAGCACGATACCGGTCTGCTGTTGAACCGATTGGGTCAGGTCGCTCTCGCTGCTGGAGGCGACGCTCGACTGCTGGGCGGCAGCTTGTGTCACGTCGTCCGAAGACGAGTACGTCGAGCCGGAGCTTGAGGTCGGGCTCGATCCCGAGGCTGAAGGGAGAGCGGCCGGCTGCTCCGTCGAGTCTTGCTGCTGCTCGGTCTGACTACCAGCGCTGCTAACAACCAACTGCTCCAGGCTGCCGCTCTCCACAGGCGCCACCGTGCCGGGGGCAGACGCCTCGGACGCCTCGGTGGACGAGTTCGACGACGTCTGCGATGACGCCGCGGCTGACGAAGCGAGTGATGAATCGCTGAAGGACGACGACTGCTGTGCGGGCGTCTGCGACGATGAAGCCGAAGCGGAAGCCGACGCCGCGGTCGAAGTCTGCGCCGCCTGGGAAATGTCCTCGTTCACGCGCACGTCGCTCTCCGAGTACTGGCAGAGCGGCGGGGACGGCCCGTGGCCCAGGATGGAGGGCTCGCCGTCGGCGTTGCCCTGCGACCACTGGCAGATTTTGACCGTCTTCTTGCCGCTGGACTTGACCCAGACGTTGCTGAGCGTGGCCTCGTCGTTCCAGTTCTTGTTCACCGTCACGACGGCATTGGTCGGGTTCACGACGTAGACGTTGGCCACGTCCACCTTGCGCTGCTTGTCGCCGCACGTGCCGCACGAGCGGTAGAGCTTGCTGACGTCCTCGCCGTAGAAGCCGTCGATCTTGACGGTGCCGTAGCCGTTGTGCTGGATGACCTTGTCGTCGGCGTAGCGAGCGCCGCCGCCCGTGACCGTCGTGACACTGGAGGCGGTGCCGCCCTTGACGCTCAGCGCGTCCTCACACACGTCGTCCCACCACACGTTCTCAATGACGCAGTCGTGCTTATCGCAGTGAACGCCCTCCATTTGGTTCTTGCCGATGATGACGTTCTTGAGGGTGGATCCAGGCTCGAGCTTGAAGACGGCGGTGGACGCGCCGCTCTCGGTCTGGCCCTCGCACGAGATGTCGGAGCGCTCGTACGTCTGCATCTTGCCGTCGAACACCTCGCCGGCCTTGACGATGTGAGCCTCGGAGAACTGGACGGTGCCCGTGCTGGCGGGCCACGTGCCGTCGGGCAGGGAGGCAGCGCTCGCAGCCGCGATCGCCAGGGCGATGGTCGTCGCAAAGTTCGCGAAGGACTTGACCATTGTGGATTGCAGCAGCAGCAGTGTCTTGGTGAGAGTGGAGCTACTTCTTAGCTGGTGGGGGGAGCTGCTGGACCAGTTGATGCCTGAGAGGCCAATTGATTAATGACCGACCGACTAACTGACGTCGGGCTGCCCGTTAGTTAGTCGGAGGGCAACGACGATCAGAGTGGTGACCGTTTGTACGGTGCTTCGGCATCAGTGACCACGACGGCGAGGACCTGATGGGCCAGTTGTTTTCCTGCAGCCATGCTGCTGTTGGGCTTGCGGGTGAGCCCAGCGGTTCAAATCCGTGGCGATGGATCATGCCTGTCATCGCTGGGGAGTGACAACTTGGCGTTTTTTGCTACTCGCGACTCCTAAGTGGTGCGTGTTTAATAGATTGCACGACTATCTCAATGCAGAAGAGGAACACTGAAGGTCTCGCAAAAGTTTGCAAAGTTTGCTTATAACACGATATGTATACTATTGAGAGGAGAAGGTTTCTAGTCGACGCCGAATCCAAGCACATCGCGCAGCAGCGGCTGGCCTGTTGCGTTCGCAGACTGAAAACGGTCCGACTCCTTCATTCAGCCTGTCACCTTGCAGCATTCCAAGTTTACATGCATTATTGCGACTTGTTTTTCGTATGTTGCTCGGGTCAACCGGTTTCAAGGACGCCATGTCCTGCTGTATTGTGTCTCACTCCACCCCACCTGCCGCTTAAGCGCGGTAACGTTGGTGCTGCACATGTGCATTCAAATGGCAACTTCGGAATTGGTTGCGAGCACGAGT